CCCCCCCCCCCCCCCCCCCCCCCCCCCCCCCCCCCCCCCCCCCCCCCCCCCCCCCCCCCCCCCCCCCCCCCCCCCCCCCCCCCCCCCCCCCCCCCCCCCCCCCCAAAAAAGAAGAGCATGTTGGTTGGAAAGTACGTAAGGTTACATTCACCCTGCTTTTCGGTCAGTGTCTGCGATCTATGAATCTCTCCTCTCGATACGGGATATTTTGCTTGTTTTTTTTTATTTCTTGTTTTTCGAGGGACAATGTCTGGAGATCGGGGGCTTCGGAGGTGGGAGGGGGTGGAGGGGCCGGTGTGAGTGAGACTTGCAGATTTCCTTGTGCCGTGACCCGCATCGAGGTGTGCCCGGGGTGATTCTGCTGCTGCTGCTGCTGCTGCTGATGATGATGATGATGATGATGTTTGACGGAACATCTCGAAGGCCCTGAGAGGTCACGAGGCAAAAAGGTAAGATGGAGTTCAGGGTTGCTCCGTAAGGGAACCGGGAAGCTTGCGAAGCCGTTGACGGCGCGCCGGGAGGGCGGCGGTCCGGCTTGGCGGTGGGGGGGGAGTTTAGCTTCCTGTCTCGGCGGGATGTCTTGAGTTGACGTGTGTTAGTGCGCGCGCTATGGGCGTTTTCTTGTTTTTCTTTGGAGGCGATGTTTGGTTTGGTTTGACGTGCCTGCCGCGAGGGATTCGATGGTTTGGGTAGTGAGGTTGCGGGTATGTTGTTGATGTAAGGGGACCTGATAATGGATGTTGAGTCTTCTCGTGTAAGTTATGTTGAACTGTTGCCCCGTGTGACCTGTCGAATTGAGGCCCGGAGGATTAAAGGGGGAGTTTTGGCATGGAACGGACTTGAGGGGACCTGGACTCGGGGTAGATGGATGTGAGACCTCGAGGTTATCAGATCGAGAGCCGAGACTGGGAAGTTGTCTGAGTGACGTAAGGGCAGGTAGGTATGCAATGTGGTAATGACGGAGAAAGAGACGATATCCGAGACCTGGTTTCCGGGGTTATTCCATCATCGTAATCACGAAGGAGGGCGACCTTCATTCCTAGGGCTGAAGGTCTGGTGCTCATGGCTCGTTTTACTGTGAGATGGTCTACTGCCTGTGACTGGATGGGCGAAGGCGGGTTTTGTGAGTTGTGATGGCGGTTGAGAAAGTGGCTGAGACAACGGTTTGTCGACGTGGAAGACATGACGGGATTAGAAGCATTTCGAGCGTCTGGGGGAGGCGGAATGAGGCTTGAGACTCTCGTTTTGCGCGCGGCGTTCTCGAGGGAGGCCTGGATGGAGGTTCTAGAAGGGGGGGCGTGAACCGGGCTTTTTGGGGGCCGATGGGGGGCTTGGGATATGTTGTGGAATGGAGATTGCATGGCTTGATGTGAGGGCGGGTAGTTGCGGTTGACGTGTGGGTGTGTGTGTGGTGGGTAGGTGATTGGGATCTGTAATGTGATGGGATTGTGGAATTGAGACTAGGGTTTTGTCGATGTGAGTTGTGAGACTCGTGGCTTGAGGTAGCATGTGATTGAGTCGTCGACGAGTTGAAGGAGCAACTGGGAAAGGAGGATGTCTAAGCTTTCGATCACACATACAAAACTACTCAAGCCATAAGTCATCGGGTGTGCTTGCCGAGGCCTTTGATACACGCCTTTAGCGTAGTCGACAAGAGCTTCTTTTTACTCCTTGGTCGTTCGTAGAAGCCAGGTAACACGAGATAATGCTTATGCTTATGCTTATGACTTTGCAATTTTTCGATGAGTAGGAAGTTTCCAGAGGGGAAGAAGCACCAGATCCAACATGAATCTGGTCGATTTGGACGTCTTTGCGAGGTAGCCATGGTAATATTCAAGCTGGCTCAGACATGAGTGGGCTTGACTAGGAGTGACTATGCAGTGGTACCTATCCTAACCAAGTTCACCACATATTCTATAAGTAGAATTACCACCAGCTTGTTGTTGTCCAAGACTATCAAGACTATCAAGAACGAAATGGTCTTGCGTCATATGGTGACATATTTTTACTTAGATTCAAGCAGTTTTGGAGTCCTCTACCTGAAGCAGTCGTTTTTATGTCATGATTAAGATTCATTTGTACAAACAAACATAATTTGGAGTCTCTGAGGACAATGCAGTGGCCCTAGGCTAATCAAACTGAAAAAGGAACACACCGTTTGTGATGTTGTGATACCCCCATTAACTAAATCTCCCTTGCCGTGTGAGAAATCTTCCAAGCCAACTATTAAGTGACATACGCGATGGGCCGAGACACGAGGGATGGAAGCTTTCGAGTGATCTGGTAGAATTTCAACTCGAAGGAGCCGATCTCTTGGATATCTTGGCTTTTAGAAACTTCCAGCGCAACTGAAGCAGTTCGGCGCCTGAATCTTGACACCAGTGCCTGTTTCCAAAAGAAATTCAGAACAAGGACCGTTTACATAGCTGCCCCTGGCCACTCGGCTTCGTGCTTCTTTCAAATATCAAACATTATCTGGAGAAGGCAAGACAGCTCGTGACAGGTTTAAAAGGCAGGACTTTGTTGAAGAAATTCATGGAGTACTCGATCTGTTGGCGTCTCCCTTCAACACTGTAAACTTGATGCTACAAACTAGCCTGACCGACATGTAAACCAGTGGGAGACAGACACCCTAATCTGCTGTCGACAATCTCGGCATCTTGCTAAGGGCCCCGGATATGGGACCTCAGATTACAACACACTGCATACCGCCGCAGAGTAGAGATGTCGGACCAAACAGAGCACAATCAAATAACGATGTCTAGCCGTAATGGAAATTGTCAATCATATTTCTGATTCAGTTCCCATGGCTGAGTTTCTCTGGGTTGGTGTGGTGGTAATCAAAGGACATAAGATGCCGTGGATGCTCCCGCTCTGGATTACCATGTTGAAATATTAGAAATTACAATGCTATCATTGAGTGTTTTGCGAAGTTAAAGGATAATAAAATTAGAAAGATACCTCACAACAGCCGAGTTGAGTCCATTTTGTGAGTTGCGTGTTCTTGTAATACTTGGACAAATGATCGAATGATTCGAGTTTATTGAAGACTTTGATGGCAATAAGGATCAAAATCAATACATGTAAGCTGAAAGGTTTCGATACCAGATGACAAGTTGCTACTTAGAAAACTCTCGAAAGTGCAATTTTTTACTGAGTTGAAGGAAACACGTTACAAAGAAACACTCAGAGATACGTTCTCAAACTACACATCACGCCTCGACAATGATTACAGTTGTTCCTCGCAGTGGGGATAAGTCGACTAAATTGACTGTAATTTCTTTATCATTCAGAAAAAAATTACGTGGGAAGACAATTGTTGTTTGCCGAAAGCCTTGGCCGGCAGTTGACAACTTCAAGGGTCTCTTGGGATTGGCTTAGACTCTCTACAAAGAGTCTTTGCAACTCCAAGATAGCGTGGAAGCAGCCCGCGGATCGCACGGCTTTAGTGGCCTTAGAGCCGCTGACATGTCGATATTGAGGTCATTTGACAGGGGGCGGGATGCGACCCCAGGTGTGATGATCTCCCAATACGAGAAATCCCCGCCATACCAAGAAGGCCCACAAATGGTTATCCCGCGCGCGCGTTATTCGGGGGGAGATTAAAGATGGTCTGCGCAGCCCAGAGTTCAGGAGATAGATGTCTGAAGGTTGTTGATGTAATCTCGAACTTCCATTCCAACGATCGCGACAGGCACCGTGCCTGAGATCACCCGACAATGCGTCTCGTCACTCGTTTTACTGCCGCAGCGGCGTATTGCCTATCACTAGCGGCGTCTCAAGCAGTGCCCAAGACGTACTTCGTCGAACTCTCAAAGGATGCGATAGCCGATGGGTCAAGCGTCAGTCCCGAAACCCTGGTTGCAAAGGCTGCTGAGATCTCGGTGCCTGTGAAGGTGCGGTTCGAATTTCTCGACAAAAGCGTGTACTACGGCGTGTCGGTTTCACTCGAAGACGACATTGATGCCGAGAAACTCCGGTCTCTCCCAGGAGTTGAGAACGTCACACCGGTACAGCGAGTGGAACATCCTCATAGGCCCTTCGGCAACAATTCACCGCAAGATGGCGGTAAACTCGAGCTTGCGGCACGCGACTCGAGGCCAAGCAAGTTCCCGAAAAGATCTGTCTTTCCCCGCGCCCCGGACTTTGACTGGAACAGCCCGCACGTTATGACCGGCGTCGATAAGGTCCATGCAAAGGGCATTCGGGGCGAAGGCATGCGCATCTCCGTCATCGATACGGGAATCGACTGGAAACACCCTGCCCTTGGTGGCTGCTTCGGAAAGGGCTGCAAGGTCGAGTTTGGGTATGACTTCGTCGGCGACGAATACGGAGGAGACGGCGGCTTCATCATGAACCCAAGCCCAGACCCGAGGCCCGGTTGCTACGAGGGCTTCCACGGCACCCATGTTTCCGGCATTATCGGCATGGACGTGCCCTCGAACTCTTCGATGTTTTCCGGGCTCGTTGGAGTTGCTCCGCAGGCGACCTTGGGCCACTACCGCGTCTTCGGCTGCTCTGGTTACGCATCAGATGATGCTATCATCGCTGCTATGCAAAGATCCGTCGAAGAGGGTGCTGATGTGGTCAGTATCTCCATCGGAGGATTCGGCACGTGGTCCGGATACCCGAACTCCCCCATGTCCGCCGCGTCTGCTGCCCTGAAAGCCAAGGGAGTCGCCGTCATCGCCGCCGGTGGAAACTCCGGCACTCTGGGCATGTTCTCCATGAACATCCCCGGCGGGTCGGATGATGCTTTCGGTGTTGCGTCGGTGGAGAATGCCAAGTTCCCGACCTATCCGATCCAAGACTCCAACGGTGCGGAGTTTCGGTATGGAGCTCTTTATCCCTTTCCGGAGGGAGAATACCCGGTTGTCTGGGCCGGCAGAAACACATCCAACTACAACTTCGGCTGCTCAGCGTCCGACTACCCTCCGGCCTCTAGCCTCTCGGAGCCTATTTCCAACTACATCCTCGCCGTGAAGAGGGGCTACTCCTGTTCGCCAACGCAGGTTCAGCAACATGCTGTTGCAGCCAACTATACAAGGGTCATCACATACCCGGATAGTACTGTAGATGACATTTTTATCGAAGGCCACGCTGCCCCGACACCAACTTTGACAGCCGATGGATCCGTCTTTCCCATGGGCAGCATTATCGACAAGCAGTTCTCTAGCACAGCGAGCAACTCGGAATCTTACAAGCTCCTCGTGTCATCTCAGTCACCTCTGTTGGTGGACCAGCCTGGCGGAGGTTCCCCGAACAACTTCAGCAGCATTGGTGAGTCCAACCCTACTGGGCCGCAATATCAAACTCGACAAGCTAACCCCTTTGTCCAGGCCCCAATGCCGACTTCGCCTTCAAGCCCGAGATAGCTGCTCCGGGTGGAATGATCCTGGCCACGTTCCCTCTCATGGAGGACAGCGGCGGCTTCGGTATTATGAGTGGGACGTCCATGGCGACCCCGTACATGTCTGGTGTTTATGCGCTTGTGAAATCGCAATTTCCTTCTCTGTCCGTGGACGAAATCTTCGAACTCATGCAGACGACGGCCACACAGATCAAGATGGCTAATTTCGACGTGATATCGCCCACCATTCAGCAAGGAGCTGGCCTTGTCCAGGCTTACGACGCAATCTTTTCCAAGTCAATCATCAAGCCCGGAGAATTCAAGATCGTGGATGCTTTGGAGTTTACTTTCACCATCGACAACCCATCCGATAGCGAGGTTACCTACAGCCTCACAAACAACCCCGCCAGCGGTGCTGCTTCCTTCGTAGAAGGCCCGAGCCGGGCCTCCGAGGTTGCTTTCTTCCCCCAGTCGTTTTCGGCCGAGATCAAGTTTACGGACGGCGAAGAGATCACCATCCCCGCCGGTGGATCTCAGAACGTGACCTTTGACGTCGTTCTGCCAGCTGCGGTGGACGCCAGCTTAATCCCGATCTTCTCTGGTTATATCGGCGTCGCTTCATCACTTAACGAGAGCTTCACCATTCCGTACATGGGACCTGCGTACAACTACAGCAGCTCTCCCGTCATCGGGTTGAAACCTCTGACGGAAGAGCAACGGGCCAACGCTCTTAGCCCAGCCCGCGATCCCCTCTCGGCTCCGCAGGTATTCGGAAACAGCGACAAGGTCGACATCGGAAACTACCGCTCGTTCAAGAACTTCCAGTACCCCGATTACCCTGTTGCGTACTTCACGTCGCTGCAGCCGGTGCGTTACTTCCGTCTGGACGTTGTGTCTGCCAGCACCAACTTCACGCCCACCTGGTACGGTTTCGACCCGGACGTCAAGTTGGATAACCTCACGGAGACGTCTATGGTGTCAAATGGGACTGTTGGTGGGCTCGCCATTCTTGGTTCCGTGGAGGTTCAACAAGGATGGCTCCCACGAACAAACTATCAGGCCACTTGGTCCTACAGCATCCTCGATATTACGGCCTCGAAAGGGCTGGGGCTGAAGAAGGGGTCTTATCGGATCCTACTCAGATGGCTGAAGTTTTTCAAGGACGAAAATGACCCGGACTCCTGGGATAGCTGGATGAGCGGCGTCATTGATGTCCTGGAGGATGCCTTTGAGCCAACACCGCCTTAGTGACTGACTCGGTACACTGTATCATTCCGAAGCATAATGACATTTAATAAACCAGTGCATTTCATCGTCGTTGGTGGTGAACCAGGCATCACTAGAGATCATATTTGTACAGATACTCTGTATTTACAGTGCCGGCCTATATGTGAATGTGGTAACTTGCCACACGAAAGTATTTACTCAGAAGAGAAGGCATCGACGGACTCTTGGTTCATCGCCATCTAGTTGTTGAAGGTATGGGCGTGGATGTTGATGGTGTCAACCTTCCAGGTCTTGCCGTTGTCAGAGGTGGTCAGACCAGTGGAGTCGGCCTCGTTCAGACCGAGAGTACCCTTGAAGGTGTTGTCGGCGGCGTTGAGGATGATGGTGGTGCCCGTGTACTCTGTAGGAGGACGGCATTAATGACTGAACTCAGGATCAATGTATTGGATGTTTGGTCACTTACTGTGAGCAACAACTGTGCCAACGCAGGCATCGTCCTGGCATTCGACGGCGGTACCCCAGCCCTCAGCATGTCCCGAGCCTTTGGAGCTGTTAGTTGTGATTCGGACACGAAGTTTTGTAAGTATGGATGCTTACTTGTCGAAAGCTGAGAAACAACCTTGCCGTTGAGGGAGACGGTCTGGTCGTACTTGCCAGTGCTGTCGTTGTACTTGTCTGAAAAGCATGTTGTGAGTAGACTGTGACAAAGGGGGGACCACCTCATGCAGAAGACTAACAGTGCATGGTGAGCTTGTCACCAGCAGAGGCAGGAACTTGCTTGCCACCAAGTTGCGTTCCTGCATGAATATATCAGCAAGTCGTTACTAAGTCAGAGTCCAAATATGCGTACCCTGGAGAGTGCTAGCCCAAGTGCACCATTGGCCTGCCTTGGCACCGCAGTTTCTAGTTTCTAGTCAGAAAAGGATCTCTCAAGTGGAGAGCTATATGTTTACGAGGCAGATACTTACACGTTAGGGTCGCTGAAAGAGACGGCAAGGGCCTGGATCAGATCACCACCGCTGGTGCCCATGCCGGGCCACAGAGCAAGACGGTCCTTCTGAGGGCTGGGGACGGGAGGGAGAACGAGAGTGGTGTTGGCCTCCCGAATCCAGCTCTGGGTCGGGCCGAGAGAGAAAGCCGGGCCGAAGCCGACCTTGTCCTGGGCGCTGACGAGGTTGGCGCCAGCGGCGGCGAGGAAAGCTGCGGCGGTAGAGGTACGCATGTTGAAAGATCGTGGGTTTTCGGAGAGAAGGACGAATTAAAGTAACAGGGGTCCGCTGCGGGCAAAGAAAGAGTAACAAAAGAACGGAATCCGGGGAAAGATGCACAGCAAGGGGGGGTATCTAGCGGCTTGGAAATGGAACGGTTCAGACGAAAGAAGCTTCGTTGCAGCTTGGCAGCAGCCTCGATCTTTAAGTATCAAGATGGCAGGTGGTTCTAGATCATTTCGAACATGGGTGATCGGCCCCCCGTACCCACGAAAGGAGAGTCGGGCATGATCATACGTTGCAGCTTGCCGATTCCCGCCTTCTCCTCATCAATCTGAATCCCCACCTCGCGGTTATGGCTATGAAACAACCCAGTGGTGGACAAATAATTTCCGCGATGGAGGGAGAGTTGAGTCGCGCCAGGTTCCACTGAAGTTGGTTGAAGGAAGAATTTTGAGTGAAAACTACCTTCTCTTCTTTTGGTTCGGTAGCAGCAAGTAAGGGGCCAGCAGGGATATGTGCCCCACGATCTAACCTCAAGCCATTGATACCATGATTTCTGTGGTGACACCATACCGTATCTCATCCCGGCAACAGTCCAGATTGACGCGAAATACGAGAATCAAGGACTGGCCAGGGTTGGATTTTGCGGTAACTTTAGTGCAGGTTAAGTCGTTTCGGTAGGTGCCTTTCTCACCAGATTTGATATGAACGGGGCGTCCCCGGCCGGAGCTTTGGTCCAAGTGTGGGACCCCTCGGAGCCGCAGCTAGATTACCTTCCCCACCTTTGCCGGTTGAAAATGGGTCATCACACTCCGCTCGGCATAGAGGAGCCGTGATGACCTCGCTTACACGTCCTGCTGGCGTCACATTGAAGCTCCGTCCTCTTTGGACTTAGCCTAACGGAGATAGTTGCCATCCGCCCCGACTAAGGATAAATTCACCCGATTGCGATGCTAAGGCTGGAAAGACCATGTCGATTGTACCTGTTGAGACCGATGTGGTAGAGCTGCACTCCGTCTTTGCCCATGCGTCACAAGTAGTCTTGATGGGAGAGCATTGTTGTTTCTGACTTCATTTGACGAAAGCAATGGCTCATCAACTATATTTCTTTAAAAGGTAACCAGACCGCTACAGTTAGCAATCACGGCCCAGTAACATGGCCTACCTTAAATACACGACTTCGGAGGGGAACTTCAAGAAGACTTTGGCCTCGCAGACCTGGTAGTTTCCGGGGCAATGCTAGGCTGCCCTTGGGGTTGTTGACTTATCTCAGGGATGCCCGTGTCGCGCTTGAAGCGTCGAAGCCACTCGGCGTTGTCGGCGCTTGTTTGATTCCAAGGGTCGGGGCTGCGGCCGCGTATTTAAATCAGAACTTTTCCTTATCGGCAGAGAGAAACAGCACTTACTCCTCAAAGACAATGAAACGGGCTTGGTGTTGGAGCTCCTGGTCCGTTGGGATGTGGCAGGTGGGGTTGTTCGGTGACATGGTCGCCGCGACCCAGCGCCGTAGTTCAACAGCTAACCACCTGTTGAAGTTTGCGTCGTTGAAGAAGGCATAGTTTGCTTTCATCTTTGGCCAAGTTGGTGGAAGTCCCGGGTCCATTGGGGTTTCTCTGATTCCCGGGCTCTCACCTCCTTCCCACTGGGCGTTACGACCAGCATCTAACGGGGAAGCCAACGCGTCGGGTGAGGGGATCATGACCATGGGTGCATGAGGCGTGATGCCCAATGCCAGAGCTGCCGAACCGAGGTCAATTTCGCTCGTGAAAGTTGTATTGAAATCACCCAACTGGGACAAGAAAGAGCCACCAGCTTCAGGAATGTCATGGACGCTTCTGTCGCTGTCGTGAGCTGTGGTTTCCATTGCACCGGCGTTGATTCTTCCTTGCAGTGCCTGGAAAGACTCATTCTGGAGAGCGCTGCGGCTCCCGAAAGTTGACATGGAACTTGAACCCAAAGCGCTTGTTCCGGGCTGGATTGACAACGGCTCATGAGCGGCTGAAAGCCGTGTCCTGACCTTGAAAGCAGTAAGCCACGTGGTAGATGACCCAATGAGACTGATGAGCCAATTAGCCACAAAGTCAGTGGGAGATACTCCGCAGTCTTTTCCCCTGCTGATAACAATCTTGGACGTCTCTCTTTGCAGCTCCTGGTCAGTTATGATGCCGAACCCCACGGCTTTCCGGGCGTCAACAAAATTTTGGAGCTGCATCTCTGAAGGGCAGTCCTCAAACAAGCTCCGTTTGCCTTTGATCTGAAGCGTGTCAGCTACTGTGGGCAGTCTCTTTCATGAGAATGATGAACCTACTTGGAGCACAGACATCATGCTTTCAGCAACGGATCGCATAGGACCAAATCGAGCTCTTCGTGTAATCTCCTCCGAGGATGTGATCAGATCTCGCATCCAAGACTGGTGTTGTGTGTCCATGTCACTTTCCATTGAAGAAGTTACTTCGGAAGCAAACACTATTCGGCAAGCCTCGAGTTGTATTTCCTCGTTGTTGGGCATGTTGCCTGTCCTATCATAGAACATGCGTAGGAAGTGGTTCAACTCCAGAGTGAGAAGGCCGAACGCGTTTCGAGGAGACTCGGGGGGTGTACCGCTTGCCTGATACGGAAACGGCGAGAATCGTTCGTATTCAATAAGGTCTATCCGGTCAGCAAGACATCCATGAGTATCCGTGGCGAGATCACTTACATGGGGGAACAGAATTCTCAACCATGTCCAACACAGGCTCTTCAAAACCCCAATCACCCTTCCAGTTGGCCATATCTTGTCCCATCTTGAAGTGATCTGCCAAGTGGTCGGCTCTAAACGCCCAAGTATCCAAAAGAGCGCCGCAAAAACCACACCGGGACCGGATATCCGGCACTGCAATTTTCCAAAGTTTAGCGGACCAGTCGAGCAGGCCAGCATTATGGACTAATCGGAGATGTTGTTTCAAGTGGTCTTTCCGGTTGAACGACCGCTCTTGACAGGCCGTGGGATTGTGGGAATCAATATGCGCCTGAGTAGGCTCAACCTCGCCACAAAACACGCAACACATCTGGCCTGTATCTGGGTTGACGGCTTTGGGGCCATTGGGCGAGCACATCCACTTCTCTAAAGGCATATGCAAGGATTTCTCATGCCGCTGCCAGTCGTGCTTGGTTCTGAAAGTTTCCGTGCAAAAGGTGCATTGGTACTGGTTTCGTGGAAACGCCAAAGATGTGCGTTGCTTGGGTCGCCTGCGCTGGCGAACACGACCGCGAGTTGGTGGGCGTGGAATTGTGATGGAGTTGTTAGACTTGTGAGAGTGTGCTGACGCGAATGAACCTCCGCTTGAGGTGCCAACACTGCTGGCCGATGACCGAAGCGACCGTGGCGGCTCGTCGTCGGTGTAGCTAGCGTCTTGGTTTTCATCTAGATCTTGATACTGAATCAGCAGGGCTCTTCCGAATATCGAACTTGCCTTATACGACTCAAAGGCGAGGTATTACCTGACGATATCGCGTGACTGGATGCCACAGCCCGCGCGATATCAGTGACCATAGCTGGTTCGTGTTCTGGGGGCGAGTCGACCCATCGCTCCAGCGGGTTCAACATCTCGTAGCGTGGACTGCTCCTGGGTGCTGGTGTTGCCGGTCTCCCAGGAACATCTATGGGTCTCGTCCCAGAGCTTCCATGATACGGTGAAGTAGATCGTTGGCGGCCTTGAACTTTGCCACGTCTCCGGGCATTGATAAGCCAGTTCGTGATTTGGGTCTTGTTGAGGCCAGTTTGGTGCTGCAGAATTCGCTTCTCTTCATCGTTCGGATACGGATGGTGGCTGTGGGAAGAGAGCCATTGTCTCAAGATCCGAGTCGAGTCTCGAGAGAATCTAGTGCCAATCTTCGGTGGTGGAGGAGTTGAAGTATTCGAGATGGTGATGGGCTCAAAGTTTCCACTGGACCTCTTTGATGCGTCTGGAGTTGGAGGTGCTTGCAAGTCGATCAAGGCGGGACTACTGCCATCAATGAGGTTACTGATTCCTTTTCCAGAAGCATCTGGTGAGGCTTCTGTGAAGCTGCACTCGCACCCAAGCGACGCGCAAGGTACACAGCGACCTTGGGACTCACGTTCTTGCGATGTCTGGCATTGATAGCCCCAAGTGATGCAGTTGGAGCAGGATGCCAGAGGCGTGATCCACCCGCTTCCAAGCCCATCGCCGATGTAATCGAGGGTCCCGTCGAAGTCGATGAACGGGGAACTTTGGCCGCTGAACGGCTGGAAAGAAGTGAATTGCAAAGCATCACCGTCGGTTAGATCGCCCAAGGATAGAGCATGTCTAGAATCCCGAGAAAAAGAGCCCACAGATGGCATGGCGAGTTCATCTGCGGCGGAAGAAGCCGTTTCGTCCGGGGTGTTCATGTTCTCGTGGTCCATATCAGCTGAGACCCTCAAACGGCATGCGGGCAGTTTGTGTCTCTCCACTGAGGGCGGGCTGCCAGAGTCAAAGATAAGATACGTTCCTTGTCAGCCAATCCCACCGGCTAGATATCGATCTGACAAAGGGCGAAGTCGTAAGGCGTGCTGCCCCGGAATAGTGGCACAACGTTGCTGAGAAATGTTTGCACAAGAGAAAAAGAGGGAGGAAAAGGTGCCGAAAGTCAATCGGCGACTTCATGCATTGACTCTGACGGTGACCTGTAAAGACACCGGCCCCACTGAATTGCATTTCATGATTGGGTGTCGTCCAATGTGTCAAGTGCGCCTTACACTAGAGTCACAACGATTGGCCCCATCAACTAAGGTTGCTAGTCAGTGTCGTAGAACATCCGAAGCCGGCGACAACCAACAGTATCGACGAGTTCATGATATATTGAAGAAGAAGTCCGCGGTATCTTTCTGCTATCAGCTGGAACGTAATTATTGCTTGCTGAAAAGAGATTTCTACTTGAAGTCGTGTTGTGAAACCAAGCCGTGATCAACAACGCCTGGATCTTGACGACACGGCTTGTTTCAAGCTTCTGAATTCCAAGCCACAACTAAAATCATTACAACATAGAAATAGCAAGCGAATCAAAGCGACAGTGCAAGTGGGCATTGTAACGCAATGCTGATGCTGAATTTTTCGTGGTCCTCTCCATCCTCTGCAAGCGTCTTGTATGTTGGGCGCGCCTGACATGTTTAAGAGGGTCTTACATAATGTGGTCACAGAATCGAAGGAGCGCATTGCGAAGAAAGCACGCAAAGCACCAACAATTGAAGAATAAATGTGAATGAGCGGGCACATTTTGACTACAGCAATTTGATACGTTGCTTACACGGTTTTTACTGTCTTTTCTTCGCCAGCTTCGCTCATTTGTAACCCCAACACCGTATGGGAGCACCCGTACAGAGTATTAGTTGATTACACCCCTGCAACCATGACAGCAACAACGCAATCAGAACCTGAAAGTCAGAGCGGCAACGAAGTAAATGTTTCCAAAGCTGCAATCAATGAGTCGGACTTGTTGCGATGGCTCTGCGTTATTGGATCATCGCTCTTCCTAATGTCGTCTTTTGGTGAAAACCCCACCAGACTTTTATCCTTCCTAAACTAACGACGCTATCAGGCTTCTCACAATCCATCGGAACCATCCAGTCTTATCTTCAGTGGAATCAACTGAAAGACCACTCAGCTCTGGACATTGGCTGGATTACCGGACTTGACACTGCTCTTGCCCTTCTATGCGGCATTCAAGTTGGACCTTTGATGGACCGCTACGGTCCCAAGGTCTTGGCCCCAACCGCCATCTTGCTCATAGTATCGAAATTTTTCTTCTTAGGAGAGTGTCGGACGTATTGGCAGTTTCTGCTTTGCTTGGGAATACTGAGTGGGATTGGTTCGGCCGTCGCTTCATCGCTGGCCATCTCTGTGATTGGCAAGTTGTTCTCTCTACGGCGTGGCTTGGCCATGGGTGCTGCTTTGGCAGGCTCATCATTCGGCGGCGTGATCTTCCCGTTGATTCTGCGCCGGACTCTGCCCGAACTAGGCTGGAGTTGGAGCGTTAGAGTGCTTGGCTTCACCATCTTGGGCTTCATGTGTATTGGGGCAATTTGTCTTCTGCCTTTCCCCAGATTGATCACACCTGCCGCAGCCCCCGCGGAAAAGAGGTCGGCAGCTATCAACTTCGTCGCCTTCAAATCGGTGCCGTTTCTCTTCATAACGGTTGGACTGTTCCTGTTTGAGGTCACAATTATTGGGATAGGCGTGCTTTTGCCTACCTTTGCGGTTGAAGCCGGCTTCCCGTCTAGTGCGGGATTCACTCTCGTTGCCACCCTCAATGGGTGTTCCTGTCTCGGGAGGTTACTACCTGGGTTCGCAGGGGATCACATTGGGCATTTCGACGTCATTCTGTTCATGGTTACCCTTACTTCTGTTATTACGGCGGTTCTGTTCGTTCCTTTTGGAACCAAGTCCGTGGACGTACTTTACGCATTTGCTGGGCTTTGGGGATTTGGCTCCGGGTCCTTTCTTTCTATCACCCCAGGTCGGTCTCTCCAAACGCAGTTGCTTATAAGTTTAGAATCTGATATCCTCCAGTTTGTGTGGGAAAGACTTGCGACCCAAAAGATTATGGAAGATATTACGGTAAGTAAATGTCGAACTAAACATCTTGACGTTCTTCTTCAAGGTGAATGACTGTGCTCGCTAATACTAACGATATTGGTAGGAACCTGCACTTTTGTGGTCTCCTTCGGTGCCCTTGCTTCAGTTCCTGCCGGTGGTGCGTTGTTGGAGCAGGTTGGCTCAACAGGCGCGGCAGGAATGTATCTTGCCTGCGTTGTGTTGGGTGGTGTCTGTTTCTACGTAGCACGCTCACTGCTGATCAAGAGATGGGTCGTATTCAGGTCGAGTATCTGAGGCAGCATCACGCGCCGATAGGAGAACCAAACGCAGATACAGCTTAGTGCATATGATTACCAATTATTGGCATGTGTAACTAATTGCTTACGATACTACTGTACACTATCCTATATGTTTGTTCTCTCCGTGACAGGCCTTCCCGTCTGGGGCCGAGATAAATCTTGCGTCGACACACGCGTGATTTCCAGGCTACGCCTGACCAAATCAGCGTTGGAAGAGGCACCCTGTCCTATTTCCAAATCTGAACGACCACCTTGTGATGTGGAATTCTCCCCAGCTATGCTCTCTTCCGTGATGGCTAGCATTTCTTGGCTGTCCTTACCAACTACAGTGACCTCTGTACGGGTCACGTTGGTAATGTTGCTCATGTGGGTGAAGCCCATCTGTGTTAGGCTGTAGGGGTCCCTCGGTTTCTTTTTCTGGCTCGACATTCCGCTGCTCAGTTCGTGACCTTCCGACCCTTGACTCGATTTGGGTGTGAATCTGCTTCTGGTCTGTTGCCAGAACCTCTTCCTGAACATGGGAACAATCATCGGAGCCTGTCCAACGAATATGGCGACGAAGTCTTCTCGGATAGACCACATGGCTCCAGGACCGAATTGCCCGGTAGGCTACAAGAGCGTCAGTCTTCTGACTATATTTGGTCCTAAGCATCTCAAACGATTAGACGCACCTTGAAAATAAGGAAAACGCGAATTACGGCAGCTGTCATGACGAAGACCCCCAGGCTGAAGAGGAAATAAACGCCAAGTCTGCGCCAGATCGAAGCTCGGACAAGACTGATGACCTAGCAGCGACATCAGCGACTGGAAACACATAAGCCCGTGATGCGATTACTTACTGGTATTGGAATAGCAATAATGCACAAATCCGTCGTGACATTCATCACTAAAATGCTGTAAAAGTAGACCTTGTTTTGCGGGACACAGTTCTCTGACGTTGCGTTAGTCTGCAACATTATGTTAGAAATCTTTCCCAGGCTACACAAACCTCCGGGGTCAGGCCTGATCTGCCACATGAGGGTAATCGGCCGACAGGTCAAGAGGATAATCAAAGCCATGGCTACTGCTGTTGCGCCAACTAGGCCCATAACCGGAAAGATGAACTTTTCTACCCATTGACCGGCGACAAGTCTTCGGTAAAAGAACAGCACTGGTTACAGCAGTCAGTGGTCTGCGAACAGATTCATCGTGCACGTCGACCTACTGTTGAACTTCAGGGTCCATACAATCGTGGCATAACAGCACATGCCGACCACGAAGTTCTTCGAGCCATATTCCCATAGCGGACTACGCAATTCAGTTGGTCAGCCAACTGATGTCTTTCTCTAAGACACATCTGATATTCACGTACAATTCTGACTCCGGCATCATCTCTCGTTGTTCGGGTGTTAAGAGCGAGGTATGTCTGCCTTGTGCTACGAGCACAAACAAAGTCGCCATGGTAGAGACCGTCGTGTACAAGGCCTTTTGTTTACTCGTCAGAATTTCGTTCATCGTGCGAGAGTCGGAAGAGTGTTTGTACCCAAGCGAAGAAAATCAGGTAATCATCCGGTCGAAATCCCGAAACCCCAACCATCTTTGTGCGACAAAATACCCTCAAAGCAACCAGAGTCGTCGCTACCGCGTAGAGCGACCATATTTCGGCGATACTTGGATTAATCTCCATGGCGGATCGAGGTTGAGCGCAACCTGCTCCAGGATTTGCGCCAGCGACGTTGTCATCGATTTCTCGTTTGTGGTGACGACCAGTTCATGCTGACCTAATGGAAGACAGCTACCATGATTGCAGTTGAGGAACACAGCCTTTTGAATGTGCGGAGGTATCATACTTTGAAACGTTGTTTCCCTCGTTCGTGGAGGAATCCTGGTGAAATCTTGAGCGTCAAGCATGCCCATGTGAACCTCCTCTCCCGCAAGGCTGTCGGGCAGGCCCTGGGTTCCTGGTCTGTTCGATGCGGTAAAGGTTCACCGAGTCGTGGCTTCTCCTTCAATGAGGTCCATATGACTTAGAAGTCCCTCGACAACAGCACGGCTCCTCGGCACATTTTGAAGTTGTGATCAAGTCCGGTAAACGTCAGATTCAGGGTCCAAAGTCATCCCAAGTGTCGTGTGCTCTTATCGTTCTCATCACTAGCAAAACTAATGGTGCTCCATTCACTTACATAAAAGCGTATCTGGGCGATGGAACTCGGGCCAAAGTTGCCGACAATTCTGCCCCATCACGCTACCTGGGAACTAAAAACACGTCGAAAGATCTGGGATCGCAGAGAGTTCTTGACAGTCTTTCTCGTCCTAAAACCCTACCCACAGGTTTGATTCAGCCGACACAACATGGCCCGGCAAATACCTCAGCCACCACATAGCGCGAAGTATGTAGGTGACGGCGCGTCACCGTAAGTTCTACGCGTTTAAGATAAGTCGAAAATAGACAGTAATGTTCCATCATGGATTGAGAAATACCAGTCTTGAGACCATGCTCCATGCTTGTGCAATCCCAACTCACCAGACAACACAGCTACTTCTCTTTTTCAATTAACCATTGAACGGACTTGCTAAACTGAGCTCGTGGAGGACGCCGAAAATTCCCCATCGCGTCTCCAGCCACGAAGGTTGTCGAGTCAGCGAAGTGTTACATGGGCGAAACGAGGTTCGTCCAAACCCAGCTGCATCGCCGATGCCGAAATTTAGAGCGTGCACATGTGCTCGAAGCGTTCCCCAATAAATATGCTCCGCGATGGAGGAGTATGGGACGCTTCCAAAAACTCTAAGTAGTAACACCTTGGCTCGGGAATGAAAGTCTCGCATGGTCCCAAACCGAACGAGCCAATAATCATAGCCGGCATACCACACCCGTACTTGCCCGTCTCAGAATGACCAAAGCTTCGGAATGGACTAGACAATTCGGGCCGCGGACTTCTACGTGTCAAACTAGGATGGTTGATCAGAGCAAGGTTGAAGTTGCAGCCATGAGCATTTGACCGGAGGTTTCTCGTTTCCTGGCAATCCCTCTTACAACTGGTTAGTGTTGCCACATCAAACTGACGCCCGGGGAGGCTGTTTGAATCCATCCGCAACAGAGGTTATCGCAAAATGTATGAAGAACTTTTCATCACAGTGTTTTCATTATGAAGGCGAGTATGATCTCAGTTTGGCTGAGAATAGCTCTCATTGCAAAGTTACAGCTACACCTAGATAATGGCAACACTCAGAAGAGTATTTCATGAGCCGTCGTGTTGCCGCGCATCTCGAAACTCACAAGGCAGACGTAAAGTATTTAAGGGAGTTCAGCCCTTGGTTGCTTAGTAAATGTTGGGAAATTGTCAGCCACTGGGCTTTGGGCTTCCCGTATCACTGGGACTCACAGCTGTCAAGTTGATTTTGGCGTTGATGACGTCATTCCTCGTAGCTTGTCTGTGGTGTCACTGCCTAATTCTACAGGGAAGTTGAAGTCAAGACTGGTTCTTGACCCCCAGCTTATTGCATACTACGTAGTAGGTAGTTTTCAGAGCGGAAACAGAAGCAACACCGTAATTCTCATGCTTTGTATCCGCAGAGGGTTACTAATGATCTCGTGTTGGATATGTGGTTAGGTACTTTCTCCCTTTGATGGCCGGGCCCTTAAGGTCAGTCTAGGCAGCTAGCCGGGCCGTCAACCTCCGACCTATCCACGTCGATGAACGGAGCATAATCTCGTAGATTCGTTGTTGAAACTTCGAAGATATCACACTTGTGTTGAAATCTGAAGCAGACGAGGCCGAGTTGCTACCTCAGTATGGAAACCCCATTTACATAGGCATACGATGCATTATACGGACATAGGCGTTTTGAGCTTCCCTTGCCTAGCCAGAGCCTTTGCGGTCTTGAACATCAATTGTTGTCTCCTGCTTACGATGTACGCAGATGACAATTCTCTGAATTCATCTCCCAGCGGCTTGAGCACGCCAAGTCCAACACATTGTTCAGATGAAAGAATGTTATGGTGATGCATGTGAAATCCGACAGATGCCAACACCACTGCAACTAATAACACACTGAGATCTGGCAACAAAAATCATGTATCCTCTAGTAGTAGTCCTCGAAGGCGTTTGAAGTCCCGAACAAACAGTTGTAGTGTGATCGTCTGATACTCGGCTTGCTTTCCTAAAAGGGGAAATGAGCTGGCATGGGTGCTCGACAGCTTTGGATGTTGCCAATCTCGACTGGCTTCTGCGCGACAAAAGTCTGTGCCACCACCCTCTTCGTGTCTTAGCACTGGCCCAGACCTTTTTGTGACGGTTTGCTAAACTTTCCAAACGATGCATGGCTCTTCCCTAACAATTTAAGGTATGATCGGAAGGCAATTCATCCTGCTGATAACCAGTGACGGATGTGATGGCCCAAGTTAGACTGAAGCTTTCATTTGGTAGCCTCTTTCTTAGTGCAGCTGAATTTGAATTCTTGACCTCGGTTCATGCGTAGAGGCCGATAGGAGGCGAGATACTCACTTGTTCAAGTTACGGAAGGACGGAATTACGATCTTATCGAACTATCCGATGCCAGAGAGTGCACACTTACCAGACCTTCACGTAGCTAACTTCCTCAGATACTAATATTAAACCGCTGCCACAAGGTCTCATATCCCGCTGCTATAGAACCAGCAGGTCTCCTGATTCCAACATCCTTTCTCCTGTCACGAGTCAACTGACTGTCATTGAAATGGCCCACAGCACGGCCCACACGAACGGTATGAATGGGGGAGGTTTGACCCCGGCCCAGGATTTCATTCGCGCCGCTCGAAACTTGAAGTCTGCCACTACGACCTTCAAAGATGAAATGGAAAGGTCCGAGGTGCTTCTGATGAATTACGAGCTCATGGCCTCACTAGAGACTCCATGGGAGACGTACGTCCGTACTCTCCTGAATCAGGTACCATCTATCTTACCATTAGCATTGATGCTTTTCTTCATCCTGCTTCGCTCTACAGGGCTTGCACAATGGCTAACGACGGCATACTTTAGCCAGCGGCTGTAAGTGCTCTGAGGGTTATGAAGGATCTACGACTGTTTGAGAAGTGGAATGAGAAAGGGAACCAGCCGATGACGAGCTTGCAACTTGCGAATATGGTTGGAAATGTAGACCCGGCCCTGCTTCGTAAGTTCTCGTCATTATGTCATTTGCAGCTTGACTTCAATAACTAATCTGATCAGATCGACTGCTGCGCCTCTTGGCATCAAACCATCTCGTGGAGCTAGTCCCAGTCGATATGTTCACTCCGGGGGCATTCTGCAAGGAGCTGAACACCAACTTCGGAGTTCTTCTTGACTACTAGTGAGTAGCTGCGTTGGAACTTACAAAAGACTGCTAACTTCTACTTCAGTTCTTTCGCCACTCACACGTTGTTCGGTGAGATGCCCAAGATACTTGCAGAAAATGGATATAAGAATCCAGTTGATGGCAAGGACACCGTTTTTCTCAGAACCAAAGGCCACAAAGGAGACTTGTGGTCATACTTTCGAGAGCATCCTGAGTGGGGCGAGTCTTTCAACAAGGTTCAAAAGGTTTCCACCGGCAAAGAGTGTCCTTGGATGGACATTTTCCCTCACCAGGCCCTGGTTGCCGAGTCGGAACCCAGCTTGCCACTCTTTGTGGACGTCGGAGGAGGTATCGGGCACGATTTGATGAGACTCTACAACACATACCCGGAGGCAGCATCGAGACTGTACTTAGCAGACCTCCCCGAAGTTGTTGCGTCAAACATCGTCCCCGAGGCCGTCAACAAAGTGGGCTACAACTTCTTCACGCCCCAACCTGTCAAACGTAAGTGGCAAACCCCTTTGCAACCTCTCACCGTCTAACCTTTCATATTAGATGCGAAGGTATACTATTTGCATCACATCATCCATGATTGGTCTGACGAGCCTGCTCGCAAGATCTTGGAAATGCAGAAGAGTGCTATGAAGCCTGGATATAGCAAGCTACTCATCCACGACCAAATACTTGATGACGAGAAGAGTCAGATGTACACGGCTGCATTTGACATAGCGATGATGGTTTACCTCGCGGGTCAGGAGCGTACTGAGAAACAGTGGTTGGCTTTACTCGATTCTGTTGGGCTTAAGGTGGTCAAGTTCTGGAACAAACCGCCCGACAATTTCAGCGTTATTGAGGTTGAGCTGCCGTAAGCAGGTGGAAATGTTCCGACGTCTGTCCTGGGATGTGTCGTACGACGTTGCTGCCAGCTGAAGAGAAGTTGGATATCTCCACGTTAGGAAAAGACATAGTCTTTCTATATTTCCAAAATGAGTAAGCCTAAGGTACCATCGGTAAAAAAGGTTGCCTATCTCTTGGTCGTATTGTCGATCGTTGACATCAACAAGAGAATCAATATTCATGGATCTTTCGCCTTTAAGCGAGGACAAAAGTGAGCTTGTTTTGGCGATCGTGACTTGAGCGCTGCTTGCTGTGACGTACCAACGCAACTTCCAACTCTTTTTACTGGTTACTATGTACTCAGACTTAGTATTTAGATTCGAGGCTATGTCTTACTTGTGATATTGTCTGTACTTATAACCCACATCTGTGCAGGTTTGATAAAGAACTAAATTTCCTTCATCTCCACCACTTGGTCTCCCTGCCTCGTCGGAAACATGTTCAGAGATGCGCTGCTTGAGAAAAAGCCCCCTTCAACCTCGGGTCCTCCAATATACTTATCCCCAAACGCCACAAATCCGTCATCGCGCTGACAGTACGCCTCAATAACCTTTGCAATAGGCTTATGAGGGAAAGGAACCATGATCCCTTGGCCATGATCTTTCCCATCCAGATACATCAACTCCAACTCCTCTCTGCCGCTCCACTCATATCGCTTCCATGTCTCAATGTCGTCAAGCGTCCAGTCAACGTCGCCAGAGTAAACATAACTAGCGACCGGCTTCGGTGTGGTGACACAATCTTCACCTCCAAGAATGACAGTGCTGCGCATTCCCGGTTGAATGCCATTCCCGAAGATTGCGATTTCGTTCGATGAACCAGAAGCGTAATACCCAGTCTCCGCACAGCGCTGACTGGGAGTGAGCATTTCCCGCCACATCAGAGACTCCCGCCAGCAGAATCTCCGCGCGAGCGTGTATGCCGTACCAGCGTCCGTGGCGCTCGCCCACCATATCTCCCATTCGTTTCCATGGCCGGTCCGTCCGCGTATCGACGGAGTTGGCTCTCTTCGCGTGAAGTTATAGGCCACATCTGGGAGATGAAGCAACATGGACACCGGGTCTATCAAGACGCAAGCGGCAACTCGTGGCGCGAAGTCGGCTCGTTGCAGCAGTTGCGGCATAATCAGGGTCCCGTAACTATTGCCGATAAGTACGAAATCATCCCAAACACCCCTTTCGCCAACTCCAGGAGCTGGCTGTTTTGAACGCTGTTGTGCAACACATTTGGCAATCATCTCCGCTAACTGAGGCGTAGGTTGCAACGGGTATGTCGTGACGCGGGTGGCTATTGGAAGCATCTCGACGGCCAGGATTCCAACATCTTTGGGAATGGTTCGGAGCCAGAACATGTAGGGGACCAAGCCAATTCCCAGGCCATGAATGAATACTATCGGGCGCTGTGTCTTGGACTTGTGCGGGCGATACCAGTACGACATGCCTTCCGCTGCGGACCGCTTGAAAGGGAGGAGATTGATGAAGCGGGCGGGGAAGACCTTGAAGAAGGTCGAGAACGGTTGTCTGTAGTATCGGTATCCTTGCATCAAAAGGTAGACTGCCATCAAGTTGTCGAGAGCGCCAATGACCTGTGGTACGTTTGTCAGTCCAAGTCCAGAGCCGTATCTTATCACCACTACCCAAGACCGGATAGAAGAATGGAAGAGGCATCCACCTACTAAATAGTAAAAGAGACTGCGGTGTCTGATGATCACCGGGTCGAAAGTCAACCTCAGTGCTTCAGAATTCCCTCTTCCAGGCTTCAAAGTTATTCCAAACTTCTCCTCGGCATCGTCGATGTATCTTTCCAGTTCGTCATCGATGTCTTTCGTAGGCCGCTCTGCTGTGCCGTCGCGCTCGAACAGCCCCCAAAGAAGCCAGTCCTTGAGGTTCTCTCGGCGTATATCTTCCAAATGGGCGTTGAGCATCCACTTTCTCACAAAAGTCTCTCCATCCGGAACCAAGCTCAATGCTTTGTAGAAAAGTTGGGCGCGCTGTGATCGGCTCATCGGTGGAGGCCGGTAGGGCTTAAAGGATTGAAGATACCATTTGTAGGGTAAAAAGAAGAAAAGGTAGAAGAATATCTCAATAGCACCAATGACTTCGATGACAATGGAGAATGGGTGTACAATCGCCGGCACGCCCCCAAGTGCGAAAATGGCGTAGAAATAGGTGAGACATAAAAGGCCCAAGTCCTTCATAAGAACGATAAGCAGGCGTATGGCGACGTACTGTGGCCATGTTTTCTGGACAATCATTGTGGGCGGTTGATAAATGGTTTATCGTCGGTCTAGGATTGGTTCGAGATTCTATTGAAGTTCGACCGTAACTCGATGTATCGTATCGTAGTAGTTGTAGGCCAAGCGAGCCGTATACCGTTTGGTTCGTTGCATCACTGGGATGCGTTGAAGAGGTAAGATATGTTCGGGGGACCAACGACTCAAATGCACCCCGAACTTCACAACACGTCCCGCGAGGTAGTCAACAACGTTGCTTGATTGTCGGGAATTTGGACGAAATTCTGGTGACGTACAATGGAGGTAAAGAATCAGACGCGGCGAGGAAGGAAACTTGAAAGAAAACGACCCTCCCGTATCCGCAACTCGGCGGGGAGCGGCGGAGGGGTCCTTAACTTGCCATCGGGGTGGAGCCTCATCGGCTGTCACTTTGTGCCATTTCGCATGAGCATGCCGGACACGGTAGTTTCACGTCGACTGCCGCACAACGGATGAGCGACTGACAGCTTGCGGCCCCCTTCTGACTAGCGTTGCGTGTCTGTCAACGCGGCTTCGCCAACTGGTTACTAAAGGGCGATTTTCGGTTCTGTTCCCCGGTCGATACACAAACATGTAAAACCATTCTTAGTTCAGCCGACGAAACAGGTAATTGAAGAGTTGGCTCTAGCTGAGAACAAGTTCGGCCCAAACCGACGATGTCGGATCTTGCCAGGTTGAGGTGGTGTCGGCAGCTCGTGTATGGCCAAGTCAAGAGGCTTTCTGCAAAACATAGGATTGTTAATTGGATAGAAACGTCCCAACCTTGCATATGTCGGTGTCATAGTTCATGTAGCAAGATGTCCGGCCGTGGGCTATCCCTGTCCCTGTGTTGCCGGCCGGGGTCAGAGCAACAGAAGGGCACGGTGGTCGCATTGACAGCAGCCAGTGGGATAAGACGCCGTGTTCGTTCAGCGAATTCGGGGTATGAGACAACTTCGCCGCTGTCGTAAAAGAATGGTCCACTATTTGGCCCCTTCGTAGACCGCGGTGGAGTTTGCACATGTGACTCCTTCGAGCAAGCGGCAAAGCATCTCGACGTCTTAAACACATCAACAATTGTGAGGCCTTAGATCCACCGGTGCAACCGATAGTCTCACAAATGATGTGATGTGATAATCACAAGGGCTGGACCACGCACATTACAGCTGATGGCGTGCTGAAGTTCGTTGCAGAGTTTGCGTTACAAGTCCAGCTTCAGAAACATTCCATGCATAGTAGATGACTCAGCCGATAGTTGGTGCTCGTACACGACGACGAAACTGTATTGACTTTCAGATACCTTCCAAAACTACTTCATTGCTGTGACTATATGATGATACAACAGCTGGCACCAGTCATACAGTGATTCTGCTACTTCACTATTATAGTGAATGATGGGTTTAGGCCCTGGAATTCGAAGAAGACTGCAGTAAATTGAGAAGTTGAGTTGAGGTTATGTTTATCAACACTGCAACATTAACCTACCCACCGCCACACAAATATTCTTCTGATTCTTCGTGAGGGGCTTCAACATTTGATTTAGCGATTTTTTATTGATTCAGAAGCTAACGCTGATAACATTGTTTATGAATTTCCAGCACCAGCGCTATCAATAAATTAAGCAATCGGGCAGTTGATGTTGCTGTTCAGATTCTCATGTTAGCTTTGGAGTTTTGATGGGTGCACGAAATACGTACGCGCTGTCAACGCCAGTGATTCCAAAGGGCTGTTTTCCGTCGACAGTGCACTTAGCAAACACGTCTTTGATAATGGGAACGGAAGTTGTTCCGCAGTCAAGGTGCCATGTCTTGCCGCTTTTGCCTGGAGCATCGATGTCGTGACCGACACTGACGTACTGGTTGGCGATTCCGTCGCCGTTGAAGTAGCTTCCTGTCAATTAGTATCCACTTCCGTTCACTTTAATTGCTTTGATACTGGAACGAGGAGCAGTTTGTTAGGAAGTTTCCACGTACCATCCATAGATGACTTGACGGCTCTCGACAGCAGGTGCGGCCTGGCCACCAGCGAGGAGAATGGCGGCGACAAATGAAGAAACAGAGCGCATGTTGAACGTATTTGAAGATTACAGAAGATCTTGAGCAAATATTTATGATGTTGTCAATCCGAAAAGATGTAATTAGATATGTGTGGTTGTCAACTTGTGGTTTTGGTTAACTCAGGTGAGATAGCAACTTCTTAGGCTTCTTATAAATCCAGACGGCACACGCTCCTTTCGTATTTCGAAGATCACCGGCAATTAACTTTCGCTCTCATGAGCCCACTGTGGATACAGGGTGACTTAGGCAAAGGATGTAACCTTCATGCTGAGATCGACAGTTGCGGCCTATGCGAAATTGCTGGAATTCATTACCGAGGAACCCGAGTGCAAAAATAGCTTGAAAACGGTTCATCCAGTCCTAAAGTCTAATAAGTTACGACATGTTCTCTCTGTCAGCTGCGATGGAGAAGTCAAAGAAGTATAATTGAATGCTAATATGGACCTTGACCATGAATCCTTGTCAAGAGAAAGCAGCCAACGATTTGCACGGAGCACTCCGCTGCAGCGATACTATCAATTCAGTATCGCAGACACGTATCGGAATCGTCAACAAGAACTGTAACTACAGCAGCTCTTTGAAATACTCTTCATACAACATTCGCGCGTTGTATTGAATGCTGAGAAGATGGTGGAGTTAGAAGTTGTGTATATGGTTCGGAACTTCGGGGAAACATTACTCAGTAGAAAAGCTTATGGCTTCCGAGCAGCTCAGCCCCGGTTAACACGCGGATGAGTCCGATCGCCTTCAAGGCGATACCATGCTGGTTAATATAACGTGCATGATGGCTTCATAATGTGTTAGCATGCTATAACTCGATATCTTTGTTGCTTCTATTCCCATTACAAGAGCAAGGAGAGCCTACTTGACGAGAACCAAATCTTGATCGACCTTATGGGCATGAGCTGGTTAGACTCTATGCCTAGGCCGCTATTGGAGAGGCCTCAGAGCCTGTCATAAGACTCCGTCGGTAAGGACGAAGAGACATACGTGCATACACCTAGAATGTTATGGTACCAGTTGTGCAGATTACCGAAGCATCACATTCTGCTGTTGCAGGGTTGGGATAATTTCAAGTTAATTTCAGAAGCATACATAGAAACTTGCAGTCAACTACTCACTGAGACTGGCAGAATGTGAACTAAGCTGCCTAATGGAGTAGGTGGGGCCGTAAACCGGACCCGAGACTTGTAAGAATCGGCGCCAGGTCTGACCGCTCCGCTCGTTGCAGCCCCGGAATCTGATGGACTCCACCTCATCCCACCATACTTCTCGAGAAGAAGAAAGGGAACCCCTTAGTGGAATACTGGCTCTTCGTGGCTTCAAATCGCCATCAATCTCGTCCGAAATACTGATGAGTTACTGGACAAACTTCCCTGCCTCGGTAATAACTGCCGAAGGATCACCTGGATTGGATTGCGGAGCACTTTCCTCAGCGTGGGAATGGTTGATGCGATCTCCTCCTGAATTAGAGTGGTAACACAGAGACTTCTCACAGACAATGTAGGACGCCGATACAGTTAAGTACTCCATCCCGAAGAATACTGGTCCGGCGATCACCGCCAAAAACCGAGTTGGCCAGATTGACCTCGCCAAGAAGTACTCTTCTCTCTCAAAAGATCAAATCTTGATTAATTTTCGAAATGCTAGCAAGAATTCGGGAACTGAAAAGGTTAGTTCATTTGAAGCGTCCTGGCCCTACGACAGGAGATCCCCGAACCGATCATCCATGGAAACTTTGCTTCCCGTGGCTGCACTAATAAGTCGTTTTGTTGCCCTATCTTCTAGGCCTCGATCCGTTTCAAGAGGCTTCAAGTGTGAAGAATGTTTGCTCAAGAACATGTTTGACTCCTTCGACGTGACAGCTGCGGGCAACTGTAGTCTGTATCGGGTGACGGAACTGATGAATACGAACGTTCTCGTCGCTTGAAGCCGCTCCTTGATCAGTCAGCCGACTAGAATGCATTGAATAATAGCAAGAAACCAATATGCGTAATTTATCATCTCTTGTTTGAATAGTTACTCAAGATTGACTGCTGATTCCACGGTCAATGCTTCTGCCACTTATTTCGCCTACAAGTATGTTCTTATTTTCATATATCCATGGGGCTTATAAACTCTCATTGTGTTGAGTGCTGGGTATTGCACTTATATTGCGTCATGTGGAAAGTTATTCTACTGTGTGGCTTGATACGAGTTTTTTTTTTTTTCGTAGCTCGCGATGTCCTCATTTCTTCTGTTCTTATCGCATGGAATCCAGCCAAGACATACGTTCAATATGCTTTCTCACATCTTCTATCCCGCTTAGGTAAATATGCAAATTATTATGCGGACGAGAGAGTTCGAGCCATTAAGAGCATGTTTCTACCTCTATGTGCTGTTGGAGTCATTATGTTTACAATTATGGGATACTCGTCACAACAGTCATCGTGGTCTTGAGCCCGCGAGTTGTTCACCTTTTTTTCCATCTTTTGTTCTCGTCAGAACTTTTTGGATTGCTTGATTTGAGCCGCAATGCGTTGAAAAAGAGCATCCATTCTTGGAGCTGGACATATACTTTCTGTCCACTTTCGCAGCTTATGCTCAAGTTGTTGAAGGACCTCTTTTGACACAAGACTTTTGTCGACTTGAGTCTAACCAAAGACCAGTGGTAGGGGATTGTGTTCTTGTACAAGTCGTGGCACGGCTAAATCGAAGCTTGTCCCCAAATTGTTATCTGATGAAGAGTGTTTTACCCGCTATCAGCGGCTAGGACCCTGGTATGATTTATCTTATCTACATCGCAGTCTCAGAAGCTTGCCAATTAGCTTGGTCTTAGCTGCATCTGTTATCGTGGAATATCTCTGTCTATTCAGAGATAAGAGCTACGAGCTTGATACTGATACTGCATCGTCACATTCGCTTCCGAGAACCCGGCTAGCGGTATCGGATGCCCATTATCCGCCCTTCGACAACTTTACGACGGGCAACAAAAACCTGTTCGTCTGCTTCCTTTCAGCTCATTTCCATTCATTTAAACAACAGCGAGAAGTCTAGTACCAGTCGATATGGCTTCCCATCTCGCAGGCGAGGAAAAGGTCACGCCTTATATATCGAATGAACATGCCGACGCCTCGTCGGCAAAAGGCGAATCCGTAGAAACTCACGACGTGTTCCGTCAGACCCAAGATGGTGTCCAATTCCGCACAGTGAGCTGGCAACGCGCCACCATTATCTTCCTCAAGATCCAGTTCGCGATGAGCATCCTCAGTGTTCCAGGCGCCTTCGCTACCCTCGGAGCCGTGCCTGGAGCGACGTCGCTGGTCGGGTGGCATTCCCTCAACACATGTATGTCTCTGCCGATGCCATTGCGGACTACCTTAGACTTACACAGAAGAATCACCAGATACAGCAGTGATTTTAGGAGAGTTTCGCAATCGCCATCCAGAATGTCACAGTACGTCAACGCTCCTTCGGCAACGTCTACAATATCGCTAACGCCTCGATCAGCTCTGGCAGATATGTGCAGTCGTCTTTGGTCCCGCCCAGGCAAGGAGCTAGTAGGGCTTCAGATCCTCGTCGCCCAAATCCTCATTTCCGCCGCCGGCATCGTCTCTATCTCTACCGCATTTAACGCCCTGACGTCCCACGCGACCTGCACTGTCTACTTCACACTCCTCTCCGCCGTCCTCATTACCGCTTTCTCCTCCATCCGCACCTTCAGCCGTTTGGGCTGGCTCACATGGCTCGGCTTCACAACTTTCTTCGTCGCGGTATTTGCCTTCGTCGTCGCAGTCACCAAGCAAGACCGTCCGGCCGTGGCGCCGCAGACGGGCGATTTCGACCTGGGATGGACGGCGGTCGCGCACCCGACCTTCATCGCAGGTATCACGGCAACCGCCAACATCTTCATCAGTAACAGTGGATCCTCGATGTACTTGCCCGTTATCTCCGAGATGCGACGGCCGCAGGAGTACCGCAAGGCGGCGTTGGTCACGGGAGTTTTGGTGCTGGCTATGTATCTGTCATTCTCACTCGTCATCTACCGATGGTGCGGCGTTTGGCTGGCAACACCGGCTTTCGGGAGCGCGGGCCCCTTATTCAAGAAGATCTCGTACGGGATCGCGCTTCCCGGGTTGGTCATCGGCGTGGGGATCTACCAGCACGTTGCCGCCAAGTACATGTTTGTCCGTGTCCTCAGGAACTCGCACCACCTGCAGGAGAATACGCTGATTCACTGGACCACGTGGATTGGCAGCAACCTGATTCTGGGAATCCTGGCTTTCGTTGTGGCCGAAGCAGTCCCGATTCTCAATTATCTCCTGGGTCTCGCGGGTGCTATCTGTTTTGCCCCTTTCAGTCTCATCTTTCCTGCGCTTTTGTGGATGCAAGACTTCGCGTCCTACAGAAGCGGCAACCTCCAGCAGAAAGCTACGTACAGCTTCCACGTTTTGATAGTCCTTGTTGGACTGTTCATGGTGATTGCGGGAACGTAAGTTAGATTAGTTCGGTTTTACATCGAATTCACTCAGATGACTGACATCTTTCTATAGATACAGTGTTGCCGTTTCCATCAAAGACGCATATGCGTCGGGACTTATCCAGAAGGTGTTCAACTGTGCTGACAACTCGGGTACTATCTCATAGGGATTGATGATCTGGAAATGAATTGAAGCTGTATGAAGCGGTCTTTGCTCCATGATTTCTCCAACCATTACTGCTGGACAGTTGTCAGTCCCATGACTAGATGTTCGACAAGGCTTCAACTAAGACCAGGCCTGGAGGCTGGAAGAGGCGAATCACTGGATACCTTTTCAGACTGATGATGGCAAGGAACTCGTTGGGCATGGCAAGATTTCGACCACAAGAATAAGGGTAGCTGCATTGTATTGCGCGGCGTATTGCATTTGCTGATGACAGGGAGTCTGAGTCTAGCCATGTAGGGCAACCAACATGAGCCAGTCCGTTGACTTCTAGATTCTTACTGGCCCAGATACCCATGTCGTACGCATGTTGCGTGACAGTACCGTTCAAATAGTCTTGGGTGCTCCGCCTTCGTTTTGCGCAAATGCGCAAAACTTTACCTTCGTTCCTGCTTCCTACAACTGGACGACGAAGCGCCGCTCACGGTACAGTTTTGTCTCTTTCTCGACTCGCTTGCCTTTCAGCGCGTCCCGCCGAGCTTTTGCTCTACTGCAACGGTTTTCATTATCCAACCTATCAGCAGCTACCTCTGACCTATAATGGCATCTTTTCGCTGCGAACAGAGTCGCCTCCCTTCCCCCGCACCTGAAGAGCAGCCGACGGGGCGTTCAGGTCCACCGTACGCATATCCACACTCTCCACCATCCGTACCGACATCATCCTGCCACGGCGCTAGTTCCAGTCCGACTACCAACTTTAGACCAACACTTCCAAGACCGGTGGCTACAAAATCTAAAGTCGGCAATGGATGTACCAATTGCAGGTGCGTAACCATCTCTTTTTGTGCTTTTCCTGAAGCTAATACTTATTAATGGGCTACAGACGGCGACGTGTTAAATGCGATAGAGAACGGCCATCATGCACCCGATGCGTTCGCTTGAATGTTATCTGCGCCGGCTACATGGACTCGCCTCTCGGCAGCGCAAATTCCCGTGAGATCCCAGCCGTTACGCCAAAGCCTGGGGCTTCGATACCGTTGAAATCCGAAGAACCATGCCTCAGTGTTGATGCCATGAGCGACCTTCCTCGACTTGACACTTACCCGGGTTCGACGTTGCTGTCTATCGATGAAGATATACGGGCAGCAACCAACATTTACCCTGACGTGGCTCTTCCCTGTTCAAACGACAAGACGGAGCATGCACAGTCCCCTTTACGAGAGTCGACGGATTCAAGTGAATCTCCAGAAACGTTCAGTTCTCATTCGACAGATCCATGCTCGTCTGAGTGTGAAGAATCCACCGTGGGGCAAAAGGGCGCCCTCCTCAACAGGTTAATGGACTATTTCTACTTCATATTCTCTAATTCTCCCATTAGCAGACCACGTTACATATCTCATGGGTCTGGGGTGAGTGAACAACGTCACGAGTCGTCACAGTTTGGGCTACGAAACCCGAACTCGAGTGGTTCTTCTATTGAGAACAGTCCAAAGCAGTCTCGTAAGCGGAAAGCCGACGAAGACGATGATCATGGGGAAAGGCAGGGGCCGCCTTCGAAGGGGCAAAAGTCGGATGACCACCCCGATAGAGTCGACCCGAGGTTGGCATGTCCTTTCTTCAAGAAGAATCCTGGGAAGTACCAGCAGCGTGGATCCTGCACCGGTCCCGGTTGGGCGACGGCTCATCGCGTCAAGTACGTCCTCAAAGACCTTGGAGGGCTCTGAAACTAACACCACAAGGGAACATGTCTATCGCAATCATACCTTGCCAATAACATGCCCTAGATGTCATGAAGAGTTTGAAAATGATCGTCTTAAAGATCAGCACTTCAGAGCAAGCGAGCAATGTGAGGTGCAGGATAGGATTCCAGTCGAAGGCATAGACTCCACACAGAAGGAACTGCTGCGCCGTCGACAGCGTACGCACAAGTACATGACAGAGGCGGAAAAATGGAATGAGATATATCTCATCATTTTCCCTGACGCCGACCCGACTTGCCTTCCGAGTCCTTGTAAGTCTTCGTCATTCCCGTTGAATGAGTTGTGGCTCACGAGGCGGCAGACTACGAGTATTCTGAGTCAAGTACCGCAGTCGACGAGTCTCCAGAAACCGAATTCTCGCGTTACGAACAGTTTCTGCGAAGGGAGCTTCCGTCCCATGTCCAACGACAGTTGGAGCTTCGCATCGAAGAGCGATTGAATCCCATCGAGGAGAGTCTCCGAAGCGAGTTAGTCGGCATCATACGAGATACGCAGATCCATCTGTTCAACACTTATCGATCTTTACGATCATCAACGACCGAGACCTCAGGTGCAGATACGGTCACAACTGTCGGAATACACAATGAATATGTTGACCTTGGAAATCAGGAGCCACAAAGGGTAGAGGCACAACAGCTGGAGGATGAGCTTCAAACGTTTTATCAGCCACCCTTGTTGGATGACCCTTGGGGCTTTGACGATGGTTTCAATGGCCTCTTGTTTGACCTCTCTCAGATGCCGCCGGGATCCGTTGATTTGGACTCTGGTTATTGGTCGGTGCCTCAAGCGGACATGGGCAAAAGAGAGTCGGATCTGTGACTGGTAAGTTTGGCTATTAATGACTAATACCAAGATACTCCCAATATCATGACTTCAAGTATAAAAGTTGGCTTTCATCAACAGTTGCATCAGTACTACTCATAAGCGTGACGACCAACATGAATGCTAATGAGTCCCCCTTCTCCATTTCATGTTTATTTGCATGCATTGCAGTATAAGTCGGACGATCCGCAGCATTGAATCTGCACATCTGAAATATCCAAGTTGCCCTGCCAAGATGAATGTTCATCCGCCGGAATGACGTTCGAGAACCGCCCCGCGCTAAGGAGAACGGCCCGCTGCAGATCGGATCCCATACTTCGAGTGCTCGGATGTCTTGGCATGCTGTTCACTACACATGACGTGATGCATATTATCGGACTTGCATCCGACTGATGTTAGCATACTTCGTTCTCCTTCGAACTTGTCTATCCTTCGATGACACATTCGAAGCCACCGGTGGTAAGATGGGCCAGAGACTTTGTACGGTGATTGGCATGATGAACAAACGATATGGCAGGATCGTTTTTCCAAACTCAAGGTTCCGAGCAATACGAGCAGTACGCGCATACTAGCATCATCCCAGATGCTCACACGGTGAGCTTGGGTCACCACCAAAGATGTCTATGGCAAGAAGCCACCTAACAGCAAGTGAAATGTTTGATGTTGCAGAGAGCAGTGAAACCATTCTTTCGTGGTCGGCGGGATCAGAGTCATGATCGGAGTAGAACGTCCGCGGTTCGCGCAGATCCATCTTCAACTTCATCAACGCATCACTTCATCATGTTCGCCAGCAAAAAAGCAAAAAGAAGCTATGGCGGCGAAGCTTCCTGACGTAGCTTTGGAAGCACAGCTCTAGACTTTCAGTAAGCATATTTCTGCATAGCTCACACGGGGACAGCCAAAGCAGGTCGGGAGTTAATGGGGAGGGCGCCCCCGCGCCCCGCGGGCGGACACATCACCAAGCTGAGTTTCTGCTTGCACGTTAGCACGATCTGCTGGGTCGAGGGTTAAGAAGGGAACGGCCGCAGCCCAGCCGCAATGAGGCTCGGGCACACGCGGCCTTGGAAAGTATGTGGTGATGACTGGAACCCATGGGCCATGGCGATGTGCTCAATGATGCAGTTCATCTGGCCGTTGCATCTTGGCTGAATTATCTCTTGTTCAGCTGGCTGGAATGGAGCAGATTCTGCGCTGAGCTGAGAACGCTGACTATGGCCATGCTCTGTGTCTCGGTTTATTGGTGCCGGCGGGGTGTTCGGGAGTCAAGCCGGTGTTGTATTGTTGCAAGTTGTATCAGTGCCCTGGCAAAGGCATAGAGGAACATGACCTCGAAAGTTTCCGGCACCGTAACTCTACCTCACCCAGCAGGGACAGATAGTTCCAGCTGTCCGTCAACCCAAATAGGCGGGTATCTCGGGTATGTCGTGGTGTCCGACAAGTCGTACTCATTGGGCGCACGTCGCAAGCTTAAAACTTCGCCCAGCAAGGGGATTAAACAAACCAGGCCGTTCAGCGAGTCGTTCAATACATATACTCTTGGCTATCAAAATAAGGCGCCACGCCAAGCAGAAGTCTGTTATCGGCGGGGGGTCTAGTCGGGACTTTTAATCGTCTCCGTAGGCTCTCTTTTCTTTGTGGACGAGATCGGCTCGGGTTTGAAACGCCCAGGAACGGGCTTGCCACGTGCGAATGGCGATACTAGTGGTAGGCGGCGTTGCGTGGCCATTACCTGGCTGTGCTATTGTGATACATTACCGTGCGCGAAACGGCACTTCACACAAAACATGACGTTGGAAATACCACATCGCGAAAGAGAGAACTGGAGCCGCCGTGCCCCCTGTCTCTGGCCCCGACGTCTCTCCCTCTTCTTTCTCTGGGCCTCCCCGCCAAAAAGCAAATCAGGGAGGGATGCGGGGGATTTTCCCGTCGGTCGTGCATGCGTGCGTCGAAAGACTGTTGGGTTCGCGGTCCAGGGACCAACCCGGACGAGGTGTTCTGGTCGCCCGCGACTCGATAATATGCACCGACTATTGCCTCTTTTGGCCGATCTTGTGGTGGCTGTGCGTTCCGCTTTCCGGTTTCGCATTGATTTCAGATCCCGCCGTCTCCCTACCACGAATATGCGACCGTCTCCCCTGTTTATCATTTGTATGAATATGCATGTTGGGCCGCCGCCGCAGCACCTGATCTCGCATTCCTGCAGATGTTGCATGTCCGCCGTGCCGTGTTCAGATTTGCGCCCCATCAACAAAACAGTCGTCGGTTGAAAGCGTGTCATGCCCGACGTCGAGATGGCTAGAAGAAACGGCGAGAGAAAAGAGGAGGAAGAGAAGGATACCGAGTACCGACCGTTGAACTGGAAGAAGATCTTTCTGACACCGAAATACATCCGTATGTCTCGACGACATCGCGACCTCGATAGGAGCAATTTGCTGATATTTCTGTAGCTTTTCACCTTTTGGGTATTGGAATTCTGGTCGCCACCATTTTCATCAGTTTACATCATGACCAGGTTGTCGAAGTGAGTTGGATATGCGCAAACGAATTGAGAGTGTGGGAATTGACAGCGTACAACCACAGAAACTGAGACCGTTCTCCGAAAAAGTACGGGAGATCCCCGCGGGATTTCTCATTCCGATCGCTATCTTGATCATCATTTCATTCCCTCCGCTCTTTGGTCACGAAATCGTCGCTCTCCTGTGCGGTGTGGTGTACGGACTATGGGTTGGCTTCGCGATTGTTGCCGCGGGTACTTTCCTCGGCGAGAGTAAGTAAGATCATGCCTCGAAAGCTGAACACCACTAAAACATCCATAGTTGGAACCTGGTTTGCGTTCAAGTACACGCTGCGCCGGAAGGCTCAGAAGTTGGAGAGAACGAATCTCAACTATGGCGCTCTTGCGCGCTTAACCCGTGACGGTGGCTTCTGGGTATGTCACTCGCATCATTGGTTTCGTGAACCCGCAGGATCTTAACGGAGTCATCAGATCGTCTTCATCATTCGATTCTCCGTCATCCCATCCCACTTTTCGACCGCAGTATTCTCGACCTGCGACGTCAAGTTCTGGCATTTCGCCGTCTCAACATTCTTGACGCTACCGAAGCAAATCATTCTCGTCTATCTCGGCGTCCTCCTCGTCGAGAAGCAACAAAACAACACCATCAAGAATGTCGTGTTCGGCGCCACATTCGTTCTCACAATCGCCCTCGCGGTGTATATTTGGGTCAAGATGAGGAGGGTCAAGAAGATGCTTTTGGAGGAGCAGGAGCAGCGCAAGATGCAACGGGAGGTCGAGATGCTGCCGCAAAAGGCGGAAGTCGACGCCGTGGAGATGGAGGTGATTCCGCTACAGCCTGGAATGCCCGGAGCAGCTGCGACGAGGAACGATCGGGCGGGCTATCCCCAATGGATTTGAGGGCTGGGGAAAAAACGAAGGAACGGCTTGAGAGAGCGGCGTTGGTCGGATGGGTTAGGGAAGGTACGACTGGGCTAGGACAAACAAACGAGAACTCATCTTTTGGCGTTGGCGTTGGAACGCGCATTGTCACCCTCATCATAAACATGCGCTTGGCGGGACTTTTTTTCGAATCAAAAACAGACTTTTTCGGTTCCCAATCTTCTGTTTCCGGCAGACATTCGTGACACTGATTCCCTTGTGCTACGAGACGACGTCTTGAGGCCGAAGTTAACACCGTGGTTGATATCAAAGTCGATGCTCAACAAGCTACCGCGGATCCAACCTACTGTCGGACATTGATATGCTGTTGTTTGTATTGCTGTCATTTATTTTTAACAGCTAGCACGCAGTTCAGTGCAATGACCGCGCAGAAAGTCATGAGGACAAGTTAGGCGAACTGCGAAAACCTCTTCAGACCATACAGAAAATACGTCACCGAGTCTGCTTCCGCCTTGAGCTGGTCGAACAAACACATCATCGTAGCCTCCTAAATTTACAACTGCAGAAGTCATACTATCAATACTGGTGTTGAAAAACTAGCTGTCTTTCAGATTCTCAACAAGGGCAAAGTTCACTCAATAAATTAGCATCATCGGCGTTGCCGTCAGCCAAAAAATAAGATGAGCCCGGCAGGCCCGCAGTCCACCCCCAACTACTGCTCGCCGAACTCAGGAAACGGCCGAACCGATCGCCGTTCAGAGAAGCGGGATCCCTTGCCAAGAGTGCCCACGACACGACTGCCGGAAAGGCATGCTACCAGCGATGGGTGGGCAGCCAGTTTAAAGTGTGAGGGGCAGGCAGGTTGTTGAGCCTCTGCGCGCGCCTATCGAGGGGTATTGATCAACGGGATGTCCCTGCGTTTGTGATTGCGTGCCGATACTTTCGCAAAAACCCCGGAATCTTTTTCCGCCGGAACAGTTCCATCGGTCTTAGACTTGAGGGTTGCATGTTTGACAGCTTGTGTTGAGTTGAGTCAGGAGGGCAGTTGTCGCAGCTCAAGCTTAGCTGCGCCGCTGATGCTGTCCCAGACTCTTGTTGTCTTTGAATTGATCGCAGTCTTCGATTCTGTTTGCTTTCAGTGACTAGAATGAATCATGGCAAGTTCTGAAACCAGTTAGGGGATGAAGAGATTTTGCTTAATTGGCAACTCGAGTCTACTTGTAGCGTGAGCTTTTAATGAATAAACTTTGTGCTTGTGCTCCTTGAGAGTATACGGCGATAGTCCACATACAATGTATAAACTCCGCGTCGAGTAACCAATGATTACAGCCCACGTCATTCGTTGGTTATGATGAGACCAATATCAGAAACAGCGCAACGGCAGCGCGTAGTATGCGCGCCACAACTCGTAGGATTTCCCACAGAATGAAGAGTCCAGTATAGCGGAAGACTTTCTTCACGAAGGCTGAAATGCTGAGATAGAGGCGAATCCAGTCGTCTTTGGCCCCGTCCATGAACTCCAAGAACTCCAGATATTCCGGACTCATGAGCAGATCCCGACCCCTGTTGGCTCGGATCAAGCTCTTGCTCAACTCGACATCCCGAGCCTCGTCGTTCAACCTGAGTGCTTTTTCCAAGTACCACGGACCCTTTGAGTTGGAGGAATTTTGCAACGACTCAATCCAAATACTTTTCTGCAAGTACTTGTGTTGAGTCCGTAGGTCGCGCGCCTCAACTGCCTGATCGAAGGCTTCTCTTCTTGGGAAGTATTTCGTGTAGAGCCGGAGGAAGTGATTACGCCGCTCTTCGGGCGTGCGCCCCTCGGCTGCTCTATGTTCGAAGTAACCGAAGAGGATGAAGTTGAAGATGATGTAAATGGCATATTCAAGGAATGGTTGTGTCCAATGCTCCTTCGGTGGCAGCGCCAGTTTGTGCTCCGGTATGTGGTCTGGTGTGTGCTCCGGCGTATGCTCCGGCGTGTGCTCCGTTATGGGCTCCATGCTGGCTTTGGCCGGTGGTTTGGCGCCTGGCGCCATGTCTCAGCCGTGCTGGCGAGACTGAGTAATTTTTTGTTATGCTCCGCGTACTGAGAAAGCCTGATAGCTCGTCAAAGATGCTGTATCGACTCCACTCGTTGTTCGTTTCCTTCGGAGAGTCTTTTGCTTGGTCCATGACCGGATGCTGGTAGGATGTTGATGGCGCTTGTCTTGTTCATCGCAATGTTTGACTTTTTCCAGGGGAATTTTTCAATCGGATACGAGGCTGTTGACCTTGTCACCTTGTGATGCCCGCCGCTCTCATCGGGGTGCTCAACCTCTCTCTACCTTTGAGTTGGTTGATGTTAAGTTTGAGTTGAGCCGAAGTCTGATTAAGCCGGCCATTGCTCTGGATACTCACTGCCAAGGGTGCAGCAGCAGCAGACACAAACGGTATGAGCTTGGCCACGAGACCAGCCAATCCAGGCCGCAGGAGATTGAAGGTCACAGTGCTTCATGCTCCACCTAGCGACCTGAGTCCTCACACATTAGTCCGGCGTCCCCTCCAGGTCCGCTACTCCGTCCGCAGCAGCTGCAAAGGGTGCTCGTCGGAGGTTCCAGAGCCCCGGACCCAGCGTTCAATGTGTCTTTCTGTGTCTGGCTGGGGCCATCGGGGCTGGCGACGGGTAAAAATAGGTACCGCTCCACAGTACGTATTCTGACTGGGGCGACGTCAGAGGCTTTGCCCGAGACAATTTCAACCGTGATCTTAGTGTTGTTGGTGTTAGTGCAAGATGGGATGGGATGTGGCTGACACTCAATCTTCAAGAACAGTCAGTGCTTGATTCTTTTGGATGGACGTCCAAATTTTGAGATACGTCGTCTGGATTTTGGAAGTTTGCAATTGAAGAAGGCTATTGATGTTGCGTTGCATTTTATTCAGTGAGGCTCAAATACGGTTGGAGACTCTACCCTGACAAGGTACGACACAAAATGCGCCTGGGCCTCCACCATGACCTCATACGCGGATGAAACAATTGCTTTCACTGGGGAAGCTAAAGCCAGTGGCCTCCAGCCCCAGAACTCTCTCGACCACCTGAAGAGAAAGGCGCGTAATAGTACGAACGGATACCCGTATCTGGGTACATGGCTGAAGGCTTGGCGGGAGTCAGGGTCAACGGCTGTTTGTAAACCACTTGGCAATTTCCCAATTTCCCATGATTTTCTCAAATTATCGTCAACGGTGAGCCGCCAGCTTCATCTCCAGCTCAGCTCGTCGGCGGTGGCGTTGGCAGACAACAACCCCTCTCTCGACCCTTGATCATCGACCGCACTTACGACACCGGTGCTTCGGACTCCTGAGTCTCCCCATTCCAACCCCTGCAGTCGCCAACCAACTGGCAAGCCGCGCGCGACAAGCGTGTCACTACCGTCGTCGACCTACCACTAATTTATCGCTATCGGGGGGGCCACGCGCAGGGAACCTGGCCATCTTTCTCGGCAGAGGGAGCCCAAGCTACCTAAGAACTTGATTCAATTCTTTCTTTCCTTCTTTTGCTTCTCGGCATCCCCTTCCCCCCAATCCATTCGCATCTACAATTCATTACGAGAGCAATCCTGGCAGTGACAGCTGCTGCGCCTCCTTCAGACCACCTTTCGTCTCTTCTCTCGACTGCCCAAATTTTTTGAACCTTCACAACGCGCTGGCCATATTTAATCGAATCTACGCCGTTTCTCGTCGACCAAGACCACATTACCCTACCCAAACATAGTCCTCATCCCACTTAACCCACCCAATTGCGACGTGATGGCTGCTGTGCCGTCAGATCTTCCCGCTGCGGCCGCGACCGCCAATCCTCCCCCAGTCAACGGCGACGCCAAGCCTTCAAGCGATCTTACGGAGACAACCAAACCAGCATCCGTACAGGAACCCTCGACAACGGAGCCGGGTCCGGAGACGAACACGGAGAAGATGACTGGGGCACCTCCACCAAACGGCCATGCTGTGACAGACGATCAGAAGAGGACATCCGCGCCTCCCCCGGCATTAACCGCCGCTGCTGCCCAGGGAAATGAGAAACCATCCGACCAACCGCCTACTACCGGTACGACAACATGCTCGAGGTCACCGAGAGTATCGACAACGACCCGCGGGACCTCGCTCGAGATCGACAACTCGAAACCGGCCGACTTCGAGGGCGAAATTGCCACCGACAACCACCTTCCTACCCCCGAGACACTTAAGAAGATCGAGAACTATGTGGTGCTGGATAGGCATGGCAAGAGCCATCCGTTCAAGGACTTGTACACGGGCCGCAACGTCGCGAGGCGTGTCCTCATCATCTTCGTCCGTCACTTCTTCTGCGGCGTAAGTGTGCCTCTGTCCCTGCTGTAGTCTTCAGACTGAAGCTGACTTCGTGAAACAGAACTGTCAAGAATTTCTTCGCTCGCTTTCCGAATCTATCACCCCGGATGCTCTGCTCGGCCTCCCCATGAGCACCTTCATCGCCGTGGTAGGCTGCGGCAACCCAGGCTTGATAGATATGTACCTCCAAGAGACGGGATGCCCTTTCCCCGTCTACACAGACCCTACGCGGCGTCTGTTCGAGAAACTGGGCATGACCCGTACTCTTGCCCTGGGCGAACGGCCAGCTTACATGCGCAAGTCGATGCTGAAGTCAGCCGCCGAGAGCGTCTTTCAGGGTCTGAAGCAGGTGAAGGCTGGGTTGGCCACCAAGTCCGGTGACCACAGACAAGTTGGCGGGGAGTTTCTCTTCGAGCCCGTGGAGCTGATGAGCCCCGTCGGTACGCCCTTCGTCGAACGTCAGATGGAGAAGGCATTGCAAAACTCGCAAAAGGAAGACATCAGCCAAGAGGGTATCGACGGAGAGGGCGGCGATGAGGGCACGTTTGAGGCCGAAGAGAAGAAGGTCACCTGGTGTCATCGCATGCGGTCCACTCGAGACCACGCAGAGATACCCGAGTTGATGGAAGTGCTGGGCTTGACGGGCACAGGAAAGCCCATCGAGGATAACAAGAGGTGGTCGAGGGCGCTCGAGCAAAGAAAAGGCACCGGCCTGAGTTTGGCGAGCCAAATGAGCAGACTGAGCGACCAGCAAGAACGAGCATAGGAGCGGAGGGGCTTCTTTCACATTGTCAACGGGTCTGTTGTGCCTGTTATTCGAGTTGGCGACAACTGGGGGTGAGCTTTCGCAGGCTATGGCACTTTAACCAAGTATCAGCCTGGCGAGTAGGATTAACATAGGCAACTGCCTTTCCTGTGTTTATTTTTCTGGTTGCTAAGTTTAGCATAGCCGTCTTTTCAAATGATACCTACAGCATTCAGCAACATCTGCCACCCAGCCTTCATGAGGCTGTCGAAGGCCTCGGCTTGTCAGCCATCAGTCCTTCCATGTGGAATCAAAGCAAGGCTTCCTCTGTGTGACCTCATGATGCCCAGCACGCCAGGGTCCTCCGCGTCACTATGTGCCTCCCGAATCCCGTGGCCGCGCATCTCAAGGATGAACAAGGTTATGCCCGAGTTGGCTACCCAAGTGTCGCGTCGAACTTTGTGCCCCGTTCGTCTCAAGAATGAGACGAGGGCTTCCACCTAACGCCATCAGCAGCTCGCGAAACATGGCCTAATGAGGCAGTTAATAGTACGAAAGAATTCAACGTCACGGATTTCTCTTGGGCGACGGATAAGGGGATCGTCGGTCTCAAAAACCACGATACCCATCGTTGCACTTTTACGGACGATACAGGCGGCACCCACAACATAAGCGGAGAACCGAACGGGAAGACACTGAAAGAAGAGATATCTCGTCCGTCAGGCTTCGTATCATCGTTGATGAGGCCTCGACAGGCCTGGGCGACCTGTAAGATCCTCCGAGCAAATACGAACGCCATCTTCGAATCCTTCTCCCCCGCAGCTGATCGAGCGTATGTCTCACAACATGACGAGGCTCTCTGAGCCTTATTGCCTGGAAGATCACGAACAAACAACAAGAACGGCCCGACCATGATCAGCTCGGATCCTCCTCCACCACGGCGGAAGCAGGAATACGTGTTATCCCGCACAAAAGTCTGAAGGATTCCGAAAGCGTCGACATCTTCGCTGGTGCTGCGCCCCGCACGTGTGTGTGGTGGTTCGTCCAATCGGGCCGTAACCTTCATCGTGCTCTGATCTTGGTAAGCGATGCTTATTTGCTGATGGCAGCAGAGACAGAGTCCAACGATGCCGTCGCAGTCGCGGTGCGTTCAAATCTGACATGCCTAGCATTTTTCTCCGAAAGCTGTCACGTTCCCTTCCTCTGGGACCAAACCATCCACCCACCTAGGTGGCTGCGCCCGATCGTCAGCCATGCTTAATTTTAGAGTCCGGGGAAAAGAAAGAAGGCTGCTTGCTGCTGCGGACGCGGTATATGATGGAACCGCCGTTAGCGTTCGACTAAGCGCGTCAGCGCGGCTTTTCTTCTCGAGATACCCGGGCTTTTTCGCGGTTGTTCCGCCGCGGCTTCGAAGGACGGATTGGAGCTTCCAGCTTGGCGAGCTCAGCAGGAAGCCGGCTTGCTGGCGGCAGTAGGGCGGAGCAGCTCTGCCAAGCTGGGATGGCGCTGACGGGCGTTCGTAGCTCGGAGCTGGAGCCGATGAGGAGGGGAAAGGATGCTGCGGAGGTTTTCCAGAACATACCGAAAAGAACCTCAGATCTTGTAAGGCTGGGGTTTCGTGCCCTTCTGCCTCCTATCTTGGGTACTACACTAGGCCATGCATGCGGGGAGCTACCACGCCGGGAAGCCCGCAGTTGACGTTTAGCTACTGCTATTCTCCGTCTTGAGGCTGGGGTTCGGCTTATGAGTTTTGTCACGTTGTCTTGCTCGACGACTTGGGACGGGCTCTGTCATGATGTCTCTCGATTGAGGATGCTTCATTCGGCGGAGAGGTGATGGGCGGTGCTGCTCCCAGCTCAGCTGGGCATCATCCTTCAAACTAGCAATGTCATGATGGAAGTTGAAGAAGGCTTTCATCGAACGCAAGGAAAGGAAAGTTCTATAAAGTTGCGAAGGTTTCCTCGTCTTTGGAACATATCTCACTCTCATCATCAGCATCAACAGCTTCAACAAAACTCCTTAACTTCCAATAGCAAGACTCTCAGTCTCACACTCGACCTCCAAACTATCACATTTCCAAACCACAAAACCACCCTCAAAATGCAGCTCACCAACATCCTCGTCGCCGCCCTCGCCGCCGGCTCCTCCACCGCGGCCTCCGTCTCCGCCCGCGCCGCCCGCGTCGCCCGCCAGGCCCCGTGCCCGCGCATCGGTGCCTCCGACCCCAACTTCGGCGTCGCGGACCTGGCCAGCGGCGTCGTCGCCACCAAGACCCTGACCTTCGACGTCGCCCCCTTCGCCGCGGGGCCCTGCTCCCTGATCGGCAGCTTCGGCGCCGGCTTCCCCGTCGACCTCGGCGGCGCCGACTTCTCCCGCCTCGACGTCCACAACGCCGCCACCGGCGCCCTCGTAGGCTCCTTCGCGCCCCTCAAGGTCGAGAACGACCGCGTCGTCGAGGACACCGAGGTCACCATCAACAGCTTCGTCTGCGAGCCCGTCATGAGCTTCCGCTTCAGCATCGCCAACGACGCCGATGCCGACGTCGACATCAACGTCACCTTCACCGCCGACGCCACCAACGGCTTCTTCATCCAGAAGGGCGACCAGTGCCCCCAGTAAGCGCACATCGTGAACGTTGCGACTCTTTGAGGTTCTAGGCTGCGCAGGATATTTGCATACAGGGGCGTTTGGGATTCGGGGTTTGGATGGTCAGTGGATATGGCCGGTCATTCTGGATTTACTTTAGTTCTTGTCTTACTGGTACTTCTACCGAATTATATGTGTCTTTCCTTCATCAGGCATTCTCATGATCTCGGGTAAGCTCGCGTTGGCAGACGAATCGTCCATCTTGTTATTGTCACGAACTAAAAAGGCCACAAAGTCGATGTTTCACTTAAACATTTGCCTTGCGGTTTCAAACATTGACTGTCGAGGGTTGTTAAGTAGGGATTATGCACATGCATGGATGTAACTGAAGGCCAGGTGTACCGAACAATATCATTCTTTCTCGACACGACGCTAGTATTATCCGCTGAAAACGACTAGAGTCTGACCCTTGCCATACTTGGCCTCATTCCTCTTCTATGTGAACAATGATACTGACGGTCATGCTACGCATGATTCCAAGACCGATGTAAACATAAAGAGTGACTCCCAGATGAGGTTGCCTCCAACATGCTGCTAGGTAACTTGCCGCAAAGCACCTGTTCAAGTTACACATTGGTGATTCCAACTCCAAAATTGAAGCCATTGCTTTCAAGCGTTTACTCCGGAGAGGGCTGCTTGTTTCAAGTACAGGGTGTGCCTATAAGGCATGTTCAAAGCTCGATGGGCAGAGCTTCGTCCCAGTCGACCTCCTCTTCGCAATACTGGCACCTGTTTCTCATACGTCAGTTGCGGAACAACTACTACTAATGTTGTTCAAGGGGGTTCTCACAACAGGTATGTGCATTCACTAAGTATGTAGGTGGCAGTCTTGCAATACGGGCACCGTTTGCCACCCATGCGAGCGATTGCCAATAGACACTGGCGATCATCCTCCGCCTCTTTGGCCTTCCTTGCCCGCTCTTCTTCTGGGGCCTCTCTGCTGCGTCTGCTCTCTGCTTTCATGCATGTCTCTGCGGGGTGAGCCTTGTTGCCGCACGCGAGGCACGTTCGATGTCCGCAACTGCACGTGGCAATGTCAAATCGTCGCTTGCGATGCGAAATGTATTGTTTACACTTCGCGCGGTAACAGTAAAGGAGTGTCCCAGCCAAGAGGTCGATTTGTTCCTCTACAAGATCGCGATATTGTATCCACTCGTCGGGCTCGAGGAAAATACAAGCCCATACGTCAGGAAACGTGCCATTACACTGAACGCAGTCAGGTTTGTTGAAGGGCCAACTATGAAGAGGATGTCGAAGATAAATGACGATGCAGGTACGGCATAGTCTGTGGCCACAGGGGAGCTCCTAGAACTGTGACCTGCTTCTCTGCTTTGTGCAACATAGGCACTGTATCGTCTCAGTCGTTTCGTTGTTCATTGTGTCGGTCCTGGTTTTGACCTGTCAGCGGTTGCCACGACAACTACATCCAAATCGTATCCAAGAGAGATCCTTGCCTTGTTATCTTGCCGTAGGAGACCTTTGGTGCCCTTCTTGACCAATAAAAAAGGCTTATGCTATTGGTGATGAAGGACGATTGCACGCCGTCGCTAGATTCCAGCCTACAGGGCGTCTGTCCGATTGTATTTGGGAATGTGTGCTGGTGCAAAGAAGTCGTCCTCGTACGTAGCTGATCCCAAACCCTCGTTTGCTTGGACAAGATTTCTAGGCAAGGATGAAAATTGTTCTCCGAAGTAGTTTTGTCGACAGTTGCTTGAGTTAGGTATGTAGAGGTGTCGATGAAGAGTCAAGGCCCGTCAGCTATTGGATGAAAGAAGCCAAAGATCACCCAGAAGACAGTCGCGGCTGAATTGGGTCTCCCCAATCCTTCAGCGGTTCCGAGAAATCTGAAAGAACGTTGCTGGCTTATCACAATCTCGAGCAAAGCAACAGAGAAATCGAGGAAGGTAAAACGGTGAACCAGACTATTAGCTAGTTGCAGTGACAGTCACGAGGTTGAGTGCGGCCTGACTAACTCCTTCCAAGTCGTTTTTAAGGATTCTTTCCAGGATTCCAATGACTCTTTTGGGGAGGCGCCTGTCCTGCCTGTCTGCCTCAAATTGTACGTTGTGTTCCGTTTTCGCTGGAGCGGCAGTAACTAAGGTACCTTACCTGGCTTGTCAAGATGGCGTTGTCTCTAGCAGCAACGAGACAAGCCGCACTTGCCGCATCGAGAAAGCTACCTTGGCTTTCAAGATAACACAATTCACATTGGATCTTAAAGACCCCTTGGAAGCCTTGCGTATCATGGGTAGAAACTTGCGAATCCGGAGTTGGCCATGGGGCATTCGCAGTCTGTACGAATACCGTTTTGCTCGTCAGATTTATGCTGAGACCACCCGCTTCAAGTTACTGGAAGGGCTGGTCGGCCTGTGTCTATCAGAATGACATACCTTATTCCCTTAGCTTGATCGGATGTTGCACCGCAGTTTGTCTTACGAAACGACACTGAAGTCACTTGACACAAGCAGGGAGCATTACTGGTGAGCTTTTAGTGTTCCCATTGGATCTTATTTTCCGCTGATGTAGATAATCAGTAGCTGATTTCTAACATCAAATAATAAGGCAAGGTCGATGGCTTTGAAAAGATAGTTTCAGTATCAATCTGAGACATTGGTTCAAGGAGAGTCGATCTCCTGCCAACTAACTCATTTCTCTTAGCAACAGGCAACATCTATCTCTTTACTTCTCAACTCCTGTGGCCAATGTTTTCCTAGTCGCAGCAGTTGCAACGCAGCATTTCTGATCAACCGCCTGCATTCACAACAGTTGCAAGTGCAAGAGCTCCGCTGCTCCGGTAAGCAGCTTACAATCTGCAGCAACTGGGACCGACGCCTTGGCCCTCGTCGTTACGAGCGAGAGGGTCACAAGCAACGTCTACGAATGCTCGACCCTTGATGTCGCCGCAGACTGTGATGAGGCTGGCGCTAGGTGCATCCAACTTCGAGCCGTATCTCAAGAACCAGAACACCGCACTCCTCTAAGGAATACGCAGGGTTATCAGAAACAATGCACAGTATGAGGCCTTTTTGATAACCCCGTATGTTTGAGATTTGTCGTCTCAAGGGTTGTTTTTAGCGTTCGCCAACATGTCGTTGGCTTCTCTTACACGCCTGGTTGGGATCGTGGGGAATGCGGCATGCACCCAAAAGAAATCCAGAAAAAATCATTGGAGGCAACGAATTATGGTTCCATGCAGGAGTGAAGTAGCTAAAGTTGCATGTTCCTGGTCGATACACTTGTAAGGCAAGACGAGGCGAGTCGAGCCTAAAAATAGGGGATCAAATGACGTTGGGACATGTAAGAGAAGCAAACTTAGCCGACTTGAACCAACTCGTGCCGCGTGCAACTCCGCAGTCCAGTCGCAGCACGAGTAATATGCTCTGGAACCTTGCCGTTAGTCTTCAGTTGTCCAAGCTAAGCGCCTAAGGGGGTCGCTTGGCCGCAGACTTGGCTTCGTCTTGGCCCCGAATTTTCAGACTGACAGGAAAACATCGTCGGTTTTGTGGGCTGGCCAAAACCAAGCGACCCTACTCGCGCGAGTCTCGACAGCACCTCAGACTCCGTTAATAGGGGCGAAAGACGTTTTACCGGGTGCGAAACGGGGATTGGACATTGCATAAGAAGCACCGCCCCGGTTAGCGACTTACGGGGGCTTACCCCGCGCCTTTGCGTTTACCAGGTGGGGTTCAAAATCTGTCGCTCCCACCACCATCTTCAACCACAACCCGCGAAATCTAGTATGCCAAGATGGCTGCCCAAGTTCCCACCGAAGCTTTGAAGAAGCTGGCCGGTACGCACGATACCGAACCGCACGCCCGCACACCTGTCACTCTGATGCTAATGGACCGCTTCTAGTGGGAGAGCCCGCGACGACGAACGGCAAGGCAGCGACCCCCGCCGAGGGAAACGGGGCCGACCGCGACAGCGACGACTCGGATGAGGAGGGCGACGAGGTAGCCGCCCCCGCCGCCGGCGGTGCGGCCAAGAAGAAGAAGAAGAGAAAGCCCAAGAAGAAGAAGAAGAACCCGACCGCGCAGTCCGACCCGCCCCGCGTGCTCATGTCGTCGTTGTACCCTCAAAAGAACTACCCCAAGGGCCAGGAGGAGGAGTACCGCGATGAGAACCTCTACCGCACCACAAACGAGGAGAAGCGCCATCTTGACAACCTGAACAACGATTTCCTGACAGACTACCGCGAGGCTGCCGAGATCCACCGCCAGGTCCGCCAGTGGGCCCAGAAGAACATCAAGCCCGGCCAGACGCTAACCGAGATCGCCGAGGGCATCGAGGACGGTGTGCGTGCGCTGACGGGCCACCCGGGCCTGGAGGAGGGCGACGCCATCAAGGGCGGCATGGGTTTCCCGTGCGGTCTGAGTCTGAACGACTGCGCCGCGCACTACACCCCCAACGCCGGCAACAAGGTGGTGCTGCAGCAGGGCGACGTGATGAAGGTCGATTTCGGTGTGCACGTCAACGGACGTATCGTCGACAGCGCCTTCACCATGGCGTTTGAGGAGAAGTACAACCCTCTGCTGGAGGCCGTCAAGGCCGCGACCAACGCCGGTATCAAGGAGGCCGGCATCGACGTGCGTGTCGGCGACGTCGGTGGTGTTATCCAGGAGGTCATGGAGAGCTACGAGTGCGAGATCGACGGTGTAACATATCCCGTCAAGTCGATCCGCAACCTCAACGGCCACACGATCGAGCGCTGGAGCATTCACGGCACCAAGAGCGTGCCCATCGTCAAGAGCAACGACACGACCAAGATGGAGGAGGGCGACGTCTTTGCCGTCGAGACATTCGGAAGCACCGGTAACGGATACGTCAGGGAAGACATGGAGGTTTCTCACTACGCCAAGCGTGGCGAGGGTCACGCCTCTCTGCGTCTGGACTCGGCGAAGAGGCTTCTGAACGTCATCAACAAGAACTTCGGCACCCTTCCCTTCTGCCGGCGTTACCTGGATCGTCTGGGACAAGACAAGTACCTGCTGGGCGTAGGTTTCTCCATATGTCTGTGATATTGGGTAATGCTAACTTCAACAGCTGAACAACCTTGTATCCAGTGGCATTGTCGAGGCTTACCCGCCCTTATGCGACAAGAAGGGTTCATACACTGCTCAGTTCGAGCACGTACGTATATCTGTCCCGCCTCCCTATGATTCAAGACTGACGAATTTCGCAGACCATCCTGCTGAGGCCAAACGTGAAGGAGGTAATCAGCCGAGGAGAGGATTATTAGGCTGGATAAAACCAGTCCAGGATGGATGTCGTCATGGGTTTCCCTTCTACTCAACCGAAACTATCATTCAGATACAACAAAAATCCAAGCAATCCAACCAAGACTGTTCTCACCCTGCCAAGTGTGCACGCTGCACTGCATTGACTTATATACTGTCGAGGCCAACCGCCCAGCATCAGAAACGTAACATGACAGTCGGAGACGCTGTGTCACGGTCGTATTCTGTAGGCCGCTCATGTGCAGCAGCAGGCCATAGCGGGCAGGACGCTGCAGATGTTATGACATGCCAAACCTGTCAACTACGCAACATGTCTGAACCATGGGAAGGGTGAATCTGTCGGCTGCACCATCACGGCCCCATCCCGGGAAATGATGCCGTGCCGACGCGGTGCGGATCGCCGTAATTAACGGGCCGGGTCTATGTTCGGACCGGGTCATCCCCCAAATCGATCGAGCATCATAGGTTGTTCATCGCCTCGGGTTCACACATTGATTCAGTGATGTCACACGACACCCGGAAGGGGAACCGATCGGGCCCCGGGAGATGAGGACAAGCCACCCGTGGGTCCCCATCCGGGCATCAAGCCGGTAATGAGCCACAGAGAGCAACGATCTCCCCGGATTTTTGGGTGTACCACCTTGAGGCTGAAAGAAAGCGTCAACGGCACAATGGACAATGTCAAGCAAACGTCAATTCCGACTCCTAACGGCAATGACGGGGCCGATCGAGGCCCCCGTGACCACATATGTCGCCACCAGGGCCGATACGGTCTGGCTTCGCCGTTCACGGTTGGCTAGAGGCGGCTGACGGATACGTATCCGCCTCCCCAAACCCATGTCTCCACTCCACCGCATGTCCCAAGGGTCCGATCAGCGGCGTCCAGAATCACAGAGAACAGACTTACGTTGGAGTGACACATCCGTGTCGGCTCTTCACCCGCCGGTGACCTCGGGTTTGGTAGCGGTCGAGAGGGGTTCGCATCAACGGTGTTTGACCGCTGTCGGTGGTAATGATGCAGCAAAAAAAAACATTGGCAGATTCTTGGCAATGGTTTTCACATTGCTGAAATGTATCCGTAGCTGCTTATTAGCGGTGTCTCTGATGTTTGAGGAGGGCGCGGGAGCGGGCGCGGCGCTGCCAGGCTGGGCTTGAATCGGCGAGGTGGACGCTCGGTCCCCTAGCAAAAAAAAAAAAAAACGCTCCTAAGTCCGGCCAGCTCTTTTTTTTTTTTTTCTTATTGTGTGGTGCTTCTCAAGCTGTGCGAAATCTCCACCCAAAGGCCAATCACATGCTGGCAAGAGCAGAGTTCACCGCGGCCAGCCCGTTCCGATTTTTTTCATCGTTCCCAATGCGCGCCATACCCGATCGGGAGAGATAGGCGAGGTCGAAGGGCCCCTAGCCGGTCCAAACAGCATGCTCCCTTCAGCTGCCTGACGGGTCCTCTACTGCGTAAAGCCTGCAAGTCAATGGTCTCGCTCGCACGCGCCACCCCGAATTCCCATTCCTTCTCCGGGGTTAAGGACCGCTGGAAAGGAGGGGGCCATGCCCACCTCACCAACCGCTGCGACGCAGAGCGCAGAGGGCCAGAGGCACAGAGGCAGCGAGAAATTTCCTCTCATCCCAGCGCACCGCCCAGCGCGTGAAACCTTGCGTTCGCCGGTCGCGCCGTCCACTTTTATTTTTGCCACGCACATGATTGGCCAAATGTCCTTCCTAAAAAACCCGCACACGACACCCGCTCCACCCACCACCCACCGACCTACCGAGAGCTTTCCCAAGTGCAAGGTTCATAGCCCGTCCAGCATTTTTCCCTCCCTTTATTATCAACAAGATCCCATCCTTCCCATCCTTATCAAGGACGACTTGCATTAATCACTCTAGAGCCCTTTGACTCATCACTGTCGCTTCGCCCGACAACAAATAACAAAAACACCAAAAAACAAAACAACCGCAGCTTGCTCTCGACTCTTTCGAGCTTTTCGCTGCCACTATCTCTTACGAATCTAACGACCCGCACACGATATCCCCGATAGACGAGAGGAGGAGCCCAGAAAAAAAAAGTTTCCAGGAAACATCCACACGAGCTCTTCTCCATCACCACCAACCACACCCGCAAAAATGAAGGTCTTTTCCAACGCAGTAACGTTCAACTACTCCTGGGAGGAGGTCTCAACCGCCAACTGGCGCAAGTACTGCCCGTGGAACGATAAGTCATCGCACGTCCTCGCCGTCGACACCCTCTCCCGCAACGTCGACCCGGCCACGGGCATCCTCCGCACCGAACGCCTCATCAGCACCAAGCAGTCGCCGCCCGAATTCCTCAAGCCCTTCTTCGGCGAGGGTCTCTCCTACAGCCTCGAGACGTCCTACGTCGACCCCAAGACCAAGACGGTCACCATGGTCTCTCAGAACATGTCGTACGCCAACATCGTCAACGTCCAGGAGACGGTTATCTACAAGCCCATTTCGGCCCAGAAGACCGAGTTCGTCCAGGACGCACAGATCACCGCGCTCTGCGGCGGCTGGCAGCGTATCAAGAACAAGATCGAGGACTCCGCCGTTGTCCGCTTCCGCGAGAACGCCGTCAAGGGCAAGGAGGGCTTCGAGAGAGTGCTCGCCATGAGCAGGATGGTCTTCGCCGAGGAGCGCGAGCGTGAGCGCGGCATCCGTGCTGCCATGTAAGCGCCCAACAAAGATGACGCGGGCGGATGTTCCGGTCCGCCGAATGTCATCTTTCGCGACGAGATATCTTGCGTTTGCAGCGAGCGAGCCACACGTCGATTTCACAACAAAAAGCGGATTGCACTTTTTTTACGGACAGGGAAAACAAAAAGGCTAGACGGCGTTAAGAGTTATGACTTTACGGAGAGTAGAACAGGAGGGAAGTGTGAGGGCTCATTTGAGCATCTCAACGTGTACAAATCATTTTTACTACTGGAGTTCAGGCAAATACCCCTACATGATAGAGCATCCGGGGGTTTTCTGCGCCGAAGCATCGTCTTTTTAAGCCACTGGGCTAGAAGATTAGAGTGTTTTTAGAATAATAGACATCTCCCACACCATTTCACACACACAAATCTATGCATCCTCAACACATCAGCAAAGTTTGACCCTGAAAAACTTGAATTCCCCAAGCCACGCCCGAAATCCCTCATCGCCCAAGGGAATCTGGACGCCTCATGCAATTTCGCGACACGGATATCTCAGTTCCCCATCCGACCCCGGCACTTCTCCTCATACCGGCCCAGCATCTCCCTCGTGTCCCGGTCCAGCGCCGCCTCGCTCCCGTCCAGGACCCGCCTCGCGAACGCCGCCGCCTCGTCGAACCGCCGCAGGAAGTACAGCTCCTCGACCGCGTGCAGGACTTCTTGAAGAACCGGCTTGGTCGCCTGGTCTGGTTTCAAGGGCAATTCAACAGTTTGCCAAATCTTTGGTTTTTTACCCACGGTCAGCACAGTTTCTCTCATTCACTCTCACCCATGCAAGGGGCGGGGAGGGGGGGTTTTCCGGATGTCGGTGAGGTGGAGAAAGGGCAGAGAGGGGTTTTTTGCTCCGGTCGGCGTCTGGCCAAGGCCCGGATACATGGAGCCTTTCCGAGGTTCCGGTGGTGGGTGAGATGCCTAGGCACTCACACGCACCAAAATATTCGTAACGCATAAGGTAATCGTGATATAATTGCGACAGGATGAAGGAGTAATCTTTTCTTTGCGACTCACCTCTCCGTTCTGCTCCTTGACCCTGTACGTCCTCCTGAGCTGCTGGAACTCCTCCTCGGTCTGCTGGTCCCTGGGCTTCGCCTTGGTCTCCTCGTCGGAGTCGATGGCGATGCAGAACAGGCCTCCTTCGTCGTCCGACATGTTTCTTTTTCCTTTTCTGGTGCTGCGAGTCGGTCTGGTTTGGAAAGCACGCCGAGATCGCCGACCCGGGTTTGAGTATTCGTATACGGCTGCCGCGTAGCTCCTTTGCCTCAACGGGTATATCCTGATTTCGTCTCTTCTATTTGCCGAAATGTTTCGATGACTCTGAAGTTCCAGCCGGACGAATTCGATATTACGGATCGCAAGAATAAGACGTTCTGGTCGCCGAACTGTGGTAGAATGAGGTATCCTCCGCGCAACCCGTTATAAGCCGGCACTGGACCGCTTATGCAATTACCCCCCACGCCCAAAATTTACACCATCCGTGTATCCGTAAAACGAAAAAATCCCGCCGCAGCAAGTCCTGCCGAAGCCCGTCCCCAAAAATGACATCAAGCCGCATGGCGGGGTTTGTCGCAGTGGGGGCCGTTGCACCTGGCGGGGCGTTGTAGGTAAGGTAGCTTGATAGCTCCCAACGCCTCTCTTGACGACATCTCTTGGACTTGTCTGCTCGTTTCTCACAGTAATCATACTGCAAAAAGAAAACAAGATGGAAGAACAGGTAGAAAGGCTCGTCGACAAGGCCTGGGCCAAATTCGAAAAGACCCCGGCCGACCAGCGCCTGCGTAAGTCCCGCATACGTCTCCTTGGAGCTCATCACGCGAGCATCGTGAAGCTTTCCCGCTCCCGTCCAAGCTCCCAGTACCCCACGTACGATCCAACGGCACGGCAAAGCTGACAACTCAAAACAGTGATCGGCGTATCCGGGATCCCGGGCTCGGGCAAGACGACGCTCTCTCAGATCGTATCGACCCGCCTCAACGCCCGCGCCGTCTCCCTCGACCCCTCGCGGACGGAAGACCCGCCGGCCGCCTTCGTGCCCATGGACGGCTACCACCTCACCCGCGCCCAGCTCTCCGCGATGCCGGACCCGGTCAACGCGCACGCACGCCGCGGCGCGGCCTTCACCTTCGACGGCCCCGCCTTCCACGCCCTCGTCAAGGCCCTCCGCACCCCCCTCCGCGCCGACTCGGATCCCATCTACGCCCCCAGCTTCGACCACGCCGTCAAGGACCCCAAGGAGAACGACATTGCGATCCTGACCACGCACCGCATCGTCGTGTTCGAAGGGAACTACCTCTCGCTGGACAAGGAGCCGTGGAACCTGGCGGCGGGGTTGATGGATGAGCTGTGGTTCGTGGATGTGGATTTCGACGTGGCGAGGCGGAGGTTGATCAAGCGACACGTGAAAGCTGGAATCGCAAAAGATGAAGATGAGGCAGACAAGAGGGCGCGGGAGAACGACTTAGTTAATGGGAGGGAGATAGTGGATTTCAGGATGAAGAAAGTTGATGAGATTGTCGTCAGCCGGGAAGATGACGAATGGATTCACGAGTGATGAATACCCTACAAACATATGCTTTCCCTAGACCGTTGATGATGGATGTCGCGCGGGTGGGATTATGTTTCACAGCTATCGCCGGACTAGATGGCTTAGATTACTTTGTGGGCAGACTGATCTACTTGCTGTACGGCACGGGCATGATGCGGACCATCTCACAGCTTACTCTCAGGCAGGGAAGCATCACTCTGTGAGACGGAGGCATCCTGATGCTCAAGTCATCTGCAAATCACATCAGATTTTTACATGAAGTAAGCTGCTCATTCGCTTAATACCTTTTTGGAGGGATTTGACTGTGTATCAGCTATGCTAATTGTGCCTCGCTGTCGCTGCCATCATTATCAATCCTTCCTCATGTTGTTCTCATTGCGTCAAGAGCCTTTACTGAATTTGACGAAGTTTGTCGCTTAGCTCTCGTTCCGAAATTACTCCCCCCATTCCTGTTCTCTGCCCAAAACAAACCTATGCAAGCCGCCACTACCTCCCCCAGACGCTACGATTACTGAAAGTTTGTGCCTCCAGTGAAGCTTCCGGCGTACTTGGCACCGGACCAGCCAGTAGCGAACATAGAACTCTCGAGGCCGCGACGGATCCGAGGGCCGGTGGAGGAGGCCTGGTTCTTCTGGCAAGGCTGGAATGGCTGAGCTGCAGGTGAAAAGGCAGGACCATGGCCATGGGTATTGACCTGCGTAGTGGTGTTGTACATGGACGGTTGCTCTCCAGCGGGAGACTCCTCTGAACTGACGTGCCAAGTAACGCTAACTGCGTGTACCTTGCCGGGAGGCGGAGGAGGGAGATGCTGCCAGCCAGGAAGCATTTGCAACATCTGCGGATGGTATGCCATCGGCTGGGCTCCCATAGGGTGGGACATTTGGGGACTGACAAGTGCAGGCGGCATGCCAAGAACGCTGGGAGCCTGGAAATGCTGGGCGCTAGGAGCGAACAAGGGGTTGGGCCCCATCGCAGCAGACACGGCGGGAGTAGTCTGGGCGGACTGATCAGTCGCGTCAGAAACAGATGCCTTGCGATCGATGGGAGCCTGGTTCGAAGCCGAGGCAGGAATGGCGACTGGGGTGTTTTGAGCAGAGGTGTCAGTGGCCTGGGCAGTCTTCTCCTGATAATAGCTGGCAGGCGCTAGCTTGTCGACCACGACCGCAGACTCTGCCGTGTGCTCAGACTTGGCCGTCTCCCAAGAGACAAAGGATTCTCCAACCACAGTGGTTCCATCGCGGGAAGACTCTTCGACCTCGGTCTTGACAATGGCCGTGCCTTTGATGGTGTCGTCAGAAGACATGGTCTGGGCCGGGGCCGTCTCAGCTTCGCCCTCGGCCTCGATATCAATGAGATTGGAAGTCAGAGAAGTATCGAGATCAGTCGAAACATCTTTCTTCGAGGCAACCCGCTGGGAAGACTCGGTTTTAGCCTGCGAGGCCGAACCTCCAGCGATCCAATCCTGCAAGAAGGTGGTGGTGTTGCGAGTGACCTGAGGGCTAGGGGTAGCAGCCCTCTGTTGACCCTGCTGCGGACGTGAAGGCATCCGGACGTTGAGCTCCTGGCGTAAAGGGATCTGCACATCACGAATGCCAGGAGGCGCTTCAGCAGAACCGCGTTGGTCGAAAAGTTCCTGGGCGGTGTACTGAAGGCGAGTCGTCGTATCCGAACGGTCGGTGTTGTACATCGACGAGACCTTGACCTTATCAAGCGACAGCTTTCCGAAGGCGTCCTCCATTCCAGTCATCTTGTCTAGAGTCTGACTGACTTCGACCTCGGGGATAATGAGGTCAGTCTCCTGTGTGACAGCCTTGGGTCCGGCAGCGGCCATCTCTTGCGCGACGCCCTCAGATGAAGACGAAGCAGCCTCCTGAGAAATGGGAGCAGAAGAAGCCTCCGACTTCGACGCTATCTTGGAAGCCTCTCCGCAGATCGACGACACATTCTGGACGTACTCAATAACTTGCTGAAGCATCTCCGCCATCGAAAGGAAATTCTTTGCGTCATCTTCAGACCCGAACTTGAGATTGTAGCGTATGGTAGAGCCGGATGAGCCGAACGTGACAATGCACTGAATTCCCTTGTGGAAGGCAAGTTTGTGACCCTTGAGGTTGTGACTGTGGCGCTTGAATGGAACCTCCTGGAAGATAATCACGAAGAGCGCTTGACCATCGGGATGGTTTTCGTTTTCAAGCTTCAGCTCGACGATGGCATCCTTCCATTGGCCTCCGATGGCAGCACTGCAAGCTGCAGACCAACGTCGACAATCATGAGTTGCTTGGTCCTCGGACACAATCAACTTGGCGACAACCGGCTGAGTTTGATTGACAGAATCCTTGGAGGGGCCATCCGTCATGCCTGACGCAGCATCGTTGCCCGAAGTCTGGGTCTCTTGGGCCTTAATGGGGGCCGGAGACTCAGTCTGAATCTTCTGGACCTTGGGAGCGGGGCCAGCTGGAGACGAGATCTCAGTAGTTCTCTTCCTCATCAGGTGAGGGGGAAGAGCCTTGCTGGACTTCTGGGAGCTGTTCTCCTCGGTCTTGACAGAAGCCTGGGTAGCCTGGACAACAGGGGCAATTGCAGCTTGGGGAGCAGCTGCTCTCGAGGGGCCTCTCATGGGATGAATGACGTGAACCTCGCCCTGAGGATTGGCGTTGGTGGGTTGGAAGACGCGGATCTCCGCACCAGGAGGAAGCAGAATTCCATTGCTGCTGACTTTCATGCTCCGGAACATCTCCTGGCTGCAAGATGTCAGTTATGTTAGGTTCGAGTAGACGCAACAACTCACTTTGGACGACGAGTCTCCGTGAAGTCGCGGGCAGGACCGGCAGAAGGCCGGTATACACAGGGACCGCCGAGGTCATTCAGACCTCGGACACCCATGGCCTCGTCGTCATCGAGGCCGTCCTTTGCCATGGCTAAAAGCTGAGTTAGATAGAATCACCTCTCAAAACGTTCTTGTCGACGAACCTAGGTAACCGTTGAGAGCCTCCGAAGTCTCGTGGATGACAGGGGCGCGACGAGCACGCTGGGGGATGTGACGCTCATGGTGAGTGTTGTCAAGAGGAAGATCCTCGACTCGTGCGAGACCAAGATCACTCTGCTGGAAATTAGTCACGTCCACCAACAAGAGGCAATGAGAGGTAGCTTACCATCATTGCTTCCTTCACGATAGCCTGCTGATCGATGGCCTGAGCCTGACTCTGAGAGTCGGCAACTTGCACACGCAACTTCGGCATTCTATCGGCACGACGCTCATTGGCGTCACCCCAAGCACCCATGTTCGCAACAGTCAAGTGGTTGTCGAGCAGGGAAGTCGTACTGTTTCCTTATTACACTGCGGTGCAGCGATGATCTGTGGTGATGATGGTCGAGGTTATCTGGTGTGGTTCCAAGGCCTAGAGTTATTTTGACGATCTTGAGATGAAGAGAAGGGAAACTGAGAAGAGGGACAAGACGAAAAGCCCAGGCCTCGAATATGGCCGTTGTGATAACGCCGGAAAGCGGAAGGAGCGAGTGTTACCGCGGTGGACATGTGCTTACCAGAAGATGTTGTAAAGCTTTGGGGTTTTCCCAAGGTTCGTTGGTGTTCTTGTTGCGAGAAAAGAGTGGTGTATGGCGAGGGATGAGGGAGAGTTGGTTGCCTGCCTTAGCTACTTGTCCGAGAAAAGGTCTTGGGGCAAGTAGAGAGTAGGTAAACGAGTGGTGCGTCTGTAATGTCTTTCGCGAAAAATACTTGCGCGAAGCGCGTAGGCTGATGTGATGATGTTTGTTTGTTGTGATGGAAGTGTGGGTGTGGGAAGAAGACGAGAGACAGATGGTAGAGGTGGGATGAAGAAGAAGGATTCGAAAGGCAGAGGGAACCCTCGCTTAAAAAGTCTGAGGGGCAGGAAGCCAGAGAAATTCAGGACGGAAGGAAGGTCGACGAGGGGTATGGGAAGGAGACTGGGTGGTCGAGGTGATAATCAGGCAAAGAAGGAAGGCAGGTTCGTCACAGGGGGCCAGGTTATCTGGGGGCAGAGATGGTCCTTACTGCCCTTTACCTCGCCTTAGGATTGAAAATTCAGTCGACTGGGCAACAAAGATAGGAAAGAACTCTTTCGTGTGGGTTGTTGTGTAGGCTGTTGGCTAACTTTCCTGTGATCGTGAAGACACATTCTGAGGATTAGGCCTATCAGCAGACAAACAGACCTTCGAGGCTTATCCCAGTACAACGGTCCCAAATTCTGTGCATACGGACGGGAAGGAGCAGACAGTCTTTCAGGAAATTAGGCACACCACCTGCCTGAAAGCCCTGCTTGAAGCTGATCTCCCAGAGAAAGCTTTCATCTTGACCAAGGCACTGGAGAATTCAAGTGATGAATCAACCCAAAGAATGTTGTTCTAAGAGTCAATTTTCCTGCCCACCTGTCCAATGGAACAGCTCAAGCGGAATCTGCGCTGGGCTTACAAACAGAAGCTCCCTGCAGCATCCTTGCTCGATATCAGAAACTGAACCTCTGCTCATTTTCTCTTCATCGAAAGGTCGGCGCTATCCATTTGGGTAAGCATCTATCCACAGACAGCATGCCAGAAGTCGAAGAGAAGCAAATTTCCCCAGCTGTCGCAGTTGAATTGAGTATGATAAACACCTCTTCAGCGACGGCAGATCAACTTTTAGACAAAACGGAAGTGGTCGGCACACGTTTATAACACATGACATTTGTCCATACTTGTCTTCACCTGGTGTACGAGTTTGCGCATATTTGGAAATTCATACGAAGATTGAAAAGCCTTCAAGGGCATATCATTAACTCATGTCATGCTTTCCCGTGCTTTCCGTTGTGCCTGCCTATAATACAAGTTCGCTTCCCATCCATAAAACATCCAATTTACCGGGCAGCGGCGTCCTTGGGGGGACCGTTCAAGCCCTCGACACCCTGGCGACCAACGCTGCTGAGGTCCTCGGCGGCCTTGGAAGCAGGTTCTCTCAGGCCAGAGGTGGCGGCGGTCTCGGTGCCGATCTTGCGCTCGGCATCACCACCGGAGCCGACGTTGACGTTGCGGGCGTCCGCGGACTGCCAGTCGGAGGCAACGGGGGGCTGCTCGGGGAGGGGGAGGTTCTGCTGGACCTCGTTGATCTTGTCGGCCTTGGACTGGGTCATTTTGACGGTTGTGTGTGGTGCGTTTGGGAGTAGTTGAAGCTAGAGCGGGAGTGAGTTAGCGCCCGTTTGTCATTGGTGGAAGCTCGACCGAGCTAGGGTGATGCAACATACTGCGTGGTTGAAGAATTTAAAGTTTTGGAAATATTCCGTAGCTTGGTTTATTGGTTTGGTCTCTGTGTTTCGTGTGATGTGATGAGGAAAAGAAAACAGCTTACAATTGAGATTTTGCAGACATCTTATATGTGAAGTCGTCAACCTTCTTGTCCACAAAACCCAGGTCCAAATGCGCTGACGTCAATGACGTCAAGCAGAGGCAATTGCGGCTCTCGCACACAATCAGTGGAGCTGGATACCGCACGCTCCAGTGTCATCGACGATTGAGCGGTAGGTGGAGACATCAAACGACAGAATGGCGATCAATGACAGAATTGCTCCAGGAGGAAAAGCTCCTTGGGCTTCCAACAGCATCCACGCATTAGGTCCCTGGCGGTCGTTGCCTCATTCAGATGCAGGTTTATTGGGGGGTTTGGTTCGTAATCTTGATCAGCCCTGAACGCCTCATTCTCCCGCAAATGCCAGCCAGGTTTTTGTCCGATGTCCTTCTCCATAATGCCAGATGGCCGCCTTGACCAACAAATCGACGTTTCGACGCACCCACCATGATGCTATTTTTCAGCCTTGCCCCTCTCACATCCTCCAGCTTTACCCCTCATCTGCTTCCTCCGCCGGCCTGCCGTCGTCATGCCTGACTTAGGCCATCCTCTTGTCCGTTTCAGCTGATGTCGCCTTGTCTCCCATGTCCGGGTTCAGGTAGTCGGCGTCCTCTGCAGCCTCGTACTCTTGGATAAGGTCCTGTACGACTTCACGAGACTCGTCAAACTCATCCAGGTTCTCGGCAAATGGCGCTGTTTTCTTGTATCCTTCCATGAAGGCGTTGCGCTTCCGCATACCGTCGTATTGCCTGACGATTCTCTTGAAGAGCTGCAAGATGTTTATTAGCAAGCGGTATCCAGTTGACAATCTGCATGATACTCACAGTCGCAATGCTTGTGTGGTTGGCCAGCATCAACCCGCTGACGCGGTGGGCCATGGGGATGTAGGGGCTCCTCTTCGTCAGGGCCACCTGAATGCTGGCTGGACCCCAGGGGATGAAGGTTGCCAAGCGTCGTTCCCGGATTCTCAGCAAACTCTTGTGGACATCTGTCGGGTCCACCTCGCCCTGGATGACATTCAGGATGGAAATGTAGCAGCTCTTCTTTCCAGGTTGAGTTGAGACCATGCGATTTTTGGGCTGCAGCAACCGCCGCATGACGTCCAGCACCGTTGTCTTGCGTACCGTCTTTGCTTGCTCGACCTGGTCGCCTGTGAATGGAGTGTACGAGGTCATCAGGAAGTGGCATCGCGGGGTCGGGATTAACGAAGCCAAGATGCTGACAAGATCGTTGTGCATGTATCCAGGGTATCTCAGGGTTGTTGTGCTCGCGGACATGACCGTCGAAACCTATTGCGGCATATCAGCATGCGTTACCATTAGCCAAATTGTTTGTAAACCTACAAGCTGGTTGGTCTGTGCAAAGGATGGCTCTTGAACATGCAGCCGGTCGGCAGCAATGCGTGATAGCGCTCCGTTGTCCAACACAACGACCGAATCAGCATTCTGCACCAACCTCCTCATGGCGAGTACGCTGTTGTAAGGGTGAACGACGACATCTCCTGCATTTGTTGTGTCGGGAAACACAGAGTATGTTTGAATGATCTTCTTGGGAAACCGATCGTTCAGGCGCTCGAGAAGGAATGATCCCAAACCAGATCCAGTGCCGCCTGCTATTGAGTGCAGCAGCATGAAGCCCTACCACAAGTTAGCCAAATCACAGTGTATGAAGGACATGCGTACCTCTAAAGAATCACTGCCGTCCGCTTCACGGTCGATCATCTCCATAATGTCTTCGTAGACGACTTCGCCTGTCTGGTAACCATCACCCCAGTTGTTTGCCGCGCCGACACCACTCTTTCCAATAAAGAAGTTCTCCGGGTTGTAAATATTCTTGTATGGTCCTGTTTGAATGCCATTGATGACCTGTAGCGACTTAGCAAGCATTCTCCTGTCATCATCAGGGGGCACATACTCTGGGTTCCAAGTCGACCAAGATAGCTCGTGGAATGTATCTCGTATCGTCACTCTGATAATAGAACACGTCTTTTCGGTCGCCGCCCTCGGTCGCAAAGTCCTCAAGATTTCCATCTTGGTTGATTCCGTGCTCCTGGCATAGTTGCTGCCAAAACTGGCTTCCAACTGCGCGATGTCAGTCTCGATGTCGTCGTCGGGCTACCCCGTTCGTCTCGGATCGTGGAAGGCATAGCGGGGTAACTGACTGCTGTTGCCGCATTGTCCGGCCTGGACTGTAATTATTTCCCTGAGAGGATAAGGTTAGATGGTGACGATTTTGGGACGGCATGCGACGAACCTCGGCATCTTGCGATTTGGCGGCGGGGCGTTGGCGGCGTTGGGCTTCAAAAACAATCGATGTTGAGGAACTCATGATGGTCGACGCGACAAGGTGCTTATCGATAAGCGACGCGATGCGCGTTCTCATTGGGCGCCGTCCGTAAGTGACATGTCAGGGGACCCCCCTTCTAACTTGCCAAATTCCCAAGACGCTTCGGGCTCCAAGCCAAGCCACCGACTCTCCGAGTCGAATAATTTGAATCTCCATTTCTTTCATTCACGGTGAAACAGCCCACGCAGACTAGTCAGGGACGGTCTTGGGTCTTTGTTAATTGCCTGCGCCTTGTCGAAATTGGCACGACAACTGCGATATCCCTCTGAGGCCTCTCTTAATCTGTTGCAAGCACCAGACGCCGACAAAACAACGACTGATGAGTCCAAATTTGAGATGCCACTGTTGCTGAAGCAATCCGCAATTGCTACACTAGAAATAGTGACTTGAGTTATCCCGTTATTCGGTAGGGTCCCGCGTCTCAGATCTATCCGAACCCCTATCAAGGCTGCTCATAAACCCCGGTTCTATACCTGGTAGAATGAGATGATATCCGTAGAACTCAAGCCCACGATCCATAGTTTGCGAGATTCCCATCGTCTGTTCGCGCCATCATTTCCAGCTCCCAGGCATTTTCTCGGCTGCACATGGGCAGAAAACAACCCTTGTACGATTTGCAATGCCGCTAGTTCACATGCACATTGGAATGGTTTGGTCTTCTTGAAGAGGTCATCTGCTTCCTTTAGACTACGAAGTGGTGTCTAAATAATGTGCCTACGTCCACTGACTTGGGTTCGATCACCTGCAAGTGTCCCAACCGGGCCCAAATAGCGCGGGTGCCAATGAAGATTGGGTGTGTGACATCGGACTGGCGAGCTTCGGAGGGAGCCGCTGGGTCCATCCCCATGCGCCCCTATTCGGTCCCTGTCAACGCCCATTGGCCCGGAGCCAAAAAGCAATTAAGCCTCTCCCTCCACCAACGGTGCTACTCGGCTGGGGATTTGCACGCCGTCACAGGGATTGCTGGACCTGGCGCCCTCCCTTGAACTCCCGTCGCCCACTCTGCACCCCGTTATTCTCCCTGTCCATGTCTTTGGCTCCCCCAACGTCCCCCAAGGTCCTTGCCTGGCTCGAGAAACCGCGACTGCAATACCGACCGTCCGTCAACCCTGCACCTCGACCTGCAGGAGGAGGAACAAGCAACCTCACCTCATCTCGACACTTGCCGAATTTTGGCAGTCGTTCCTTCCCAACCAAAGAAAAAAAAAAACTCCAAACCAAAAAAAGATAACCGTCACTTTTCCAGCAAGCGACTTGGTGATCGACGAGAGCGCCGTTGCCGTTACCGTTACCGTTACCAATGGTGTCTTGGCCTTAGCTCCTGTCCTTCCCATTGTGTATTCGCAGCTTCCTCCCTTCCTCGACGACCTTGTGGAATTCCAGCACGACCTGAGACACGATGACAGAACCGAAAAGAGATGAGTCCATCTCACCAATGACACGAAGCCCTCGCGCGGCCTCTCCTGCCGTGTCGGGAACCGCGGGCGCACCAGACTCCCTCGCTCCTCCTCCACCACCGAAAGACGGACCTCCCGCTCCTCCACCGAAAGACCTTCCTTCTCCTAGATCGACACCAGCGATTGATTCGACGACAGAGGCAAGAGACTACATCAATGGGGGCGTGCCTCACGATAGCCAATCGCCGGTTCAACAGCCGCGAATTCGCCCGAACTTGCCGACCCTGAACAGCAGCGACAGCTTTGGTGCGAGACAAACTCCAGGAGGATTGCCGATGATGCCGGAAGATAGTACATATAGCCCTGAGCCGGCATCTCCCACAGACCGTCGAAGTGTACAGTTTGCACGAACAGACCAAGTGCTAGAGCCGCCAGCCAGCCACTCGCGGAACCCGTCATGGGAGGACGGCGGCAAGTCGATTGGGTCTTCTTTCATGACCAAACTGAAGCAGTTGACAGGCTCTGGTTCTCTTCAGACTCTCAAAACAAGCAGTTCAGGAAATTTGAACGAGTCGGGCACACCCTCCCGAAGCAACTCCCCAACGAGTGGCCGGCCAAGAATACCCGGGACACTGGACGAGGACGATGGCGGTCAGGGTGGTAGCGATGCCGACGCCGATGTCGAGACTGCGGATGAAGGCAACGCGACCGACAATGTCGCCAAGCCAAAGAAGAAGAGAAGGATGCGCAGGTCGAAGAAGCCGCAGTCGTCTGCTCCCGGCACCCCAAACTTGAGGCAGTCGCATCTACCGTCGCACTTGCCCGGTCCCGACTCGCCCGTTGGCTATGGACGTATGGGTGCCTTGCGACGCCGCTTATCGATGCCTGACCAGTCCGAACAACCCCACGGCATGTCTGAGGGCGAAGGTCGCGATCAGCTGGCCGGTCCATCCTGGATGCGGCCTCACAGGGTAGACGGCGCCGAAAGCCCCGGCGGAACCGCCAGACGTGGACACATGCGCCGCATCACGGTCCTCGGCGGCGGTGGAGTATCAGATGGAGACGCGATGACGACACCTAAGAGACCCTTCTTTGGCAATGAGAGAGCGTCCACATGGAAGTACGTCAAGAACACGTTGAAGCTTCTTAGGCAGAAGAAGGAGGATCGTTTCGACTTTGCCAAGTCGGCGGAACTCATGGCTGAGCTACGAGCCGGCGCGCCCGCCGCACTCATGCTGGCCAGCATGATTCAGAGAGACGAACATGGCAACAAGCGAATCCCCGTCCTCCTAGAACAAGTTCGTTTACGTATTACCGACAGCCAGCCAGAGTCAGATGACGACGACAGCGAACGCCACTGGGTTTTCACCATGGATCTGGAATACGGCAGCGGGCCGTCGCGCATGAAATGGACCATCATCAGGACCCTCAAGGATGTTTACAACCTTCATGTCCGTTACAAGCTTGCGATGAGCAACGACAAGTACTTGCATGGGCGCGCCGATGTGGGTGCTCGACCCAAAATGCCCAAATTTCCCTGGGGCGCCTTCCCCTATTTGCGCGCCGCTCGCAACAAGGACGACAGCGACGGGGACGACGACGGAGCCAGCATCAGGGCGGCAAGCATTAGAGGCGACGAGACCGGGGCCGAGGGTACTGCTGCCGAAGCAACCGCCGGAGATGGGACTGCCAGTGAGTGGGAGGGAGGCCGAGCTGGGCCTGGCAATAGGAAAAAGTCCCGTCTTGGTATGCTGGGCATGCGCCGAAAATCGACCGGTTTTACGGACCCCGGAGAGTCAGGCGCGGAAAATAATCAACTCGAACTGGCTCAGGCGAGAAAGAGATATTTTGAGAGACAAAGACGGGTCCTTGAAAAGTATTTGCAGGACATGATCCGTTGGCTCATGTTCCGTGCTGACAGCAACCGGCTTTGCAAGTTCTTGGAACTTTCTGCCTTGGGTGTGCGCTTGGCTGCTGAAGGCAGCTACCACGGCAAAGAGTGCTACCTCCACATTCAATCCTCCAAAGGAATGGACTTCCGCCGAGTCCTGACGCCAAAGAAGGTTATTGCCCGTCACAGTCGAAAATGGTTCCTTGTGCGGTCCAGTTACATTGTCTGCGTGGAATCACCAGAGAAGATGAACGTCTACGATGTCTATCTTGTGGATTCCAAGTTTCGCATTGTTTCCAAGAAGAGCACGTTGAAACAACTAGGCAAAGGAAAGACTAAGTCTGAGGAGAAGGAAATCGACTTGATCGCAGAGCCAGATACCGAGAAGCACCACACCCTGACATTGCATACGGCCGAGCGGAAAGTCAAGCTGTTTTCGAGGAATCAGCATGTCATGAAGCAGTTTGAAGACTCAATAGCAGAGATGCTCAAGCAGACCAAGTGGCACGACATCAACCGCTTCGACAGTTTCGCTCCTATCAGAAACGGCGTCTTTGCACAGTGGCTTGTCGACGGAAGAGACTACATGTGGAACGTATCCCGCGCCATCAGCATGGCTCGCGACGTCATCTACATCCACGACTGGTGGCTGAGTCCCGAGCTGTACATGCGTCGACCTGCTGCGATCAGCCAAAAATGGCGTTTGGATCGTCTTTTGCAGCGGAAGGCTCGAGAGGGTGTGAAGGTGTTCGTCATCGTCTACCGCAACGTAGAAGCTGCCATCCCTATCGATTCAGAGTACACCAAATACTCGCTTCTGAACCTGCACCCAAACATCTTCGTTCAGAGGTCGCCCAACCAATTCAAGAAGAACCAATTCTTCTTCGCCCATCACGAGAAGTTGTGCATCGTCGATCATGACGTCGCTTTCGTTGGTGGCATCGACCTCTGTTTCGGCCGTTGGGACTGTCCGCAGCACCCAATCACTGACGACAAGCCGACAGGATTCGAGCAGAGCGAGCAACCCAAGGATGCCGAGCACGTTCAGCTCTTCCCTGGCAAGGACTACTCCAACCCTCGAGTTCAGGACTTTTTCAAGCTGGATGAGCCGTACGAAGAAATGTATGACAGAAGCAAGGTGCCCAGAATGCCCTGGCATGATATTGCCATGCAAGTCGTCGGGCAGCCTGCCAGAGACCTGACAAGACACTTCGTTCAGCGATGGAACTACATCAAGAGAGGAAGAAAGACGACTCGGCCTCTTCCCTTTTTGCTCCCGCCTCCGGACGTTAAGATGGCCGAGCTGGAGGCTCTCGGGTTGAATGGCACTTGCGAGGTCCAAATCTTGAGATCCTCAAGCAACTGGTCTCTCGGAATTGAACACACGGAGTGCAGCATTCAAAACGCTTACATCAAGATGATCGAAGACTCGGATCACTTTGTCTACATTGAGAACCAGTTTTTCATCACCAGCACGGAAGCTTTCAACACCAAGATTGTCAACCGCATTGGCGATGCTCTGGTTGAACGTATCATCAGAGCTCACGAGGGTGGTGAGGAGTGGAAGGCATGCATCGTTATCCCTCTTATGCCCGGTTTCCAGAACACCGTCGATGAGCAGGAAGGTACCAGTGTGCGATTGATTCTGCAGTGTCAGTACCGCAGTATTTGCCGTGGAGATGGTTCCATCTTTTCACGTCTCCGGGCTGCTGGCATCGAACCCGAGGACTACATCCAATTCTACAGTTTGCGGCAGTGGGGCAAAATCGGCGCCAGGAATGCTTTGGTAACTGAGCAGCTTTACATCCACGCAAAGTGTATCATCGTGGATGACCGTGTGGCTCTCATTGGCTCTGCCAACATCAACGAGCGTTCTATGCTTGGCAGTCGCGATTCTGAACTGGCTGCCGTTGTTCGTGACACAGATATGATCTGGTCGACAATGGCTGGCAAGCCTTACCGCGTTGGTCGCTTCGCGCACACTCTTCGTCTCCGGCTCATGCGCGAGCATCTTGGCTTGGACGTGGATGAGATCCTAGAAGAGGAAAGACAGGCCGAGCTTGACCGCCAAGCCGAGTATGAGGCAGAGATGGACCAGATCTACGCAGACGATGATGAGTCGCCGCCCGTTGCCGGATCAAGTGGACAGCAACCAGACGAGCGGCCTCTCAAACCAGCACTGCCAGGTCAAACCCCAAGCTTCAACCACGATGCTTCCGCTGTGCCAGATGAAGCTGCAGACGAGGCTTCTTCGGCTTCTTCATCCAAGGGTAAGGAGGTCGACCCTCGAGTCACGGACAACAAGGAACACGCTCTCGATATTGCCGGCTACGGAAAGGACAACTGGAAGACAGCAGAGAAGCTCGGGCTTGACCAAGGGCGTGACTCGGTTATCATCAACGGTCGTGAGGTTCTCGTCCACGATGTCTTAGCCGAAGGCAAGGGCACCCTCGAATCACCCGTCAAGCCTCACGAGCGTAGAACTTCGACCGCCGATCACCACATCGAAGATGACAACTGCGTCAGCAACGATGCTCTGCCGCCTATGCCAGCTCTTAACAGACGAACGACTGACCAGCTCGGTCTTCCCCGCATCGCTGGACTTCCCACGCTTCCTGCTATGGATGACACTGACATTGGTGGTCCGCCTGTTCACCTGGACCAAAGCGGACAACCAACCAATGGGCCAATGCATCCTCTGGCTGCGGACATCAGACAAGCGCATATCGACAAGGACTGCATGCGCGATCCTGTCAATTCCACCTTCTTCGATGATGTCTGGAACCGTGTTGCGGAGAACAACACCAAGCTGTACCGCCGCGTCTTCCGGTGCATGCCTGATTCCGAAGTACTGACTTGGCCTGACTATCAACAGGCAATGTCATACGCGGAACGATTCAGAGAGAGTCTAGAAGGAAAGACGCAAACCGATGAAGACCCTAATTTGGCTCGTCACCAATCCCCGGTTACTGGTGGTGGTGCCGGTGTAGGTGCACCTGGCCCAGCCGCTGTTCTCAAGGCGGCAGCAGAGAAGACGGAAGAGAAGCTGCCCCACCCCATTATTATCATACCGGGCAATGATGGCCAGCATGCCAACGGCCACGCAGGCCGCAACGCGGATGCGGAAGACAGAGAAAAGACAGACGAAAAGGCTGCCCTCCGGTCACCAGAGGCTCCGTCGCCAGTCCTCCCTGCCGGCGACGTCCCGTTTCCGGCTTTCGAGACCGGTCCCTCTCCTGACATGACCTTGTTGGACCCTGCCCGTGAAAAGAGCAGGGAACGAAAGACCACATTTTCGCCTCTCGAAAAGCCGCCATCTCGCGATGTGAGCACGCCAGCGCAGCAAGCTCAGGGGTCGGTGAAACGCCGCCGGCGAGCCACTACTAAGGGCAGTCGACGCGGTCAACCGCCCGAAGAATTGCTTCCCAGGGCAGAGGCAGAGGAGCTTCTCAACTTGATCCAGGGACATGTCGTACAATTCCCGTACGATTGGCTGCTCACAGAAGAGCAGAATGGAAACTGGGGCTTCCAAGTTGATGGCGTTGCACCCCTGCAAATTTAGTAAGTCCTAGCCCGTTGACAACATTCAAGTTGCAATTACTAACAGTCTGTGCAGCAACTAGGTGCTCCCATTGTATGGGTAGACGTCATGGTCATTGGAGAGGGATGAAGTCACAGATAAACTTTGCTCACAAGAGAGAGCGCGGCGTGCAACCTTGAAGAGAGATGACGAAGAGAAGGTTAAGAGACACAGACGCTGAAGGTATCGAAAACGCTACGAGCGGTGACAACTGGACTTTTTCTGCAATGGGCGGAGTCGCGGGCGGACATTGGCGAAGAGGGATTCATCGCCTTTCTGTTTAGCTTTCCAGCTTCGGTCTTGTTATTACTTGTACTATACACATTCTTACACTACAGCCTTTATTATATTTTTTCGCTGACCCAGATGGCACCCTTGCAGCCTGCCCGAATAACGCCTGTAAGCAGCCAATGCGGCTCTGCTTTCTTAGCATCGTGCTCGACAGCATGGTCCAGGTGCTCCAACTCTTCATCTCTGATTCTCCGCAACGTCTTGATGAGATCCGAGAACTCAGGTCCGACCTCGTAACCTTCTGCCTCCCACTCCGTTACCATCTCCAGCAGCGTGCGGATCTGATTGTTGTAATGGTCTCCGATTTCCGTCTCCACGGCTTCCGTACATGCCATGGCCGCCTCGCGACCCATGACTGCTGTGCTCCAGCCCAGGCCTGTTGCCATAACCTGCCAGAGAGGGTACATCGCTGTTGGGCGCACTCGGTGTTTGTGAATCAGGGAGTTGAAGGTTTTGAGATGTCCTTCCTCCTGGTCGTACATATGCGCCATGAGGGGTCGGAGGTGCGGGTGTCGGTTGACGATCGGTGGGGTTTGAGCAGTGTAAATGAGCGTCGCGGCAAGCTCTCCGGCTTGGTTCACTCGAAGCTACTGAAAGTCAGCATGTACTACTACACACATTTTCAATATGTTGGACGAACGGCTGAGGACAAGAAGTCACGCTGCTCCTGGGTCAAGGGCTTGCGCCGAGGTGGCGCTTTGCTGGCGGCCTCGGCCTGCGACCTAGGGGTCGTCGAAAGTTGTCGCTGAGAGATGCACAGGGCCGTCGCATGCGCACTGCATGTTGACCGCCTTGCGATACTGCTGCAGGGTCTCAAAGCTGATCGTACCGACGCCATTGTGTGATTTTTGTAGCTGGAAAGTCTACCCCTACTCGGATTCAACTCGGCCGAAGGACTCTAGCAAACGAAGGTGTCAATGATATCGAACGATTTAGTCCACCAGATGCCGAGCTTCGCAGCGCGCGATGATTGGTTGACGTCACTCCAGATCGGATGGAACGTGGCCGACCCTCCGACGACCCATTATTTTACGCAGCTGAATGACATAATATTGGCCAATCACGTACGCGCTTCCGACCGCAGCCGTCCCAAGGGCTCTGAGCAGCTACCAGACTTTCGCAGTTCTTTTCCCGACTTCAACATCATTTTCATTCCCCTCCCCTCGACCGCTGTTCGATCTTTCCTCCTTTCAACCCACGACCTCATTCCTGACCGTCCGAATCACCCGAAAAAACCGTAGTATCGATAAATCAGCGCGTAGACGACCAATTTCCGTCGCGATCCCTCGAGAAGGCCACCGAAGGCACCTTTGTTCCCCCCTTTTCGAGTTTTCCACCATAATAGACAATGGCCGACATAGACGATGAGCTTTTGGCTCTTGCGGGAGGTGGAGAGTCCTCAGATGAGGAGGAGGTGATGTCAGAGGCAGAGAGCAGGGCGCAATCCGTTTCGCCTCCGCCTAAGGCAGCTGCAAAGAAGCCTGTGGCAAAGAAAGTGAAGAAGCGCACAGGAGGGGACGACTCTGAGGAGGAAGGTGAAGCGTAAGTTCCTTCCATCTTCAGAAATCCGCACAACTGCGTCCCGACAAACTCTTGCACCCTCGCTGTCAACAAACTTCACTTTCTCTCAACCAACCTTCTAGCCATTACGCGCATCTTCTCTTTACACCATTCGCCGTCGCAATACCTAATCATTATCGTTATTTCCTAAAATGGCTAAAATGCGCCTCAGATCATCAGCAATCGGTAGCCCGAATTCGATAGGATCGGCCGCGATGGACGAGTCCGACTCCGAGGCCGAACAACCGAGCGGCCGCGCCGCGCACGATGACGATGAAGAGGACAAGTACCCTGTCGACGGCATGTTCAGGAGTCTCGCGGAGAAGGAGCAAGTTATGGCGATGCGTGAGGTCGAGAGAGAGTCACTGCTCGCAGAACGTCAGGCCGAGATCGAGCGCCACAGACAGAACCGCATGCTGCGCCAGCTCGTCAGTCAGCAAGAGAACAAGGAGAAGAAACAGAACCTCAAAAAGCGCAGTGCCGACGCCGCAGACCTCGAAGACGCCTCGCGCAAGACGTCGCGTCCTCGCGCGGATGGAAAGGCGTCTGCTATAGATAAGCTGCGTCACGCCCGCGCGGAGAAGAGCGATCGCCAACGCCGCAGAGAGGAGGACCGACAAAAGGGCAACCGTTCACCGCGCGATGACGACTACGGTGCTGCTGGCGATAGCGACGCTGACGACGATTACGACGAGCGCAATCGACGACGCCGCAAGACGAGATCGCCTGAGGAGGAGATTGTCGCGCGCGAGCTGCCGCCGCCAGACATGCGCGACTTTGAGCGCGTCCGCGTGGGCAAGAGTCGCTTTGCTGAGTACTGCTTCCACCCGTCCTTTGAGTCGACTATGATCGGCTGCTACGTTCGCATCAGTCTTGGACCTGATCCCAAGACAGGCGCGGACGAGTATCGCATGGCGCGGATTCAAGGTAGATCATCTAAGATTGATTCACATGGTCCTCGCTGACTTGTATAGCTATCACTGTCGGCAAGCCTTATGCCATGACCGGCCCCGGCGGCTCTTTCGTCACTGACCAGTATGTTCTGGCTGCTCACGGCAAAGCCGAAAGGCCGTTTCCCTTCATCTTCCTGTCGGACAGGCCATTCACCGAGGTATGCCCCGTCGTGTATGCTGAGCTTTACGCATACTGACATACGCAGCGCGAATACATTAGATATGAGAAAGTCGTGCAGTCGGATGGCCTGACCATGCCGAAGAAGCAGATACTGCTTGACAAGATCGATGAGATCAATGCACTCGTCAACTACCACCCCACAACAACGGAAATCGATGAGCGCATTCAGCGCAAGGCTGCCCTCCGCAAGAAGTTCGACCCCAAAATCCGCGAGCGACTCGCGCAGGACATCGAGAGTGCCCGGATACAGGGCAACACCCGAAAGGCAGAGGAGCTCCAAGAACAGCTCGATGATCTCAAGACGAATGTCCTTGCGTTCAAAACCAGCCTCAGTGACAGCTCATCGAAGCCCAACGCCACTTCTCAACAGGATCGTCTGGCCGACATCAACCGCCAGCGCAGACTCCAAAACGCTGAGAATGTTAGGAAGGCGCAGCTCAAGGAAAAAGCCGAGGCTCGCAAGCTCGAAGCCGCGATGGAGAGAGGAGAAGACATCAAGAACGATCTGTCACGGCGACTGCGCACAAAGGCCAAGTTCATCCACGACGTCAATGATGGCATCAAGAAGCCCTCCAGCACAAATGGCAGCAATGCGAGCACCCCAGCAAACGGCACACCCCAGCTTGGGGCCCAGAGCTCGGGATCCATGTTGCCCCATCTCGCCAAGCTGCACGCGGCGAACCAGAAGAAGGGCATCCCTACCATCCACAAACCACTCATGGACGACGACATCATTGGAGCTTTGGACCTCGACATCGACGTCGAAATTGACTAAAGCGGATCTGGTTGCAGATGGCAACCGGAATATAACATTTCACTGGGGTTTTCCCACAACGGGCAAAGAAAGGCAACTGGCTATATAACGGGACATTCTTGAGTATGCATATCAAAGGCACCCTACACCAGGCTTCCTCCAGCGCAATGAATTGTAGATTAGACACCACATGGTTATAAAAGCGGAATCAATGACCTAGATGCCTCAGCAGGCCTTCAGCCATAATTGTGACATACGCAAGTGACATCGCCAATGAAGACGCTACTGCAGCAGGGGCGGATTTAAGCAGCCAGACGCCGTCTTGACCGATTGGATTTGCCCGGCGGGGTGAGTTGATAGCAGAGCCAAAGTCCGTTCCGCTCCACTCCAGCAGGCACGCATCAGCACGTGGCTCCCGACATGCCTCGCAGCTCTGGGCCCGGACCGCATTCAACATCCCGAGGCCTGATTCCGTCAACCACCCACCACCATCCATAACCACCCCCACTGCGGTCGCCAGCTCCCCGAGGTGCAAATCATTCCACGACCGCGTGCGGTACGGGCTTTTGTATTCCACCGATCGAGCCCGGCTTTATCTTAAGTCCCTTTTTGTTGATGATGACTACTCCGATCATGTTTTAGTATCTTATTATAGATTTAATACACTACTCTCCTGCCCCAGCGCGCGCTGGCCGTTGCGAATACACTGACGGCTGGCTCAACTCGATCCCGACGATAGAAGATATCTACACTCAATTGATCGCCGATATACATCCCTTTCCGATATAAACGAAGACTAGACTCCGACGAGAGAGAAATAAAGCAACAATGGTGTCCGAAACGAAGCCGCTCCTCTCGGAGGACACTCCTGGCGGTACGTCATCCTCGACACCTCGTAGCAAGATCTAGTAGCTAATTGCCGTGCTCAAACAGCACTCTTCACTCGCGCCCTCCCCTCGAGCTCCTCTTCCACATCGACCCTCCCGCAAGCGATAGCGCACCGCGGCTACAAAGCGCTCTACCCCGAAAACACCCTCCTCGCCTTCCGCGCGGCACTCGATGTCGGCGCGCACGCCCTCGAGACGGACCTGCACCTGTCAAAGGACGGCGTCGTCGTCCTCTCGCACGATGGCACGCTGAAGCGCTGTTTCGGGGTCGATGCCAAGATCAACGAGTGTGATTGGGAGTACTTGAGCACGCTGGAGACGATGAGGGAGCCGAGGCAGAGGATGCCGCGGTTGATTGACTTGTTGGAGTTTTTGGCGGAGGAGGGGAGGGAGAAGGCTTGGGTCTTGCTCGATATCAAGGTTTGTTTTCTGTGGACGCGGTTGGAGAGCGATGGCTGATAAGTTGGGATAGGCGGATGACCCTGCCCCGGAGCTGTTGAGTCGCGTGGCGCAGGCTCTGGCGTCGACGCCGGGTCCTGTGCTGTGGGATAAGAGGGTCGTATTTGGATGTTGGAACGTGAGTACTTTCCCTTCTTCGAGTTCGCTGTTCCGACTGACCTGTCATACGCAGCAACCATACATCAACCACTGCGCAACCTACGTCCCCTCCTACCCCGTCGCTCTAATCTCCTGGTCACCCCTCTACGCCCGCAAATTCCTCGCCCAGCCGTCCATCTCCTTCAACATGTTCCAAAAGTCTCTCGTCGGGCCCCTCGGCAGGGCCTTCATCAAGAAGGTCAGATCAGAGGGCCGCAGGCTGTTCGTCTGGACCGTGAACGACGAGGAGTGGATGGAGTGGAGCATCCGTGCGGGCGTGGACGGGGTCATCACCGACGAGCCGGAGGCGTTCCTGGAGGTCTGCAGACGGTGGGAGGGCGCGAAAGCGCTTCCCGGGACTTCTGCTGCCTCCGAGGACATGACCGGGGGCGAGAAGAGGCTTGAGCAGCTCCGTCGGTCGAAAGATCGCGGGTGGAAGAGGACGTTCAAGCTGTACCTCGAGGTCGTCTTCATTCAGGTACTCGTGGCGGTGTTTACGCCGCTGCTTATGATTGTTGCGCGGTTCGGGGTTGTGGGACCGGGCCCGAAGGCGGCGAAGGCTTTGCGGTTGTGATATTCTGCGAAGGCTTCCTCGGCGTACGGAAGACTGGGTGGAAGATAGATAGGGGAAGTGTATCATAGAGATGCAGCTTTGCAACTGTATTCGTATAGATGGGATCTACTGGGATGGACAGATTGGAGGAAGTGCTCGGCATGCTACGCTGTCTGGTTGTAATGTCTTCAGCTTGAGTTGGAATTGTCATTGGTCTACAGTAGCTAGACTGGAGATGGATACACACTCTCACAGGGCCATCACCAGCATCAATGTCTTGATCAATGTTCGTAACAGGTATCCTGCAAAACTCTGGCGGTCACCGTTATCAAGTCCCATCTAAAGCTGTTATACCACCGGGCCTGCGGTGATACGCTTCCTCGTTTGAAGATACCTGATTGTAGAGCCATTTTCGGTAAGCATATTGGTCAGTGATTTCCTTGAAGCCTCCTACAACGTGTGAGACTATTCACTGCAAAGATGGTCTAGTGTTTCACGAGCCAAGAGCGCCATCGCATCGATGATTGCAGTGTAGTTCTTACAGGTCCCCTGCATCATGCCCGACCCCTGCAGTCCTCGCAGCTTTCACTGCGATTTCATCCCACCCCCAGGGGACGTCCTGCTAAACTTCGAGTAATTCCTACTGTTCACGTTGTTGCTGCTACGTCTTCAGCTTCGGATAAAGTTCTCACTGTAATAAACAGATCTTCGTCTCTGAACGGTAGATTGGCATGAATGTTTTGAAGCATTTTTTCACAGCCATTGGATCTGTAGATGGAGCTGTAGATGGAGCTGTAGGCACGCGAACCGGGGACGGACAGGTTCCTCGAGTCCCGAAGATGGAAACGATCGAAGTCGTGCTACTTATGCATTTGATCAAGAATAAATCACCCGCGAGCATTCAAGATAGAAGGTCTTTTGAGTATTAGATGTAATGATTGGCGCTTGTTACCTACTGTACTGCAGCAAGCGGTCACGTCTTTCCAACTGAGTCATTCCCTCAGCATATTCACCTTTCGCCACATCAAAACCCGCGCAGCCACGAGCCTCTCGAACCTGGCAACAACACTATCATCTCGGTGCTCCTCGCTTCTGGTCTTGCGAGGTTTTGTCTTCCAGATACACAATTTCTCGTCCATGCATATACCGCATCTAGCTCATGCTCTGTTTGGGTGGGTCTCCAAACCAGGAGAGCAGGTAACATCGCCTGAGAGTATTCATATCCAGCCGGTACGATGCTCTACTTTTCCTCGGCCTGAGAAACCCTAGCTTGCGAGACCAATTCTCCATACTGTGGAACAGGCGTTGGAGAGAGACAATGGTTCTCAATGGGTCACCGACTGCGATGATGTAGTAAAAGGCTATGTTGAGAGAGACCCAAGCACAGCAGACGCTTCGGACTTGACACCTCATGATCGTTATCACCTGCTTTTCTCTGCAACTTGACGTGGATTGGTTCCCATGCTTCTTACGGCAAATCGAGCAAATGGCTTGGTGCTCTCGCCGATTCAACATGATGATGGTTGGATAAGCTGAGATGGCTTCGTGGAAGGAGCCCTCAACTATGATACCAGTTTGGTCAACTGAAAGTATGCCGGCTCTTCTTTATTTGGCATCACAATATGGACTTATTCTGAAGCGAATACTCTCCAAACAACAGTGAGAAGTAACAATAACGACAGCAACAACGACAGCAATAATAATAGCAATAATAATAACAATAACAATAGCAATAACAATAGCAATAACAATAGCAATAACAATAGCAATAATAATAACAATAACAATAACAATAGCAATAACAATAGCAATAACTCGAGACCCCCGGAGTACTGTGAGTGGTCAGTCTATAGCAATGGATAAACTTGATTGAGACATCAATGGGTGGCAGACGGCACCAGTCTAGTTGAACCAAATTACTCACAGCTCCTACCTACCCGGTGCTATCATTCTTGTGGGAAGTGCTTCGAGGGGAAGACAGCAGTACACATAGTAGTAGCCGTGTTGATAATGACGGCACCCACTGTAACGGCCCCAGCGGTAGAATGTAACAATCTATCAGGAATAATGCTTTTTCTCAGGAATAATGATGGAGAAGGTGCGCTGAAGCCTTTAAGTCACGGCCGTCTGTTTCGATAATGGGTCAAACAACGGGCAAAAGTCGAAATCAACACACCGCAGATACTCACCCATCACCGCCCTTCTGGTCAGAATGTGACAGACAAACTTTGCTCTCGGCTAACGAGCATCCCAGCCACCCAACCACCAAGACAGACGTTCGCCGACCGCTGCTTCCGACCACGTTGCTGCGGGCGCTCAGCCCTGGGGCAGAACGCCATTACCTAATGAATGGAGCCTCACTTCCTGGCTCGCTTCCCCCCCGCGAGCGACCGCCAGTGATCTGATGGCACCATCAACTTTTAAGGTTTTGCCTCTCGACTGGAATGCGGGGTAGAAAGAGGGAGAGGGAGATGAAGATCCGGGGGAGAGAGCAGATTTGTACGTAATGGTGATCGAGAAGAGACGTGCGAGCATGTTGAGGACCCAGGAGGATGTCGAGACGGAGACGACTTTACTCCCGGCTAAGCTGCAGAAGTGTGGCCCCTTAGGATATCTGTGCTTCGCGCCGGCGAGTTGGGACTGGTGATTGATGGTGAAGAGCCGAGTTGTTTGGAGGCGCAGTTGTCCTCCAAGCTTGCGGGCCGGACCGTCACGATCGTGAGATGTTGCGGGCGTTGAAGACGGCGAAGCAAGCTGCGTTGAAGCGGTGTCCGTCTTGAAGGTGTGAAGAGCGACATATCGGTGGCTGTCTCACTTCCAACTTTACGCGATGTTGAAGATACACACAAGATGTCTCGCTCAACGTCGAACACGATGAACCTCCCGCCTTTGTTCGGATTCAGTCAGTCCTGGTTCTGACGCCGAGGCCGGGGCATTGTCTCAGTCTTTACAAGACCCCGAACGTCTAAACCTGTTCTCTTTGACGTATCTTCTACCAGAAAAGGGCTCAAACACTGGCAACATAACTCATTAGCAGACCCTCTGGTATGGCGAAATGAAACAGCGAGCTCGCGCCACAAGGTCCACGATGGTGCACCAGCGCTTCGACTCGGAACGAACAAACGACATGCCCAGGAACCAGCACGTTTTCCGTCAGGAGAGAAAAGTCGGGGACAAGAGGCCTTCCCCGGAATCTCAACCTGCAACAAGCATCGTGGCATTGCGAGCATGGGTTGAGAGGTCCGGTGACCATCGTCGACGCGGCAAACAGAATTTCCATTACCCCCAGGAAACCGCTGACTGGTCGCGCCAAGGGGACCACACTGGACCTTTGACGTCGTCGTCCCATGCCGTGGCCCCAAGCAGGGGGGCGTGGGTGAGTTGGGTGAAGGTAGCGGTACTTACTTGTTGGTCCTCGAATGACAAAGCAGAACATGCCAGCGGCGATCAACTCAAGCGGACGAGAGTGGAAAAAGTGTGAAGAAAATTGCACCAAAAAAAAACTTCCAGCCAGAGACTGACTTCCAGTTCCTTGCATTAGCCCCATCTTCCCCAGTTGTGGCCCCCCGGGCAAGCCTCGGGTGGTCCCCAAGATGGCACGCTACGGACGAAAGCGGCAATCGATGGGGTAACGCTTTGCTAACAGATTGCTCCAGAGCGCAATGGCGTCTTCGAGGTGTTTTCAATTTTCATTCCAGCAAAGTGGTGGTTTTTTTTTCCTGCCCCTCCGCGTGACAAGTCTGGCCCCAAGAGCCCCCAGGGACGCCATCCCGTAGCAGGTTTGCATCACGCGAACCCCAAGGGAAGTGGGGGGGAAATAGCAGAGATCTCACGTAGATGGTGACAGAAGGGTACGGACTCACCTCATTGCCTCATCGGACTTCACCTTTTTACCGGCGTGCGATTGCGCTGGCATTTTTGCTTGGCTGACGGCGAGTTGGTGTGTTTGCTTCTTTGAGCTTCTTATCTAGATTAATCAAGTTGAGGAAGAGATCCTATTTCGGGCTTGCTTATTGGCAGATAACAGGTTGCCAATATGCGGTTGGGCAGCTTACACGTCGTTGGAAGCTCCTTACAGCGAAAGCTCCTTTGGCAGGGAGGGTGTCAGTGAGGTAAGGCAAACGGCATACGCAGTATGCAGCATGCCTCCGATCAGAGACCCTGTCTCACACACACACACACCACCCCCAAGGTCCAATATGTCTTCATCGTCTCATAGACCCCAAGAACACGCAAGTCAAGCCTGGACGTCTCGTCTCGGTACGTAGGAATGAGGAGTTATCATCCACCAAGCTGCATCACGACATTTCAAGGTCTTCTCCTCCTTGCTTCTTCACGCCCCCACTTGCAAGAGGGTGAGAAACAAAACAGAGCAACCAACGACAGCGAACCAAGCTACCCATGAGCTGTCCAAACCAGCTTCACCGGCCTGAGGTACCTAGCTTCAAGGGCCCGCCGACGACGTTTCGGGGCCTCGGGACCGCCCTAATTTTGCAACCAAGATCTCCCATCTCCCAGGCCGTCCCTCTTCCGCTCCCACCTCGTCTTCCCCTACGGCGTTAGAGCCGCCAAAACTTTTCCCTCCTTCTGGGTCCCGGACTCCATTGGTGAGAATTTTTAGTGTTATTTGGCCGAGTCTGGAGCCCTGTACGTACCTCACCCAGCCCAAGGTAGCTACGTACCGCTACTTCACGCCCCCAGGTGACTCTTTGCCAGTGCAACGCCGTCACTCAGCCCATTGGGAAACTTTTTGCATGTCAGGAGGACACCAGCGCCAGAGAGTCCGGCCGTTTCTTCTCTCTGTGTACTTCGTACTTGGCATCCACCACCCTCAAAGAGAACAAACCTATATAGACCATGGACCCTCCTTCGTTTCTCTCGCTACTGACCTCACCTCATCTCATTGACTCATCCCAAGACATTCAACCCGTCTGTTCAGACCAGTTCATCTAATCTCATCACCTCATCCGAGACTTCAGACGACATCCGTGGCACCAACCCACTTACACCACGAACCACCACATCAACATCACCACCACCACCCTCAAACTTCACACACACACACACAAGCATTCAAAATGCCTTCCCAAATCTTCGTCACAGAGCCCCACCCCACCGTGGCACCAAACACCTACATCTACTCCGGCCGCGGCGGCGCCGGCAACATCTTCCGCGCCCCGGCCGTCACCACCCCGGCCGCCGGCATCACCACCCCCCTCAAGCCCGCCCCCGTCACCACCAACAACAACAGCGTCCGCCGCTTCTACTCGGGCATCGGCGGCGCCGGCAACGCCCACGTCGGCACCGCCAGGCCCCCCGTCAGCTTCGACGAGGACTTTGACCGCCAGCAGGTCCGCGACCGCGCCACCGTCGGCCACGTCGGCATCGGCGGCGCCGGCAACGTCTCCCGCCGCAAGGGCTCCGACGCCTCCTCCGTCCTGAGCGACGAGTCCTCCGCCTCCTCGGGCTCCTCCCTCAAGTCCATCAAGGAGCGCGGCGGCAACTTCCTCCGCCGCCTCGGCTCCAAGAAGAACTGAGAAGAGTCTTCAGTCTTCTCTCTTCTTATTACCTCTTTTACAACAACTGTATATGGATGTTTTGTTTCCACACTACATCACCCCAAAAAAGAATCAGCAAGGCGTTACGAAGGAAACCAAAAAAGTTATTTGTCGGATATTTGATCTCATGTGGTAATGGCGGAAAAAAAACATATGAGCGGGACTGGTATTTTTCATGAGAGCGAGGGTGCCTCAGAACATGACGAAGAAAGACGAACCCGTCCTCTGGCTGGTAGATTCCAGAGGAGGCATAGCGGGAGAAGAAAACGGCGTTTTTGTTTCTGGTGAATACGATATGACAGCGAGGTCGAGCGGACCACACAATACCCCCACCCAAAAAGAAGCATTAGGTGTTCTTTGCATAGCGTGACCCATCCGTGGATGGTGTCCTTGAATTGAAAGTTTTTCAAACTTCATCAAACGTCGGTTCTATGTGCTGCCATGACTCCACTTCACTTTTACGGCTCACATCTATCGACAATTGATTGATGTGATTGTGTAGATGAATTGTGTCCAAGCTGAACCCAGACGTTTAGAGCATTATGCAAAACGATCAATTTGTCCTCCAGGCTAGCGCAAGTCTGCGAGTCAAACTTCTCGAAAATTACGGGAGTATTCGGCTGTCTGATTCCCAGCGCCTGCAAGCCGCCTCACAATTCACGGGACCATCATCATCTGCCCATAACCGCATTGACCTGCGACAGAGATACAGAAACCCAATAAGAAAGACACACACCCAAGAAAAGCAACGAGAACTTGATAAGACAGAAGAAAAGAGCCTCGCCAGAGCTATGACCCCTCCGATAGCCATGAAGCCGCGTCCAGAAGCTTACTTACGAGACACGAATAAGCAAATACAAACGTGTGTGTGCGCGCGCGCTTGCTGGAAGAGCTCGCGTGCGGGCAAGACACGCATCAAGTCGGGGCACCATTCGCCTCGACTAAGGATACAGAAAGACGCATCCTGCCTCTGCAGCCCCTAGCTAACAATAGCTTCGTGACGGGATGATAGCATACGATGAAATGCCGTCACGCACGTAACTGAGACAACAAGACTCGGGTATCATTCTCAACTTTCTAGCTGACCATTACCTCAACATGCTGCCTGCCTGCCTTTCGCCCTGCTCTTGCCTCGCGACACACACCGGGGGTCCCCGCCAGGGCTATCTCTTTAAAAAGGGGGGTTTTTGATCTTCGAAATCTAGCCAGCCAGTCCTTCATTCCCTTTCCTATCGTCGTCCCTCTTCTCGTGACATACATTCCTCGGAGAAGAAAAAAAGGGCACCATCTCTTGTTTTCGCCGCGTCTAATGGTGTATGTGCTTGAATGATGCAGGGCTATCACGACAAGGAAACACACCCAAAGATCTATGAAGCGTAGGCTCCCCGAAAAAGATGTGTCTAGGGAAAAAGCCGCTCTCTCTTTTCTCATCCGTATAAAATTTCAAAAAACAAGAAGAGCCGTCTCACGTAAATTTGGTGTGGATGATGTCGGGGTTCTCGTGCCAGTCGTCGATGCTCACCCACATCTGTAATGTTGTCAGCTTCCAGCAGGCCAACGTGGAGGATAACAAGTATAAGACTCACCTTTCTGAACGTGCTGAGACCAGCCAAAATACTTCCTCCGATCCACGTAGAGTACTTGCGCTCGGGCGGCGCAAAGATCTTTATCCTCATGTCCTTAACCGCCAGCCGCTGCAGCTCCGTGAGCAACCGGTCGCCGAAGCCCTTGGTCAGCGTGCTGCCTCCGGAGAGAACGATGTTGCTGTACAGCGACTTGCGGAGGTCGAGATCCGTCCGGTTGATGGCGTCGACGACGATCTGGTGCACGCCGGGGTACTCGAGGCCAATGATCTCCGGGTCGAAGAGGATTTCCGGGGCTCTGAAGCGTTCCGCGCCGATCTGGGGACAGTGTCAGCAAGCTGTGACTGAGGACTGAGACTCGCCTTCTTAGCTCGCAGCGCAGACTTACCTTGAGCTTGTGTCCGTCCGGGAGCACGTACTCCATGCCCTTGGCCGGGTCCGTCCTGTTGGCCCACTCCTTCTCCTCTTTCCTGGGGTCGTGGGCCACGTACGTCACCGACTCCTTGATGAGCCGGACGACCTCCTTCTCGGCGCTCGTGTGGAAGACGTAGCCGCTCTTGCGAAGCAGCGTCTGCATGTACTCGGTCACGTCGCGACCCGCGACGTCTATCCGCCTAATGCTGCTCGGCATGGCGAATCCCTCGTACACCGGCACGGCGTGCGACACGCCATCGCCCGAGTCCAGCACGATACCCGTCGTCCGGCCGCTGGCGTATAATGACAGCACCGCCTGGATCGATGTGTACAACGCAGGCACGTTGAAGGTCTCGAAGAGAATCTGGGCCGCTGTGTCGCGGTTGCTGCGGGGGTTGAGGGGCGGTTCGGTCAGGAGGACGGGGTGCTTTGGGCCGCTCGTTAGCATTCGAACGCATGAGATACGGTTTTCTCGGCGCTCTGCCGTCAACGAACCTCTTCACTGAGGGTCTTGAGCCCTTCTCCGTAGACGTACTCCCAAATCTTCTCCATGTCGTCCCAGTCCGTGACGATGCCGTGCTCCAGCGGGTACCTGATCTTCAGCAGACCCCGGAGCTCCGTCGCCGCCTTCTGACCGATGAAAACCTCGCCCTCAAGCGCGCCAGCCAGGACTCTCAGGTGCTTGGGGCGGCCGACGAATGAAGGGAAGTAGCACTTGGGCAGGTCATCGCCCGCAAAACCGGCGCGAATGGTGCCGGAGCCATTGTCCAAGACAATGGGCGCGTTATGCAGCGAGTCCGTCATCTTGCGAAATGCATCCGATTTTAAAAGCTATGTTCTCCCTTCCAAGGTGATTGTGCCCGCTGTCGTCACTCGGCGTGGTCCTCGTCCCGATTTCGCGCAAACGCCCCTATGTTTGTTGGTCTGGCGGTGACTGCGAAGTGGGGACCCTTTCGATTCGCTGGCGAGAGGGGTTAAGCTGCAGAAAGCAAGCAGTCCGCCGTAAGTAGTTGCAAATGGGCGGAAAGGAAGTGCAAATATGTGGTGTCGTCGCGGTCGTCGTCGTCGTCGGTCGCCCGGGTCGAAGGCGTGTTGTCAAAGTGGTCAAAATTGGAGGACAGCTTCAACACGACGCGGTCACACAGTCCGGGGAGCTGCAGGGGCGCGAATGGCTAGGACGGAAGTGGAGTAGCGCGACTCGGAGCTGGTGTGCACTGGCCATTCAGGGTCTCTGCCGGATTGTGTAAGTGAGCGAGACACTGGAACGTCTGGTTATGTTTTGTATGCAAGCAGGCAATTAATCATAAAATTCAGTTGCTGGACGGATTTCTCAGAAATTTCACTAGATACTTGATCATATTTTAATGTTTGAACAAAGTGAATTATGCGTGGTCCGATTGGACTTCTACCGATGCTTTAGGTATCCAAGAAGCTCCCGAACGCCGTAGATGCTGAGATGAAATATGTACAGGTATCTCGAATATGTTCCAAATTCCCAAATCTAAAACTCCCAAGTCGTGGTTACCATTCATTGCAGTATGAGGAATGGATGTTGATGTTTAGATGCGGCCATCGAACATCAGGTAGGTGAGGTAGGGCCATCCGAGAATGAAGCCAGCGAGAGGGAAGAACCTGTTGAGTGCGGTGTTAGACTTGATTCATTCAGAAGATGTCGAAGAGATCACTGCTTACATTCCTGCGGTGGCAGCACGCTTCTTGAGCATGGCACCGTAGTAGGGCTTTGCCTGAACACCGGTCTGGGACATTCTCTGGAAGGGGTGGGGCTCGAAGGAGCGAGCGACGTTGCGCATGTTGGTGAGCAGAGAGAATTGTCTGCGCTGGATGGCCATGCGGGCAGCGGTGCGAGCAGCGAATGCGGGAGACATTTTGAGTGGTGGTTGGGTTTGTAAGAGGGTAGTCGAGTAGAGACTTTTTCTTGGAGGAGTTGAGAGGAGTGAAGTGGTGGTAATACACTCGTACAAAAGATGTAGTGGAGAGTTGGTAGTGTGTTTGAGTCGAGACTCTGTTTGATGATGTTGATGTGAGATGGTGATGATGAGGGAAAGGGAACACAGCAGACGGGAAGCTGCTTTGGATCTTATACCAAGGAGATATTGTGCGTCCAGGCCGCGAACCTACGAGATCTATGCATCGTTGACAATCTATTCCGGGATTTCCAACGGCAAACGCCTATTGTGGGCAGATGAACGGGCAGCTTTGTCCGTAAGATTCCCGTGCCTGGGCGGAGCGGACGAGGCTTCTCAATCCAGGCTCGGTCAAAATCATGCCATCGCATCTCCAACGGCCCCCAAGTGTATCCATGGCCGTGGGATTCTGCAATGAAAATTGACAAGACAAGAGTGTCTCACCCAATAGGCGCAGCCGCGCAGGCGCGTGTGGGGAAGACAAACGCATGTGTTCGGGCAGCGATTGCAGAAAAAGAGGCCTGGCTGAACAATAGGTTGGTCGTAATGGGAGAAAAAACGGTCGATGGGCGATCGCGCGTTTTCATTCTGTTTCCTGACGACTGCCAACCATTATGGGGTGATATGGTCTGACGGCGGCCACCATGGAAGGGCGGTGATTGGCCGGCGTCAGGGCCTGGATTCCTGGCGAATGAAATGATCGCCACTGCTGACCATCGAAGCGAACAATCGAACCATGGGCCCAACCGGCTGGGAGCGACGACGAGGGAGAATCCGGGGAAGAAGACTGACACCTGCCTTGATCCGAAGACGCGAAATGTTGGTCTTCAGATCCCAAACTAGAATAGGGGATGAGATAACATCGTCATCCTTTTTCTTCTCCTCAAAGAATCAGGTGAATGGCGCGATGCGACGTTCTCTGCAGATGCGGTACGTAGCGGCCTGTCAGTCAACGCTTCGCAGCTGGTGCGACCCTGCAAGAGCCTGTGGACGCCGTGACTGGCCCAAGAACCTGGGGACAGCCAGCTTATCGCAGCGTCTTCTCAGCCTTATCGCCATGTGACCCGGACGGACCCGCCAGCGCGTTCGGACGTGGTCGCCGTTCCGCGGTTTTTCCTGAGCCGTGGCCTTCCGGGTTCCAGCTCCATCGAACTTCTTCATCGACCGACCGCTCCGAAATCACCCTCCTTCCGTCTCCCGACCGTCCGACCGATCGACTGACTCACATTTGAGCCCGCCATGCCATTGGTAGACCCTGTGACGATGTCGACACCAGCAAAGGCCGCCTCCGACGCCGGCAAGCCCAGGGACGGGCTGCACCCAGTTCATCCCCTGTCGAGCCCTGCCGCGCAGGTAGTCCGACACGTGCAACCGGTGCTCCTCGGCGGACTCTTCGTCGCGCAGTTCAGCTCGCTCGTGGCCGAACCCGTGCGCACTTTGTCGAGTTCCCTACCGGTAGTCGCTGCGATACAGATCATCTACGCATTCATCAGTTTGCCAGCGGCTGGGTCGCAAGCTGCAAAGGGTGTGCGCAAGTCCCGGCCCGGCGAGAAGAAGAAGGCCGAGAGCACGGGGCCGAATCCCTTCATCGTAAGTCCATCTACGCCCCGCGAGCCGTGGCTCGTTACTGACAACTAACTTAGGCCATCTTCCTCTCCGTCCTCCTCGCCGCCCTGATCACGCCGGCCCTCCACATCGTCCTCGTCCTCTTCGGCGCCCCTTTCCTCACCCACGTTCCCCATACCCTCCTCTGCTCCGCCAACGTCGCCCTCCTATCGCTCTTCCCGCTCTTCTACGTCCACGGTGTCGAGGCCAGCACATGGGTGTCCATCGCCAGCTCAGCTGCACCTCTGGACGAGGCATACGGCGGTCTGGTGGGCGGGCTGCTGGGCGCGTGGCTCGGCGCGGTGCCCATTCCCCTAGACTGGGATCGTGAGTGGCAGAAGTGGCCGGTCACGATCCTGTGCGGCTTGTATGCTGGTTACATCCTGGGCAAGACGGTCGGCGGCACTCTGGCGTTTGGCAAGAAGATGGCGAGTTCCGCGAAAGACGACGAGTGAGCTTGTGGCAATGGCCAAGACTCTCTAGAAAAGAAAGGCTGGAATTCACTCTTACAAGATATCGACAACCTGACTCGGTTCTCGAATGAGAGCTAGATATGCCGAGAAACGGTCTTCGTCATAGTCAGTTCAGCAAAACGTCTTCGGATCAGGTGTGCCGTGTCTAGGCCCTAGACCTGATTGCAAAAGGCGGTATAGCTTCGGGGGTGTTTAGTAGGCCTCAACGGCTTCAGCAGACTTAGCCCTTGGCTAGCTACATGGCTTCCGTGTAAACATTGATGTATAATAGCCAGCGCCGATTGTCAGTAGCTGAGCCAAGTCAACCAAGAAACCAAGAATGTTTCCGACGCTTGGATTGCGCTGAATATGGTGGAAAAGGAATAATCGTGATGATGAGTAAGTTTGCCTCAATGATGGTCTCGGAATGTCGCAATCGAAATCTGCAAGTGGAATGAAACGGCAACGTAACGTGTGGCACGATTCATATCTCCAGCCACAGCTAGCCTTGCAAGTCGGGTTTGCCTCACTTATCACAGCCCTACCATCTCCACGACGTGGACGAAAAGGGACGTTATTCGCTTCGGCGTCCTCTCGCCATCCGCGCCCCCCGTCGCAAAGCGGGTACAGGCCGCGTCTCCGTCGCAGCCCTGCCAGCTGCCGAGCCGACTTGGCCCCCTTTGCCGCCGGACATGGCCGTGCCCCTTGCGTCATAAGCCACCCGGGTGACTTGGGTTTCATTGGTAAGACAGTTTTGACAAGTTTTTTTGGGACGAAGAGACAGGAGCCAGCCGAAGAGCGGCAGCCAGAAGGGAAAAGCGGTGGGGAGGGGGAAAGCCACTTTGGCCATTCACTCAAATTCTTTGCGTTCTTCTCCGCAGCATGCGCGGACGGACCGATATCCGCTGGAGAAACGCCTTTAGCATCAACCTGGGAGAGGATGATGGACCAGGACGAAATTGCCAGGCTGATCCCCGATGTCGTCTGTGGCTGTGCCATCATTGTTGCGCAATCCCTGGATGAAGTCAGCCCTCCATCTGTGGCGTTGTGGCTCATGGCCTGCATTTTTATTCTGTTGCTGGGGGCCCTCCCTGCACCATCGTGACTGCTTCTGGCTCCTCTGACTGGTCGATGGCCGGCGGAGCGATGAGCAAAAGAAGCAAAATTAAGAAGGTGGATCCTATTAGCGGACGGCGCTAGCGGTGGGCTCGGCTGATGACGTAGCATCCACTTCTCTACCTTACCCGCCCAAAGGCCCAAGACCTGTTCGCGCAGCTTTTCCTGTCCATTAGATTCTGATGTACGGGAATACGCGAGAAAACAAGCAAGTTGCAGTGCAGCGACTGTGCACGCTTGGTGAGGGAGGTCGGAAACACCGTGCTGTGCTGGGCTGGGTTCCTGGCTCCCAATGACGGCGGTACAGGAATGGCTGGGGCGGGGAGGACGCGCAATGTGAAGCTCGATCTGGTAAGGATGGATCGGAAACAACAAGCTGCCATGGCAAAGGAGTGAACAACGAGTAAATCTGTAAGGGGGTTAACGAACTGCTGTACCTGTTGATGTAATACCACAAACCTGGCAACGAACAGGCGGGATGATTCTTTGCAGGAACAGCCGTGCCGTATCTGCCACGGCGATACGTCGTGAAGCCGCGGCTGCTGTCACTAGCGTTTCTGCTCGGGTTGAATAAGGCAAGCTTGTCAATGTCGACAGGGACATTGCCCAAAAAGTGGGTGAAGGTGTGGCTTGTCCGCAAGACACGGCAACGCCATCCCTTCCCCCAAGAAAATTAGCGAACCGCGTCCGAGGGCAGCAGCAGCGAAATGCGAGGTGCGAGGTCAAGAGGTCTAGTGCTGTGTGTGCCTTACGACAGGCCGCACCTGCACCTTAATTTCTGGCCGCAGCAAACCGGTAATGAGTCGATGACGCATGTTCCCTCTCATTCTACCCCCAAGCCTCTCCCCGGCATGACCACCAAGGCGACGGGCGCCTGGCGCCTGGCACCTGGTGGTTTTGCTTTGCTTGGATGGGGGAACTTGCGCTTGGGTGGTGCTTGGGTGCTTCCGGACCTCTGTGGCCCAGCTACCTGCGACTGGCTTGTCCCTTGTCAGACGTAAGGTCGAAGGTCGAAGGCGGGAAGGGGGTGGCCCATGCAAGTCCACATCACATCACTGTGAGCTTGCTTGCTTGCTTGGTGACCGTGACCTTGCGCCTGCCTTACCTTCCTAGGGCCCTATTTTTTTTCTTCGTTGGGTCTTGGCTTGCGCAAGAGCACTCCTTCTCTATTTAAGCATCTCATCCCCAGATCATCTAACCTTCCCCTCTTCGACATCATCATCCAACGAACATACAACTCGACCCCAACGTCAGATCTTGAGATCCCGTCGCAAACTATCAACAAACACTCACCTACAACACAACACACATCAATCACCATGCCTTTCACCGCTTCCGATATCTGCAAGATCCTTCTTGCCATTATCCTCCCGCCCGTCGGTGTCTTCCTCGAGCGTGGTTGCGGTGCGGACTTCTTCATCAACATTCTGTTGACCATTCTTGGTAAGCTTCAACGTTGTCGCCGCTCGTCCACCACAGTCACTAACAACCACAGGTTACCTGCCCGGTATCATTCACGCTCTGTACATCATCTTGAAGTATTAAGCGACCAGTCGCTGAGAACCCCCGACCTCAAAAAATCGTCCACGCTGTCGAGGGCCATGACGAATAAGCAAGCGACAGCGGCATGACCTCAGCCTCCAGTATGCGATACCCAATCGTGTGACAGGAGGACAGTGGTATGGGCGGTGGCCGGGCATTCCAGCGACCTCAGCTTCCGTCTCATCCGACAACCTTGGAGCTCTCCTGCAGCCGAGGGCAGGGATTTCACCTGTCACTGCAGGGTGGTCTTGCTCCCTCTTCACCTCTTTTTTTGTTTTGTTTAACGACCACAACACATCAACGGCCTCTTTTCCTTTGGGAGGCGGTTTTCATCACGGACTTCATCATCATCATCGTTTCTGCTTTTCGCGGCACGCGAGATACGGAGGGATGGGAGACATTGGACTGTGTACACTTGATGCTTAATTCGATACCCGACATCAATCTTCAAACTAAAGACGTTTCTTCAAAATGACATTCTCCCTCATGCACCGTGATGTGTTGTCAGACAGCTCCAGTCCTTGCTCGACACCCGGCTGTGCCGCATGACAGCGGTGGTGCGAGAGGTGCATTCGGAAGCGCTCCTCCCCGCCACTGCCAGTGACTGCCGGCGATCCTTGTGATGTCATTCTTTACCGCATTGAAACGCCGTATGCATTCCGGAAAGGTTCTAGACCGCATCAAACACTCAATGTCCATGCAGCTTATTTCTTTGCAATGATGCGCTTAGACATTCTCTGCTGCAAAGAAATAACCTTCTTTATCGCGTTTACTCATGCTCAATCAGCCACGATTATGGGGTCATGTTTCTGCGCCTGACGACCAGCCGAATCCAGAACGTTTCTCGACAACCAACGGGATCCGAGGGACGCGTAACTCCAATGCAGCATAGCGGATCCTCTATTCAACACAAGGCTGGCCAGAGCGCCAAATTGTCAACTGGGGCATTCAACCCTGAGAACAGCTTCACCCCGGCCCATGGGCTGTGTTTAATTGCACGCAAGCCGTTGCGCAGGGCTGTGGAAGGAGGTCTGAGACTGCAGAGAGAGAAAAACGCCCAAGGGCGGGTATGTCTCAGGTACACCGTACACTAAAGTACAGAAGAGCTGCGGTGAGGGCGAGCGAATTGCGATGCGAGAACGAAGCAGAAACAATGGCGGGATCCACTCCGGCAATGACTCGGTGAAGATGGAAGAAAAGGGCTGAGATTTCTGAATTCGTTTTTTTATTTCGAAGGGCCGGCGCCGCCCCTCATCATTCGGCCCCCATCGTACCCCTGCCATTCTGGCCCTGGTGATCCCGCCTCGCTGGGCTAAAGGTTCCGGCGTACCCGCCTGCCAACTCTATGCATTTCATTTCAATCGTTGCGATGAACCACGCCCCATTCTCCGGGGTTTCCATGGGGGCTGCGGTGCCGTTTCTGTGTCACGGGGGGCATCCATCTTCGGACACTAGCAGCAGCAACAGTTGTTGGATGTGAGGATGGGGGCGGTGTGGAATTTTTAGATCACTATCGGGCCTTGCAGGTTCGCGGAGATCTCCGCGCATATTGATTGCGGAGGTGCGACGCGCTCAACCTCTTCCGACCTTGAATGACAGGATCTGTGTTGTGCGACGTTAGCAAACCAGTCTTCAGTCGGGGCCCTTGAGTGTGTGACCGCACGATAGGCGTGTCTCGCTGCTGGCTGAGGGGGAGATGCGAGATTGACAAAGGGAAACGGGCGCTTACATCGTTCTTCCCGACGGCGACAGGGTCGTCCTCGGCCACTCTGATACCCCCCGCGCCCTCGATATACGCGATCGGCGCGTCGCCCATGACCTTGCGCGCCGCCTCGCCCACCGTCGTGCCCTTCTTGACCAGCACGCAGTCCCTGAAGACGACCTTGGAGTCGTTGGCGCCGGACTGGAACGTCGTCGTGTTGCGCACGGGGAACACTGGCACGAGGCCCAGGATCTCGGCCGCCTTGCTGAGCACCTGCACGACGCCGGTCGAGCCGAAACGGTACAGCACCATGTCCTTGAGGTTCTCTATCCGGTTGCGGTTCTTCTCGTCGAGCTCCTTGAGGCCGCCGCCCTCCGGGTCGCCCTGCTCGATCAGGTCCTCGCGCGTGTCGACGAACTCGCTGCCCTCGGTGTACTTGACGTAGCCCTGCTTGGCCATCTTGCGCAGGAAGATCTCCGAGATGGCGGAGCAGAGGACGATGGTGTTGGGGTCCTGCATCTTTGCGATCTTGGCGATGTTCTTGTCGGCGTCCGGGTGGTCGATCTTGTTGAGCGCGATGACGGTCGGGAACTTCTCGTCCGTGAAGGCGTTGACGACGCGGTCGATGGTCGACTCGTCCCAGTCCTCGAGCGGCTCCTTGATGCCCAGCCTGTCGAGCGCGCGGGCGACGACGTTGGCCGTACTGCCGTAGCCGGAGAACTGGCCCTGCAGCGTCTCGATGGCCGTGGCCTTGATCGCCATGTGACGCCTCCTGATGGACCCCCATTTCTCCATCAGGTTGCCCTTGATCCACGCCACGATCTCCCCGCGCAGCCATGCGATGTCGACCGAGGGGTCGTACCCGCGGGTCTCCTTGCCCTCGGCGTCCACCGTGCCCGATGCGTCCACCACGTGTATCAGCGCATCGGCGTGGCGCAAGTCGTCGAGGAACTTGTTGCCGAGGCCTTTGCCCTGGTGAGCCCCGGGGACGAGACCGGCGACGTCGAGGAGCTCGATGGGTACGGAGCGGCGGCCGTCGGTGCAGGCGCCGTAGTTCGGCTTGCAGCGGTCCGAAACGTTATGTCGTGCGCAGGCGCATTCTATTTGGAGGTATCCGATCGCTCGTTGGGGGTCAATCGTTGTGAATCTGTGGACGGGAGGGTGGTCGCATTAGCATTGCCTCGAAGAACAGAGGTTTCGCGGCGGGCAGAGGAGTAGAAGCAGGGCGTACGGAAAGTTTCCTGTTCACAAAATCCATCAGCGGCCAGGTCGATCGATGGTGGGGTCGGTTTTTCTCGGTCGAGCGGGCTTAATTTTTTTTTTCTTGGTGAGAGTGTTTTACGGACCAACTTTTGAGGTGGCGTCTGTCAGACTGTTGAGCGTTGTGCTCTTGCCGGCGGACGGCTTGCCGACCAGGCCGATCAGAGGATCTCGAGGCATTGTGTTTCGGAGCCTATGGTTTTGCGATGCTGGCGAGGTGGAATTCGAGAGTCGTTCGAGGGGTAGCGATTTTGCGAAGGGCGGAATCCACCCAGCTCTGTCATCCCGTCCCGATAATGCAATGAGGGGCTGCCCCGATAGCGTCCAATCGATCCATTTGGACGTCAGCGATGTTTTGTGTCCGACAACTGCATCAGCCACCGCTCCATGGATCTCAACATCTTTCGAGCGTCGCTGCACGGCAGACCCGCCCTCCCGGTCAGCTGTCACCACACACTAAAACACAGAGTAACCCATTTTCATTGCTTTTTGTTTATCCCCTTCACCATGACATTGCTCCTAGATGTCGTACTCGAGGCGTGTTAGCGATTCTCAAAGCCACAGACTCTTGGCATTCGTTCCTCGTTCTCGGTCGGTCCCACAAGCCCCGCCAGTGTCTCGCTTGCGGGTATAATCTTGGAAATCGACACATCTCTCACCTGTCATAGGGCTTATGGCCTAGCGGTAAGGCGTCCGCTTTGCATTGTCATCAATGTCTGCGGAAGATCCTGGGTTCAATCCCCAGTGAGTCCATTCCCCCTTTGGGGGTCGTACAGAGTTTCCAAGTATTGTTTCTTGACCGAATCGCGTCGCTGGCGTTGCTAAGTCTAAATCTACTGTTTAAAGTCCCCTTGGGCACGCACTGTTTTTTTTTTGTTTTTCTTCTGCGTCGGTTTCCTTGCCATTCTTTCTCAAATATCAACTGTGAACAATAATGCGCTCTTGCATGTACACTGTGATATGGAAGGAGTTGCTAGGTTGATGTGAAGAGGAGGCAGGCAGCCTGTGAGTTGTGGTTTATGTGCTTTTTGCTCTGTGTCTAGGCTTTTCCATAATCTGGTTGACCGATATTGAAACATTCGACTTCGTATTGTTGGAAACCTCAAGTGTCCCTCGCACTTACTCATCACTTCGCAACCAAAGTCGGATCAACAACATGATCCATGCAGTGACGGTGATAGTTCCTTCTCAACGCAACCATATTTCTCAGAAACAGCAGTTGCAGGTGTCACGTTAATATTTAGAAAAGAAGTAGCGGCGGCATGATGTTGCGACTGGGGCAACAACGTAGCAGTTCCGTACTGAATTTGGCGCGGCTCTTGCACTTACCATACTTCAACTTCTCCGTCGTTCTTGCCGCTGATCCAGCTTCTTCTTGTTGTCGCTGATTTTCCCCTCCTACCTGCGGGTATTTGAAGTCGTCTTCTGGTCAGTTCATTCGAACAACCTCTACAAGTCATCATCTCCTCTGGCCACGGACAACTTCTTGGATTCAAATAGCGGTTAGTCACTCTGCAACGCGTCAACAAACTGCTTTTTTTTACATCATCTCAAACATTCACACAACCACCGAAGATGGCTGACGTTCAATCGAAATCCGGCATCCGTAGCCTGCAGGAGGAGTTGAACGAATTCATCGCTCCCTTCGACTTTCCGGAGGTAAGGTGGATGCTTCGTTGATTTGAATCTCGGACTGACAGTGACCATCCAGATCCAAATTCGCCGTCGCATCAAGATTTTGGTTCGCGATTACGGCGATTTGCAGGTATGTCCCCTGGCCCCGTACAATGTATTGGACTAAGATAACGAGGATACCCCAGGGTGTTCTGACTGATAGGTCTAGTGAAGATATCGCCTGCTACGCAATCGACATGGTCCTCCATACCTTACTCGAGGAATACACTGAAGTCGAGCCATACACGGGCAAAAACACCACCGAGGATATCGAACTGGAGAAAGCGCTCCTGATAGGAACCATAAGATGGGCAATTGAGCAAGAAAAGCTCGAAGGCATGAGGCCAGCTGTCAAGTCGCACTTCCAGACGCAACTTGCATCTCTCAAGGGAGCGCTTGAGCCGGTTCAGACCCTCTCGACCTCGGAAAAAGAGCCGATGTCGAATTCTGACACCAAAGTGGCCTCGAAGCCCGCGTCTTCTTCTATACTTCAGAAGCGGGAGCTTTCAGAGTACAAGGAGAATCTGAACGAGACAGATGCTGCCGACGCCGAACAGGATGAGCTTGATCGAAAGGGAAGACCTATGGAAGAGCCCAGCGAGGCCGAGACTTCGTTTCTCCATGATGAGACGAGGAACTGTTCCAGTCCCAAGAGCGTGGAGGAATGAGACTAATTCAGTAGTCGAGAATACAAAGGTTTGAGGTTATGGATATCGAAGAGGCTGCAAGGACGAGGCTGCAGGGTTCGGGGCTCAACTCCAGTTTTGGGATTCATCGACGATGGTAAAAATAGACTCGAGGAAGAAGTACATAAATTGAGTTGCCCATGCGGTTGGTTTCCTTACCCGAGTACACTCCCGAGGTGATCTGGAGTAACTGAGATGCGTCTCAAGGATGAGCAGCTAAGAGCTGGGTGATTGGAGGCAATCGCGAGTCGCATGTGTCGGCGGCTGGGTAACTAGCTGAAGACTATGTCGAATGGTTCATGAGAAAAGAAACGGCACCACCGATCGATACTCAAAGGCTCAACATCTTCGGTTCGAGTCGGCCATTCCGATTGCGTGGCAACGGAAATTGCAGCAGGAACATCAGAGTTTGGGATGTCGTTTAATTAGTGACCAAATATTGGACGGAACGCGTCAGGTCGTTTTCGGGCCTTGGTCTCAGCGACCCCAGAGGGCTTAGATGCGAAGAGAACCACTTTGCCAACTTCAACCTTGCCATGCTGAAAATCGCACAGGGTTGTGAACACAAATGGTGAAAAATTGATCGCCAAAAGTTGCAGTTGTACTCTGCGCAAAGTCAATCATTGACGCATTGCATCGGTCCTGGATAACCCACCAAAAACCTCCACTGACGAACCAACTCCGATTTCTCGGCCCGCTAACCTTCTCCTACAACGACGACGGGAAACGGCGTCCGCATCTCGACACTACCGACCTTGGGACTTCAAGAACCGCAGACGAGACATTGAATCCGCGACCATGGCAACTCCACAGCTGGCCGTCGACACGCTGCCCACCTGGGCCATGTTCCACGATGTCGACCTCGTCGACGTCGAGGCGCGCGAAATTCCCGGCTGCGGGCTGGGGCTTCTGGTGAACAAGGAACTCAGCCGAGAGGAGGAAACATTCGATATCCCTGCAGTGCTCAGGATTCCACATGAGCTGGTCCTGTCTGCCGAAGCAGTCGAGAGTTGTGCCAAGGTCGACAAGAATTTTCGCCAGCTGCTCGATGCGTGTGGCCACAAGGTAGGTCATCTCAGGCCCCGGACATGGCTCATCATCGCTGACGCTGGACTAGTCGACTCGGCACGATGTTTGCTTATTTTTATTGACGCAAATGGTGCTATCTGACCGACCGAAGACCAACTTGAAGGGTGGCGTATCGACGCCGTGGACGGAGTATGTCAAGTACCTGCCACCACAGGTGCCTGTTACGACTCTCTGGACTGAACAGGAGCGTGAGATGTTGAACGGCACATCACTGGAGGTGAGTTCGCCTCACCTATTCTACCTCACCGCAATCCATCTGCACTCCGTCGCCATTTAGCAGCCGCCCTAGACATGCTCGGACAGTTGACAACCAGTGGACATCGTATCACCGTACCCCAGGTTGTCACTGGTGCATGCAAATACCCATGAACATAGCTCTTCCTAGTGGCGACCCGTCTCACGGCAAGCCAAGCAGCTTGCGGCTGAGGAAGGCGGCTGGGCATGCCCTGGGCGGCGGCTATCACACCAGAATCACGTTCTAACAGACACAAGTCGGCTACTGCTGCCAAGATTGTCGCGCTGACTGACGAGTTCGACGAACTTCGTGAGACTTCCGAGGCCCTGCCCTTCTGGAACGAGCTCTTCTGGGAAAGCAACAAGGTCTCCCTCATCGACTGGGCCCGCGTCGACGCATGGTTCCGCTCCCGATGCCTAGAGCTGCCAAAGTCGGGCGAGGCCATGGTCCCCGTGCTGGACCTGGCGAACCACTCGGCAAAGGCCAACGCGTACTACGAGGAAAACGACAAGGACGAGGTGGTCCTCCTCCTGCGGCCCGGCTGCAGGGTCTCGCCCGGGGACGAGATGACAATCTCGTACGGGGACGCGAAATCCGGGGCGGAGATGCTCTTCAGCTACGGGTTCATCGACCCCGCGTCCGTCGCCGACAGGATCACGCTGCCCCTGGCGCCCCTCGAAGACGACCCGCTGGGTAAGGCGAAGCTGCACATCTTCGAGGGAGCCCCGACGGTGGAGTTCGACCGGACGAATGGCGTCGTCGGCTGGAAGAGCCCCTTCGCCTACTTCATGTGCCTGAACGAGGAGGACGGCCTCGACTTTCGCGTGCTGCAGGACACCGGAGGATCACGGGAGCTAAAAGTGTTCTGGCAGGAGGACGACGTGACAGCGTCGACCAAGGACTTTGAGAAACACATCGACGGCCACCCCATCGCACAAATCTTTCGTCTTCGAGTGGTTACCGTCTTGCAGGATCTGGTGTCCGGACAGCTCGAGCGACTCGCTACCGGCATGTCCCTTGACGACCTGGACGCTTCGCTCAGCGAGGGAGGTCTCATATGCGGGGCGTGCATCAACGCCGCCGCTACGTTGAGGGAACAGGAGACCAGCTTACTGGAAGCCGCCATGAAGTCTCTGGAAGACCAGGTGAGTTTATTCTCCTGTCGGGTCCTCTCTGTCAGTGTCAGGGCTGCAGCGATAACATACGATGCTCTGCCCATGTCCTCCTGGCCCATTGCCCTTTTCCCCTTTTGAGCCTCTCGCATTCCTTCTGGATTACTCCTGCGTCGACTCCTCCCCCACCGTCCCCAACTGCTCGCTCGCTCCCCCGCGTAATGTGGTGCCAAGACTGACCGGGGGTGGGCGTCATGCCCCAACCTTGCAGAAAACACAACTTCTTGCAGACGAAAACGTGGTGGCTTATCTCGGATCGATGGAAGATACCCAAAACGACCTAGTGGAGGGCGAGGCATCCAATGACGAGGAGGACTTCAGTTGAACAGGGAGGGATAGGCGAAGCCATGCGGCCGGGTCGATCCATTCGGCACTCGTTCGAACCTCTGGGCGGACATTCTTCCGTCAGGCGTGCCCTATTGTTTGAGGGGTCTTCACTCCGTTCCTTGTAAGCCGTTACGAAGCAAAGCGGTTGGGGGGGGGGGGTGAGAAACGTCCCCCAAGACTACGTGCGGCACGGAGCAATGCGAGCGGTCTTATCCTTGATCCTTCTAGGCTTGTTCGAAACGGTGGCCGTTGGCTTCCCGTCCGAGATATTCTCGCCTGCCACATGGCACATGAAATAGTCAACCACCGATCTCACTTTCTTAGAGCACGCGAGAGATGACTGTAAAGCTGTGCGGAGAGGGAACGGATCTCCCGATTCACCCCGCGTCGGGCGACGGCGCCTTTTGACAGCCTGCGCGATGCGAAGGATGCGGATGATGACAGGGAGCCAACGAGCCATCATCCGACGTCGTCGGCAGCCACAACACACACACCGCAGATGAAGCGCCTCGCTCCAACGTGTCCGCCGGCATGTGCGGAATGTCTACCCCAGATGGCATTCTGGTCTGAGTAGGGCTCAAACAGACTTGGCAGCTAACCAACTCTCGCGGCCGTACCTACTTACATGCAGAGGAAGATCGGCGCAGCTTGGCCGTCTTCGGAACGGACCTCGCCCATAATTATATTGAAGCCGCGATGAGGTGCAGCAACAGTATCCTTGAGGCGGAAAGGTGGTATTTTGCCTGAAATCAAGCATTTATTACGACCACACAGCCAGAGAGAAACACTTGTGTTTTAGGCAGGGAGCCGCGGGGGAAGTGACAGGCCGAGTAAGGCAGAGAGGCAGATCCGCGTTGCGCGCTGCGAACTCCCCTGGACCCTGCCAGAGAGGAGGGATGCAGCACGACAGGACGGGTCTCGGCCTGTCCTTGCATGAAAGACCAACGAAGCTGAAGCGCGGCAGTCTGCCCTGCATCGCAACATCAGTCTCAACACAATGGTTTTGTTCCTTGTATTGCCGACTCTGCAGCTCAACGGATACGCTGCTTCAAATCAGAAAAAAGGTGGTTCCCCGCCCCGGGTCCAAAGGGCTGCCGCGCGGATGCGTGGATCGCCCCCAACGGTGGAGAAACCGGGGATGAAGGATTGCGGGAGCAGAGCGTCATTCCTTCATCGGCTACGGGCCTGCGTGCACTAGCTGGCCCTGGATCTACGGGGTACGGGGTAATTGCACGGGGGCTGGCAGTCCTGCGGTGCAAGGTGGTTCCAGCTTTTCCTGTTGTCACTGTCTGAGGCGAACCCTTTGGACATGACAGGATGTCTTAATTTCGTCCGATCCCGATTGTGGTCTCTTTTTGACTTTCCCCAAATGCCATTCTCCTGGGATGGGATTGTTTGGGAAATTTGACGAGACATGTCCGCTTTCCCGAATAGGACCGAGAGATGTGTGAAGATGTCAAGGGACGCCTGGCGAGGTACGTTTGGCCCACGATAAGGACTCGGGAGTGAGCACGCGAGCATTTGGGGTCGACCAGTTCCCCGTTCAGCCGAAGCCGGTTGGCCCGAGTGCGGAGTGGGATGGGATGTCGAGAGCTGTTGGAGTTGCGGGGGGGTTGAGTCGCTATCATCGACGACGACGACGACAACAATAACGATGTGCCACGAGGAGGCAGCCAGGCAGCTCGAAGTTGCAGTTCGGATGCTCGATTGATTGGAATATGGGTATCGGTTTCAACGGTTTTCGTGCGACGTCGTATGAGCGTTGATGCGTTGTTGGCGATCCGAGGCAGCTTATACACAAGGCCTAACCCGATGGCCGCTTTCCGTGACGATGATTCATGCAGGCGCCGGCAGAGCGTCAATAGCCTCATCATTCTGTCATGTCGAATTTGACAGCTCTTGGCTCCAACAAAACCGTGACGAAATAGTACCGGCGACGTCTGGATGACGAGCCATCGTCAGATCCAGACCCAGCAACCCAAGCGCTGATCACCAAACTGCTGGCGCTGGAGTCGTGTTGTAGCAGACAATGTCGTGACGTCTCATTGGAGGTTCACCTCTCGTCCGGGTGACGATTATCAGTATGTCGCGGCCACATATCAAGAAGTGGTTGATATCTGGGCGCAGGATGTAATCCAAGCCGATAGCTCAGCTGGAAAGGAACCCCAAACAGCGGTTCAGGTTGCGTGGGCCAAGGTGTCGGCCAAGTGTGGTCAGGCGGCGAGGACTGAACCACCAGTTACAGAGCAGCGATCGTCCCTCCGATCCGACGTATCGCGAAATAGACCCCGGAACGATTGCAACGATGTGGCCCTCAACCTTTCCCTTTTCCTTCGTCTGCCCCAGATTTCTCCAGTTGTCCTGCGCCCCGGCCACGCCAGTACCCCAGTTTCTTGTCCTCCCCCAGGCTGTGCTAAGAGGTTGCGCGGCGAGTATGGTGTACGAGTGCCTGTGTGACCCTCACCCCGGTTTCCTGAGTTCCTGTTCTTGCCGAACATTTCAAAGTTGCAGTAGCTCCTTTTTCGATCTTCCTTTCTTTGTTGCCGAAACTTTTCCTCGAACGGCGAAAACCTGGGGAAAACGGGGCATTCCCGACAAAGGCGAAGATGGTGGGATGAATGCGCATTGGCGAATCGATTATGGCTGCATGACTGGCCGGTCCTCGAGGTCGGTCATTGTTGTTTCCAACACGTTGTTAACTCTGGGGGTGGGGCCATTGTCGAGGGCCTAGAGCCTCTGAGGAAGTGTCGTGAAGAGTCTGGGGTCTGGAGAAGACCGGATAGTCTGGAGAAGGAGGGCGAAATTGGCAGATAATCCCCCGCTTCCGGGGTCGAGTGGTGTCATGGCTGCGTTTGCTGGTGGTTCTTCGCGTTTAGTGCCGTGGGTTCGTGTCAGGGTTTGCGAGTTGGTTGGTTGCGAGGGTTGGGGGTTGTCAGTTTATGGCAAGGACTGGCGGGTGTATCTGTTGTAAACTTGAGGCAGGTAAGATACGCAGGAGTCGACGAGGTGCGATACGGTGTGATTTGGTGTTGGTGAAAGGTGATGGACAGTTCGATCGTGGCGGGTGGTGGTGGTGGTGTGGTGGTGTGCCTTTCTCCTGCTGTAGCGGTGCTGCCGGTGGGAATGGAATTGGATGGTGGTTCCACGGTGTATCCTCCGGTTCGTGCTCGCTAAAGGGTCGACTAGCGCAAGAAGCGATGTAGGAACTTTGGTGCGCTGGGAATACACAGATGGAAGCTGCGAGTTTGATGTTCCGCTGCGTCCTGCTGGTGGTGCTGGTGCTGGTGCTGATTCTCGCATGCTGGGGTCGTACAGTGGATACCTTTCAACGGGGTTCAGCGCAACTCGAGGACAATTGCCCTGCTGTTATTGGTCCTCCTCACTGGTCGTTAGCGTCGTTTTGTTCCCAACAACGCAGCCAACCAGCAATATCCCGGGCTTATTCCCCCAGATTCCCCCATCAGCGGGTCCAGTGCTCTTTGAAGGCAAATGCCAGGCCGGACCGGTGGCCAGTCCCCCAGTCTCCAAGTGCACCGTTCCAATCCCGGTGCAGGCATTCACCATTTTCATTCCAATGAGGAATGAGTCGCTGTTTCTGAAGTTTCCAGCCCTCCCCCCGGTCCCCGGTCCAGTCGTGGTGTCCAGCGGTCCCGTCTGCCTCCCGTCCACGGGGTCTCTTTTTAGGTACTCCACACCTCTCACGTCCCTCCCACGGTCTCCTTCCACTTCTTCTCCCTCTTTTTCCCTCAACACCCCAACACGACCTTTGACATCGACAGCACCTTCGACTACTTGATTCCTGTCTGTCTGTCTGAGTGTCTGTCTGCCACTTCCAAGTTGTCGACTTTCGACCCTCTCCACTCCTGTCTATTTTCTGTCCTGTTCTTGTTTGGAAGACTTTGGGGTTGTTCTTTACCTTCGCCTATTTGCCTTTTTTAGTGACTAAGAAGATACCACGGCCCTTATCTGCAACCGCAAACGCAAATCAACGACGAAACTTGACAAACGACCATCTGAAGATCTCTGAAGAGGTGGAATCTGATTTATGGGAATGTTCGGACTACTTCACGCCATCTACCGCATTTGAACGTGTTCACGACCGACCGAGAAAACCCAAGCCGCCGAAGCCTCCGGGGCTACTCGTAGGGAAGCCGCTCTCAGACGCCACCACACATTTGTCGAAACCTCCAACAAACAGGCGCCACCGTAAAAAGAGGAGGAAGGGAAATCGCCAACATGCCCGGAATCCTGCCCATGAAGGTGATCAAGGTGGGCACCAGCTCCCAGAGCCGCATCGCCCAAGCCTGCGACCGCTGCCGCAGCAAGAAGATTCGCTGCGACGGTATTCGGCCGACCTGCTCGCAATGCGCCAACGTAGGCTTCGAGTGTCGCACCAGCGACAAGCTGAGCCGTCGCGCCTTTCCGCGTGGATACACTGAGTCTCTCGAAGAGCGCGTTCGCCAGCTCGAGCTCGAGGTTAGGGAGCTGAAGGACCTGCTGGACGAGAAAGACGAGAAGATTGACATGCTATCGCGTATGCACGGAAATCACAGCCACCACTCAAGTCATCGTAGCCCGTCCGTGGCCGCCGCATCAGCGAACTCGCCGGCCGGGTCGTCTTCCGCCGTGGATGTCAGGGAAAAGTCCGGGTCACCGGCCAAGGAGGATACGTTCCGCGTCCAGGCGTCGCCGCTGCTTTTGGGCGTCGAGAACTCAGACTCCTACTTCATGGGCCCCTCGAGCGGCCGTGCCTTCATCGGTCCGTGGAACCCCCGCTCCGTTCCGGAGCGTCCGAGCGAAATCTCCGTGTGTGTAGCTAACATGAGATACAGAGGCATTCAAGCGTAGGATGCAAGAAAACGGAAAGCCTTGCTCGGATTTCAACCCAGAAGCTTTTTTGCATATTCAGGGCTGCCATCCTTTGACGCCCAAGTCCCCAGACCAAGCTCTCAGAGTACCGCCACGATTGTTTTCCGACCGCTGCGTCAACGTCTACTTCCAGGAATGGGCACCGTTGTTCCCCGTGTTGCACAAGCCGACTTTCTTGCACATCTACGAAGAGTTTGTATCAGACCCAGAGAAGGTCAAGAATAACCACAAGATCGCGCAATTGTATCTCGTCTTCGGTATCGCAGCTCTCGGCAGCGACCAGCCCGACTATGACCAGATTGCGGTTTGTGAGCAGCAGTGGCAGCGTGCTGTCGAGGCTGTGCTCATGGAAAACACCATGATCACGCTGCAATGCCTTGAGCTGGCTCTTCTCTACTGCATCGTGAGAGCGGACTACAAGCGCCTCCAGCACTACAAGGGCATCGCCGTCGGTTTGTCGCACCGCCTTGGACTCCACCAAAGCCAGAAGCGCTTCTCATTCGGTGCTCTCACTATTGAGACACGCAAGAAGGTCTTCTGGACTCTTTACACGCTTGACTGGTGAGTGCCTTCATTTGCTAGATTATTAACTTAGCTAACGGTCGAAGCTTCTCCGGCGCTATTCTTGGTCTACCGAAGTTATTGAAGGAGGACGACATTCACGCTGAGTATCCGTCAGATACCGATGATGAGTACGTGACTGAGAAGGGCTTCCAACCGACTCTGCCAGGAGAGTACACTCGCTTGTCCAGCGCCCTCGCCCTCTTCCGCTGTTGCAGGATTCTAGCCAAGGTCATGGAGAAGAACTACCCGGCAGCGACGTCTCACGAGCTCTCACTGCAGCAAATGTCCGCCATGGAGGCTGAGCTCGACGAGTGGTGCGAGTCACTACCGGCTCATTTGAAGCTCAACTTTGTTCAGGACAAGCCCTCGACCGATGTTACTGGAAGCCGATCCCCTCTGCTGGCGCTCGCCTACTACTACACGCGAACGCTCATCTACCGCCCTGCCGTTGGCTCCTCTCTCGGCCACAAGGCTGCACCTGCACTCTTGTCGATTGGAGAGTCCAGCAAGCACATTGTGCAAATCATTCAGCTTCTCGAAGAGCGCAACATGACTTTCTCCTTCTGCCTGAACAAGACCGACACTCTTGTGCTGTGTGGCATGACCCTGCTCTACCACAGCTTCGAGCTGAAGCAGGACAGCAAAATGATGAAGGACGTCGAGCGCCTCGTCAACAGTGTTCTCAGGATCCTCACGAAAGCCAAGGCCCCTGGATCATTCGACCTCAAACGCGTCGCCGGCATGCTCATTAAGCTAGACGAGCCTTCTTTGCCCACGCCGCCACAACCGAGCCCTGATACGTCCATGCGTGCACCGCAAAGGTCATCACCGCCCGCATCGGCGAACAAGAAGAAGTCCCCGCAACAAACTCTAGGTCGTCTTCCCAGCGCCGCTGCAAGCGAGAGCGATCTCATCCAGCAGCAGGAGAAGATGCGCCGCATGACCATGCCTAGCATTCATAACCGCCCAGAACTCTACCGCTCCCGCTCACGGCCGTCAATCGACAACTTGCAACAACAGCAAGACATGTCCGCCGCCCGCCGGGAACACCACCGTCTTTCCATGTCACAAATCGCCAATCGCATTAGGACACATAACGGAAAGCAGAATCTCGACTACCTCTCCCTCAGCAACACGCCCAATGGCTCCTCACCACCATCACCCACATCGGCACGTCTCCAACAACATCTTCTCGCCGCGGCGCATCAGAGCTTGTACAACTCGCAGCAGCAACCGCAAAAGATATCCGGTGTGTCGACGACCGAATGGGAGGCGTTGCTCGGCTCTATGGATTGTGGTCTGAACAACGTTTACGACGCGATCTACGGTGGCGGTGGCGGTCTCACGCAGATGAGTGACACGACGCCCGCGTCAACGAATCTGGATGGCTGGTCGCCGGACTCATGGGACCTTGCAAGCTTCAACATTGGCGACTTTGGAACGAACCCAGCGCCGCCGCAAAGTGTTCTGAGCGTAAGCGAAGAGTCGCTGAGTTCGGGAGAGGATTTGGCGAGTGATTTGAACATGAGCGTCAGCAGTTTAGAATACCGCAACGCGTTGTTGGCTTCGTGCTCGGGGAACAACAATGACGGGCTATTTCTCGAGGGTTTGGATGGGAATTACGGGCTATGATATTTGAGATTTGACTGGAGAACAATGAGAGCGATGATGATCTTTTAAGTGCAAAATATGTGGTGGTCCGGCGTGGCATCTCACGAGACGGGATGGTTTTGGAATATATCGGCGGGATAGGGATCTATCTTCTAGGTAGCGTATGGAATTCATGGTTTTGATGACTGTCGAATGAAGCCTGACGCGCTCGCTACATTTGTCGATGTAATGAATTGGATTATTCGTCGTCCATCATGCTGCCGCTTGACTGTCCGCAGCGGAAGGTGTCAGAAGTTGGTGATGACTGGGTTCCGGGGTTGTGTTACAATTCTGCGCATCGTTTGAACCAACGGAAATCATCTCGGGAGGCTGGGCCGAAAATTGACCGGGTTATCATCGTCTCCGTGTAGGTTAAAATTGCAGTGCTCATGCAGTCACAGGTCCGATTTGTCTGATCGTGCTCCGGCCCGGGCTATCATCGCCTTCGTGTGGGTTAAAAATGCAGTGCTCGATGCCCGACCGATACCGGACACCCTTCCCCGTGTGTCCCGGTATGCACCTCGCAACAACAAGACGGCCCTGAGACAGATCAAAGGTGCAGTGGAAATCCCCTAGCGTTTTTCCATTTGAGTGGTGGATTCGCTCAATAGTAACGGTTGGTCGGCACAATTGTTGTTGCTGTGACGGTCCGGCTTTCAACTTGGCTTCACGTGGAGTACATACCGCGATGAACAGGAATATCGTGGGTCTACTGCTATGAACAAGTAGGAACACTCACATAGGCATGACGATGGAGGCAGAAACAGAGAGACATGGAAAGAGAACGGAGGACGTATTAGACCTAGACCCTACCTCAGAATAGCCCCGTCAATACTCTTCTACGCATCGGTGCTCCGCGCAGCTCCAAGCTTGTTAGGGAAGACCGGTTGCTCCGTCTGGAATTCAAGCTCGCAGGAATTTGAATGGGTTCAATAGATGGAGATGTTGTTTTATTTTACATCGGCCCTTACGGTGGACAGTGTGCCTCTTAGCAGGGTCGGGCAGGGATGACTACATATGAGTCCTCACGGACAAGTGATCATGAAACTTATACTCAGTAATCAGCATTACAATTGACTGGCCTTACCGACTTTCTATGGCTAGAGTCATTGAAGCTGCGAGCAAGAGTTCCGTATTTATCGATGAGTTACGTAAAATCACGAGCCCGGAGCTGCGGTTTGTGGGCACGAGCACCTGGTTGTAGAACTTCCGAAGACAATATATTCTGCCGTTACTAATGGCTTAACTTGAAAGCATCCTTCCTTCCTACCGCCGGCCAAACTCTTTGAAATAGAAAAAGCGCTGCCTGCTAACCATGACCGACCTACCAACCAACCGTCAAGCCCTCCCATGATATATAATAGCCAGCCTGAGCTGACGTAGTCAATAAGGAAACAAGAACGCGTCTCAAAAACTCCCACCAAGTTTCTGAGAGAGAAACTGTAACGCAGTAAGAACCAAAAGTAGAACAAACAAGACGATGGCCAACATCGACTCGAACCGTATTTCCGACACCGCACCAAGCTCCTCGAAGTGGACATCGTCGCCAAAGGAGGCCAAGTCAATAATACGAGCTGAGAAAGTATCAGCCGAAGAGCCACGCAAGAGGCCGATAAAACGCCCAAAACGCCACCCTCCGAGTGATTTGAATAAGAAAAGAAACATACGCCTACATACCAGGAGGTGATCTGCGTGCTCTTTCCCCGCGAGCGCGGCCACGCCCACGATTTGAGCCGCGTCCACGAGTTGAGCTTCTCAAAAGCCTGGTCGTATCTGGAGTTTCCGCGAGAAGGGCCGCTGAACGACCCGTCGGACGATGCCTCTCTTGGCCAATTGAAGAGTCGTCCTATTTCTTCAAAACGGCGTCGTACAGGCTCACCAGACCAGTGATGGCAGCGCCTGTCAGGATTCCTTTCCACTCGCCGTACAAGGCGCCGTTGATACGCTCGATCGAGTTGTCGCTGATCCAGCCACCGAAAGTGACTTTTTGCCCGTAGACGACAAAGGAGATCAGGGCCTTCACGATGCTAAATACCAACGGGTCGACGTTGTATTCGACTGTCTGAGTGCGACCGCGTCCCTGGGGATGGCTCGCAGCGCTCAGGTTGTAGAAGTACCCAAACAGAGAAGGAATGAGGACAGAGGTGAGAGTCCATAGGGTAACGGGTGACCAGAATGACGAAGTCACGAACAAGAACGCGTCGGGTACGTAGACAGGGTAGAAATTCGTGCCCAAAGCCGGAATTGCGGGAATTGTGAAGGCATAGCGTGTCGGCAGTACCTCCGCGCGAAGGTTCCAAGCTTCGAAGGCGGCAACGGTGAATAGGATGGCGGTGACTGTCGACAGAGAAGAGCGGACAGCTTGAGTACCCTCCTGGATACCAGACTGGTCGTACAGTTCAGTCGCGCGCTCGCGGAGGGCAACGGTGTGTCGGTCAACAGCTTCAGCAACGTCGGCCGGCGTTGCGGGTAGAGGGATGCGGCTGGCTAGTGACAGTTGGCGGGCAGGAGTACGCGTCGCCAAGGCGGTCGAAGTCGCGGCAGGCTCTGGGCTAGATGATGACACTGATTCCTCTTCAGCCTCGGGCCTAAAAGACGCGTCTGTTAGTTTGCGATTGAAAATGCGGGACGCGCTGTGATTTCTCTGCGAAGCGCATCGCAGGGCAAAGAAGCAAGCAGCAGAAGTTTGGACGTACTCGGGAAGGATCTCCTCAATAGCCCTCGTGGTCCTGCGTCGCGTAGACTTGACAAGATCCGTCAGGGGTGCTTCCCTCTTCACAGGCGAACCAGCTGCCTTGGCGCGGCTGTTGTAGTAAGGGACGAGCTTGGGTTCCCTAGAGAATTTCGTCGCGTTTTCGGCAAGGTACTCATCGAGAGTGACCTCCAAGTCGGCCTTCTTTTGGGACTCGTACCTGTGAAGAGCGCGTCGTTAGTCTCAATATTCGTGATGGTATCATGACGTGTCTTGGCTCGTGATAATTCGACGCGCCTCGGAGAGCCTTGCGCGACGATCCGATGAAACGCGACGGCAGCGCAGCATAACCTCAAAGGCGATATGCGCAGAGAGCTCGAACTTGCGATAGACACGAGTATAACGAGGAAAAAGGGAAGGCTTTACGTACCCAGTAAGTCCGGTCAGCTCGGCGAGCTCGACGAGGTCGCTCTTGCGCTGCCGAGACAGCCAGGCATTCGTTGCGCCCGACATGGTTTGATAGTTGTAACAACAGAAAAGGTGATTGAAAGGGGTATCAAAAGAATCGCGCAAAGTCGGCGACTCGAAGTCTTCAAGCGAAGATGTTCTCTCGTAGAGTGATTGAAGCGATGCAAGGGTAGATTGGTCCTTTGGTCGCGATAATGGAGGAACGTGGAGGGGCTGATGGTGATAACGGGCGACGGATAGCTGGGCTGAGCTAGGTTGTAAGGGTGTAGTGTATGTGGATGTGCGAGCTGGCCGAAGCGTTGTTTATGTTTTCTTCCGGACGTCTGTTGTTGTGGTGAGATAGAGGGGGGGCTTACGGCGGGATGTCGGGGATTGGAAGAAGGAGGGGGAGAGACAGGCGCACTGGCAGGAGCGACTCGAGGATACCTTCCTCACGCTCCCGATCCCGAGTCATCTCGAGGAAAATCACCAAGGTGCAGCAGCTGCACTGCACTGCGAGTGCTAGAGACATGCGTTGCGACTGGCTTAGCGCGGAGGGTACTCTGTAAGGTACTTTCCCCGGGAGCAGCAAGCACTGGCCAGAAATGACGAAAAAATGGGCACCCCGGACGGCAGGTGCTGCCCATATCCACCATTAACGCGACTGCAAGATGAATGCGCCCGCCCCCAAGGAGCTGTCCGAATTAGGAAAAGCATGTAAACAAACGGCAGTCGCTGGCCTTTGCACTCGACAGCTGGTGATCTCCCGTTATCAGCAATCTGGGGATGGTGCCAGGATGATGCGTGCTTTTCGACAAGACGCGGTCTACAGGACACGCGTTGAGGAAGCCCATACGCGATCAATATTCCCAGCTGCCGTGCCAACCGCCATTTTCCCAGTGTCAACAGTGACTGTGATCTGAAGTCGGCTTCACTCTCACCCAACCACGGCATCTGATCAGGTCAGTATCAGGATCATTTTCACCCAACCACGACAACATGACCATGAAGTATTGACATGGATTTGCCTTCATTCTCACTGCACTTCCCTGTACAGAAAACACCAATCCGACCGTTCCCCTAAGTATCTCCATATGTCCCAAGATGAACCATGTACAAAGCCGGCAAAACGCCTTACCCAACCAACCCTACCACTGTCCAGTCTAGGCAGAGTCGACAAAATTTACAAATCTCTCCTGTCCTCTCGGCACAATGCGAAGCGGCACGCTAACGCCCTGCGGCAACTTCAACGTCAACATGGTGCTCGCCGTCCTCAACGTCGCCCGGCACTTCTCCTGCGCCTTCTTGTACAGCTTCGCCCTCTCCGCCCGGTCCATCGCCTCGACCTCGGAATCGCTCGCCCACTCGTCGACCGCCAGCTCGAGACTGTACCGCTGGAAGATGACGGACAGCGCGGCGATGATCTCCACCTGCGCGATCCGCCGCCCCAGACATGACCGCGGGCCGTCGGAGAAGGGCACGTAGGACCCCCGCACCGGCCTGAACATCTTCTCGCTGGTGTCGGAGCCCTTGTAGCCGCCGTAATCTTCCGTGTCCCCGCTCTTGACCTCCGCCTGCTCCGCGCTTTGTCGGTACCACCGCTCCGGCACATAGTCGTTGAGGTCGTGCGGCTCATTTGTGATAGCGCTTGGCTTCGACGGCCAGTTGCGTGGGTTGCGGTGCGCTGCTACTCCTACGATGGAAATGTACGCGCCCTTGGGCAAAGCGTGTTTCTCGCCGTCAAGGGATAGAATGCCGTCGCCTTCAGGGTCGACCTTCTTAGGGATCTCCGTCACAGCCGGCGTCATTCGCAACGTTTCGTTCATGCAAGCACCCAGCATCGAGGCAAGCATGGGGTTGACGGTACTCTCGTAGTTCCATGTGCTCGGGTCGCTGTCGCCAAAGATGCCGTCGATGTCTCTCTGCAGCTGCCGCTGCACCGCCGGATTACAGGCAATCTCGATGCAGCCGAAGTGCATGGCGTTGGCTGTCGTCTCGTGGCCCGCGACGAGCATGATGAAGGCGTTTCCCGTGATTTCCGACTTCGACAACTGGGGGATCTTCGAATCCTTGCCCTTGCCCACGATGCCGTTCACGCCCCCATTGATCTCGCCCTCGTTGCCATACTTGGACCGCACCAATTGGCCCATCAAATCCATACCCGCGTCGCCGTGGTCGCCCCTCTGTAAGTCCTCGATCTTGTCTTGCATCAGCTCGTCAATGTACTGCTCGTAGTTATCGTGCGAATCCAGCGCGAGCTTGGTGTACTTGAACGGCAGCAGCTTCAGCAACCACCGCGGAACCAGCAACAAAACCAAAATGTGCTCCAGCATCTCGGCAATCGCATCGACGAAGCTCATCGTGTGTCCCGGAGGCGCATCAAGCGAGCTATACTTGGTGAGCTTCGGATCCGTACCCTCAGGCAGCGTCTGCCCGGGCCAGAGCAGCCGCATGCCGAACCCAACGTAGCTGATGATGTTGAGCGCGAGGCGCATCGTGTCGTGGTCCAGCGTGTCGATCTTGCCCTCGCCGTTAGGGCCGAGCCACTTCTGCGTCATGCTCTGTGCCTGCTTGATGGACTCGGCGAAGACGAGGGCGGCGTTCTTCTCGTTGAAGGCGGCGGAGGTGACCTTGCGGTGCATGCGCCAGACGGTGCCCTCGGTGGTCAGGACGTTGTCGCCGAACTGCTTGAGGATCTCGTACGTCTCGACCAGCTTGGGGAACTTCTCGCGCTGTTGGGTGATGGAGTGGATGGCCTCGGCGCTGTCGGTCAGGATGAGGATCTGGAAGGGGGAGACGATCATGAAGGTCTCGCCATGGCGCGCGAAGGGTTCATGGAGCAGAGTGTAGGAGTAGTTGGGGATGGAGATTCTATCTTCTGGGTCAGTATGTACCCGTCGATGAGGCGGGGTGAAGGTGGTACTGACGGGAGCCAGTTCTCCCACCACACTTTCGGTAGAGACTTGACGATTGGGAGCCACAGCTTGTGGGTGAGCTGCCATCCCATGGAGAAGGGCGACACAGCTTCATGCGTATGACAAGTCAGCAGGAGTCAACTGGTCGCTTCACGAATACGTACGGGATATAATGTACGGCAACCCGCTCTTCTTCGCCTCAGCTATGTTGCGCTGCAAGCCGGAGACGCAGGCGTAGACGCCATAGGCGACCAATGCTCCGAGGAGAGCATAGACGGAGGATACCATGATGCAAGATGTTCAGACCACGGCAGTTGACAACTTCAGGCGACAGAACCGAGCGGACTGGGTCGTAGGAAAAGTTATAGCTACCTCAACTAGTAGCGTATGGCGGTCTTGAGGACAGAGAACGTCGATGTCCGTTCCGTGACCCCTGGCTTCAACACGAACGCCAGGAAGCTTTAATAATATGTATAGTGATATTAACAGGGTAAAGGAAGAAACGTCACCACCTATGCAAGAGAAGAGTGAAAAGGAAATTTGACAGAAGAGCGATGGAAAAAAACGAAAGAAGGAACAGAAACGTCCAAGCAAACACACACATACTGCGGGACAAGCCCCATGGCCTGGTGCGTGGCAGCGGCCCTGGGCAGGGGTCGCGACTCTGGTTTCGGAGTACGCTCGACCCGAAACTAGCAAAACCCCTACCCCCATTGTATCGCAAGGTTGAATGGGTAGCGTGAGCTTAGCCTGAACAAACACACGCGCTGGTAGAGGGCGGGGTGGATTCTTTCCTCTTGCTAATGGTCTGCATGTGATTTGTCGACATGGAGTAAACTTCGAGAAAACGACAATATGAAGAATTGGCGATTGTTCTTTAGGTATGGGATGTCGCTCTCGCGACAGGGGTAGGTTCCATCCGATGACAGCAGAGTTGCGCCTCCTCGCTTGGAAAAATGTTCCCGTTGATTGTTCTGTAGCGAGAATTCAACAATCGCCGGATGTACCGCGTCAATAGGTTGAACAACAAAGTAAGGTATGTTTGAATAAGGTCACGACAGCTTGATGAATCACAGACTCGGGAAGAAGCAAAACTCAAGAGTCTTGGGCTGCAAGCATGGAAGCAGAAGCCCACCCATGTGTGACACGCAGTTGGTTCCCGGCGGGGCGGGTCCACCAAGTGGGGTGCACTACACCCGTACCCAAGGTCCCTATTGGCAGCGGTAGTTCACCCCATAAATTGCCCCCCGGAGACTTTCTGCAGGAGCCAAAACTGCTTTCCTCCCCGCATGCATTTTCATGGGATGTCAATTCCTTTCCTCTGAAAGTTACGATAAACGAGGTACACGAGACGACCGAGAACCCCTCGTAGGATTCCGAGGTGTTCTAGAGGCGCCACTTCCAACATACGCGATATTGACTGGCTTGATTCGTCGTCCAGCCGACAGAGAGACACGTCTTGCACGTCAACTTTAAAATGCTGATGTCTCGGCTGCGCCCGATGCAGGACAGCGGCATGGCGTGTCTAGGCAAGGTCCGGGGTCTAGATTACCACCGAAAAAGCACTTCCAATTTGTGCCACCACAGCGACCTGGTTACCTATTCCGCCTGCTTCCTGCCATGAGCCAACGTTACTCTCGGTTTTTAACACACATGCTGATAATCATCCAGTCTGTCTGTTATATTTCTCCTAGCATTATGTCTCTGCCCACCTAATCCATGGTATCAAGGGCCCCCGTCCAATGTCTAATTCCCAGCCAGCGCCCACAGAATATCAAAGCAAGTCGAATTGTCCGCTGGTACCCTCAAAACTAGTAATCTTCCCCCCTAGAGCCTTGGAATCTCCATGGTAGCGGAAGCGGTACGTCCCTGGTTCCGCATCCTCCTCCGTCTCCCATACGATCTCGACTTCGCTGGTGGCGAGGAGATCGCTCGTCCGCTTCCAGTGGAAGATCAGTCCCCAATCCTGGTCATCTCGAACAACATCCCACTTAGTGATTCCCCCTCGGTCAATGACAAGGCGCTCAACAGAGGCATATGTTCCTTCGAGCTTGAGGTCGTTGCGTGGGTTTGCGCCTACAAACGTAGCTCGCACAACCTCACCAATAGAGTACTTCTCTCTCACGTCTTCCTTCACATCACCGAAGCTACGGAAGACAGGCGTTCCGTCTCGCACAACGCCAGTAATGAAGCTCAGAGAACGATCGCTGTTGTCCGGGGGGAAAGGTCGGCCAGCGTGGGAAGGCGGTGCTTTGGCTGACGAAGCGCCCAGCGACGGGAGGTATGTCAGAGTACGATTGATGTATGCGTCCAGCGTGTATGGCCCGTAAAGCGTTGACGCGCCTTCGTATCGTTGGATCCTACCAAGCCGATTAGCGCCTGAGTATGATCTCTGGAGTGCGGTTCTATACTTACGCATATTCCTGCTGGGTCGTGATGTAGTGTGTATAACTGTTCGCCGGCCCGCCAATGACCACGATAGGTTTCACTTCAGTCTCTCCTCCGAACAAAGACTCGGCCTCATCCCTGACGGCATCTTTCCATCGACGTCCGGCCATGGTCGACGCTTCGCCAGGGCTGACAATAATAACCAGCTGACCGACTCGGAAAGCTTGGATGTCGACAATGTTGGGGGTCCACTGATACGGGTTGAAAACTTCGCCCACGTCTAGCAGAATGGGCTTAGGGGCGTGACATGCAAGCTGATCCTGAGTTGGTGCCTTCAGTAGCCCGGAGACTACTTTCCACAAAGGCGATGTGTTCGAAGAGTTCGAGTCGTGTTGAGTAAAGTCGAAAGCCCCAGGTCCGTCAGAGGTACCCGCCGCAAATGAGTATCCCAATGCCGCAGGACAAGTTCGAACCTCAGTCCCGTTGGGAAGTTCGAACTCGAACTCTGACATGTTGTGGAAGGTGTGGAAGGATTTGACCCACGATCCGCGCACTCGCTGGGCATTGTCACCCATTTGATCGTGGAGCTTCCTGGCAGCATCAAACTGTCTTCTGCCAATTTCGTAGCATGATGACGCTCCATTATCCTTCTTTCGGAAGAAGGGGCCTCTCGCGTGACACTTCTGACTCTTGCCGTCGCCGCAGGTGCTCGTCTTGAAGTCGCACTGCGAGCCACTGCCATCTTCGCACCAAGCGCCGAGGACATTGGGGCTGACATCTCCCATGTTGGCCTGCGAAAAGCCCGCAATGAAGTTCCGGGTGACGTGATCCTGCCCTCGGACACTCTTCTCGAAAAGCCAGGCCGCGACGCCTTTGTTGTCGCCCGAGATGAGAGTATTGTTGCCAAGCATGGAGGTGCCGTGGGTTGGGAACCAAGTCAAAACAGCCATACTCTTGCCATCAGAAGCTCGCTGGAACTTCAGCAGAGTCAAATCTTTTTCGACGGACCCGTCTTCTTCGGCACTGATGTTGTACCTAGAGCGTTCCTCCTCGGGGTTTGCCATGTACGCATACAAACTCCGGTTGATGTTGGCGCCCTTGACTTTTGTAGTTCCAACGCTTAGGTGACCCGGCTCCAAGCTCTCGTGCGCACGCCGAATTGCCAGCAGCGTGCCGTCAACGATAGCCCGATAACTCTGCTTGTTGAATCCCTTGCTGGTGATCTGCGGTAGAAGATAGTTGAGCCAGGCACCCGGCCCAGAGTGGGAATGTGTGCCGGTGAGAGCCAGGTTATGGTGTCCATACATGGAGTACTCGTAGCCTAGGTCCGCGATTCCACGTAAGACGCCGTAACGCACTGCGGTGTCTCCAGACTGGGTGTCCAGGATAACGTAGACGAATCGATCGTCAGGTCTGTCAACGCTTCCGACGATGAAAGCACGGGCATACAACCTCTGTCGAAGTCCAGAACCGACCTGTTTGGGATCCGCGTAACCCATCATGTTGATCTCCACAACCGGACCGGTAATGTCAGCGCGGCCGGCGCCGAGAAGATACAGGTCATTCTCCGCATCGATGTCCGCGGTGTTGAAGCTGCCGGGAAACCACTTCCCGCCATCGTAGAAAACTTCTTGGGGCGTAAATAATCCGTAAACGACCAAACAGGACAGAATCAGGCCGACCAGGCAAAGCAGACGGGGAGCTCTCCGGGAGCTTGGTGGGGCAGAAGCCGTTTGAGTTGCCGCCGCCGGAGAGGCGGGGCTTTTATCGACGCTTCGTCTTGCCGGCATTTTTTAAGTCTATGCCAGTGTGAAATGAAGACTGATTAAAACACGAGTAGAAGTGAAGTCGAAACGAAGAGACGGACACGGGGCGCAGGGGTGTTTAGCGTTCAGCCATCCCGACGAACGCGCGGATGGATGTTAGGTATGTGCGACACGGAAGTGCCGGCCGGACATTCAGGGAATGACGCACCCTTACCCGCCTATTCTGGAAATTGTTAGTGCTAGCGCGATGCACGAGCAGTGCCGGAGTTGTCTGTGGACCCCGAACGCTTAACCCGACGACATAATACCTCTTTCACCTGCGATGTCATGGGAATTCATGAGATCTTTATCACAACAGCCCGATACTTCGAGCGCTTACATCTCATTTCAGCGTAAAAAAAAAGCTTTGGAGTGTTGTTAGGAAGCTCTCGTTTTCGCGGTTTTCTTTAAATTCGGACAAAATCCTGATGGTTCTCAATGCGGGTACAAGGACAGTTCCGTAATCTTGGGGAGAACTCGCGATGTCACTGGCACTCCAAAACGGCAAATTGAGGAAGACACGAATTCAAACGGAAACATTAATAAATTTCAAAATTATTACGAAAGACAACTTCAACTGTAACCACTCACATACTCCGACGTCACACGTCATTATTCCCAACAGTCACTCCTCTGTCCGAAATCCAACAGCCTCAGTAGTACTTAGGGTTCTCGGGATCGGTCAGGTCGAAAATGACCGAAGAGTGAGGCCGAGCACCACCGCGGTCCCGGGTGAAGATGCTCTCGAAGTCGATGGTCCTGTTGAAGCTCAGGCCTCCGCCAGGGAGGATGTCGATCCAGTGACCCTTGTAGTCACCAGGCGTGTTCACGATCGAGATCTGTTTGAACAAGGAAGCAGTCAGCAAAAGTTTCACCGCATAGGCAGCAAATTACTTACGTCGCCGCCCTGGACGAAGTATCCAGTCACAAGCAGGTTCTTCTTGTCGGGGCTGATCTTCACGTAGTGCGGTCCCACGATAGGCTGCGTCTCGTTGGGGTCGTCGAGCCTCTTGACGTTGTTCAGGTCCGAGATGTCGAGCGCCGCAACGTGGTTTCCGAGCGTGATGGTAAAGTACGCGAACTTTCCGTCGTCAGAAATGTCCGAGTAAATGGCCAGCGAGTCCTTGGCCTTCGGTCCGAGGTCGTAAAGCAGCTCGGCGACGCCCTGCTTGCCGGATGAGTCGCGGCGGAAGGGATAGATGATCCAGACTTGGCCCGGGCCGACAGCACTGATTGACGTTGTTAGCTATAGGTTTATTTACACCAGTAGACTGCGTTACTCACGTCGCGATGGCGGCGCCCTCGGGATGCTTCGGGATGAACTTGACGTCCTGGATACCCAAGCCCTGAAAACGGTCAGTATCGATTCGCAGTCGACAAATCATCGCATCAGATGGGACTTACATCGGGAATGGTTATGGTCGAGATGATTGTCCGGTCAGACAAGTTCCAGAGCCTCAACGTATTCGCCTTCTTGATGCCCAACGTTGGCTTGAGGATGGTGATAGGAACAACAAAGTCCGAGGTCAGGATGACACCCCGGTCAAAGTCAACCGCCAGACCGTGCGGGCTGAACTGCTCTCCGAGAATGTTGAGCGTGCCAGCGACATCCTCCGGCCATTCGTGGATGATGTCGCCCTCGGCATTGGTCTCGACGAGGCGGCCAGGGGCAGTTCCCACGGCGCTTCCCATGTAGGTGATGAAGAAACCACTGTTACCAACAAGTCAGTCTCTTGTTAGGAAGAAAAGAGGTATTTGAGAGGGTGTACAAACCCTTCTGGCTTCGCTCTGATCTCGTCGACGATGGAACTCAAGAGGGCGCGGTTGGACTTCTTGAATTTGGGAGCGTAGGGGTTCGAGACGTCGAAGTAGAAGGCGGTGTCTTGCGTCTTGAGAAGTGAGAGGAGACCGCCTCCGATGAGAGTCTTGCCGTCGAGTGAGCTTCCCAGGTGATGAGGCGAGTTACCGCTGGTAGGAACGTCCGTGAGGGCGATGATCTGCCCAAAGGTATCCTGGGAAATCAGGATGTCAGCATACTCAACTCGTTCTGTACGCGGCGACAAGACATGAACACGAAAGAAATTGTAGACACACATCATCCAAACTCGCCGTCACGAGGAAATCCTTGTGGATGTTATCACCAGCCCCAGTCCAGAAGTACCCAATCTTCTTCGGCTTGATGTTGGCTCCCGTAAACGGAGGACTATCAAGCGGAGGTGTGGGCACTTGTAGAATGGGGAGGGGAGGGGCATTAGAGGCCAGAGGCTCTGTCACGCCTGGAATCGAAGGGATCAGGGGAGGCAGGCTGACACCGAGGGGACTCCTCTTGCTGGCCGGCGAGTGGTCGTTTCCATTCACCGGTCCACCCGAGACAGGTGATAGCAGAATGCCCGCGAGAGCAGCAACGTAGGTTTTCGAGAGCATGATAATCGAGATGGTTGAGTTCTGACTGTCAAGAATATGCTAGGAGAAGTCTGCATGACAATGCTTATATCAATGCTTCAATCCGAGCCATCATGTGTCCTTCTTATACCCAGCCATCCCGAAAGACTTGAAGTTCACGAAGGTTGCCTTTCCAAATCTGCCGTTGTGATCATCGACAAAACCCCCTCCATAATATCGCATCATAAACCCAACAAAACTCCTCATCCACGCCATCGACGCCGCAGACACCATGAAGCTGATGATACCGACAGGAAACTCCTTCGTACCTAGCCGCGCAGTGCGGCACATGCTCTAACATGTCTCTGCCAAGACAATCAAGAGATGCTCATCCCAATATCACAGCCGCGAGAGACTAGCCGGTAAAGAAGAAGACGATGTCGCCATCTCACCAACGACGGCAAGTCAAGCATCCGGTGAGACCAGCATGCCCGAGAAGGGTAACCAACACTGGAGGACGTCTCAATCAGGAAACAAGTATCTCACGAGGTCCCGAACCCCTGGTATTCGAGCCTATTGCTGACAACAGGAACGGGAGAGATCGACGGCCGACGGTAGTCGAGCTAAGATTCCCATCAAATCTCATGACCCCAAAGGAGTTCTGGGCCGAGTTGAGACCGTCGATCTATGCCTTGAGTAAGTGTGAAGTTGTGAACATTAAGATCAGTGTTGCTTCCAATAGCTCCAAATGATATCATTGCCGACGAATGGCAAGTCTTAAAGCTGTAGGGATTCACAACGGTGAGTGCCAATCCATCGAGGATCCGGTTAAGGCTGAGAGACAGGGAAGTTGAAGCTTTAGCCTTGGGATTTCAACTTCGAGTGTAATTAATCTCGTAGAGAAAGGCACGACTCTGAAAAAAGACGTGATCGATTTCAGATTTAATACTCCGCTGGGTGATCAACCAGGTGGCTGGGCCAAGGATGCGACCCCCACGACCAACAGCATATGTCGGGGCACAAGGAATCCTTTTTTTTCGTACTTATTCGGTTGAATGACTGGCAGATGAATATGGCAGAAAAGGTATGTTGTTGTCTCAGTTGCTTCGTCGAAGAGGAAAGCACCTTCACAGGTCCTTCCATGTCGTCAATTGTCCTCGCAATCATTTGAACCAGCGACAACCCCAGATCAATCAAGTTGACCGATATTCCCAAAGAAAAAGGTAATCCAAAACCACCGACCGAAGTTAACATTTGAGCACTAACAAGATCCGGTCGATGGCGATCGGCGTCCACCCCACGCTTCCCACGATGTCGTGATCTTCGGACGGATGTCGAATGGCCGGGGTCGAGGCTACCGGTATTCCCGATTGAACGACAGATGCAGACGATCTCAAGCCCGAACCTGCAATCTTTGAGAAGGTGTCAACGAGACAATATTGTCAGGTAGCATCAATAGTCCATGTCGTCATTGAGGACCGTCACTTTCTGGAGCTGCAACCTCACTGTCACCACGTTCACCGCGCCTAACGTGAACGCGCCGTGATATTCCGCCATCGCCGGCGAGAATGCCGTGTAATGGTACTGAGATCGAGGAAATTGTAGTGCTTGGGAGCAGGTATAAATGCATTGTGTAGAGGAGTTTGGTTCGGCCTTGATTATCTCGGCACCTCCTTGTCTACCAGCGCTTCTCACCCATCCCCTCCCTCACTTATTCGTCGCGATTGTGTACGCCATGAAACTCCTCCAAGCCTCCGCGATTGGCCTACTAGGTCTCCTCTCGAGCACGTCTGCCGTGCCGCAGAACACAAAGAGGGACGCCCAGTTCAACGTAGGCCAACCCATCGACGCCAATGGCAAGGGCGGTCCAATCCTCGGTATGTCTCCTGCAAACGATCGCCCGGGATGTATTCTGACAACAAGCCCCAGGAGGCACCAACAACGAAATCGACAGAGATAACCCAGATAACCTGGGCCAGCAGCCGACCGACAACGGTGTGGTCCCGAACCTGAAGTGGAGGTTCTCCGACTCCAAGACCCGGATCCTGAACGGGGGCTGGGTCCGGGAGCAGGTCATCCAAGATCTGCCTCAGAGCCACGACATCGCCGCCGCTCAGCAGCATCTTAGAAAGGGTGGTGTACGAGAGCTTCATTGGCATAAAGTCGTAAGTCATTTCAGTTAACATCAACTACTATATCAATGCTTACCTCACATGCAGGCGGAATGGGGCTTCGTCTACTCGGGATCTGTACTCGTTTCGGCCGTGGACGAGAATGGTAGATACCAAGCTGAGAAGCTGAACTACGGCGACATTTGGTACTTCCCAAAAGGAGTAAGTTTACGCCGGGCAGAAGTATCAGCTTCGTCTCGCTGACTCGGATACTCTCAGGCTCCTCATACCATCCAAGGCCTGGACGACGAGAACGAGTACTTGCTCGCCTTCGACGAAGCCGACTTTGACAAGATTGGGTAGGCAAAGACCCAGGGAAGCAGTCGTTCATGATGAATGCTAATACATTCGAAGCACGACGTTCAACATCGTCGACTGGCTGGCTCACACCCCCCGTGATGTCCTGGCCAAGAACTTCGGCGTCGACCGCTCCGTCTTCGACAAGCTGCCGGCCACCAATCCATACATCTTCAACGGAACCGTTGCGACTCAAAACGTGACCGGAGGCGCCAACGGGTACCTCTCTGGAAACAGCTCGTTCGTGTACCGTACGCTGGAGCACCCGGCCGAGGTTGTCCCCGGGAACGGCGGCGAGTTCCGAAAGATCGATTCGACCAATTTCCCAATCAGCAAGACCATCGCCGCGACCTTTGTCACCTTGAAGCCGGGCGGCTTGAGAGAGCTGCACTGGCATCCCAACGTTAGTCCGCCTTCTTCATCAGACTTGAGCTATTCTAACGGACTGCAGGCCGAGGAGTGGCTGTACTTCCACAAGGGCGAAGGCCGGGCAACGGTATTCATCGGAAATGCGGCAGCGCGGACCTTCGACTTCTCAGCTGGTGATACGGCCGCCTTTCCGGACAACTCTGGGTAAGTTTTGTCCCTATTCCTCCACAGCTGGTTGCCATGCTGACATACAGCCATAGACACTACATCGAGAACACGTCCGACACCGAAGACCTGGTTTGGATTGAACTGTACAAATCAGACAGAATTGCGGATGTTCCTCTCACGCAATGGCTTGCTCTGACGCCGCCGGAAATCGTAGCCCAAACTCTTAAGGTTCCGGTTGAGTTTGTCGAGCAGTTGAAGAAAGAGAAGCAGATTCTGGTCTAGACCGTGTCGTGACGCCAGAGGTAGGGATGTGCTCGCAGAGCTCGGCGAGGGACGCTTTCTTTTCACTGCGCGTGTAATGTTTAGTTACCTTACTTAATTCATGGATTACAGTGTTGTGACAGCTCGCCAATGCGTGTACATGGTGACCATCCCTTCACTGTCCAGGTCACGATGGCACTCCAACGACTCATGTATGGCGCTTCAACATGCATGCAACGAAGGCTGATAAGCGGGGTATCAACGACGGACAGGACCGCCGTCGGGGAGTAAAGACATCGTCCTCCAATATCCGAAAGCATCTCCAACTCCAACAGTTGCCATTTGAGGCCAGACGAGACGGGAATGGCGGGACTCGGTAGGATGGCAGCATGCGCATGCAGGCAACCCTGGGAGACCGGAGCGGGAAACTCTATCAGCGGCTAGCGGCGTTTGGCCAAGCGTATGTGCGCCGCTGGATTAGCAGGGGACCGACGGCTGTCAATTGCTAACTGTGCAACCTCAACCACGCGGGGTCGTATGATGGTTGTAGTCGAGCAACGGTATATGAAGCCATGGACAAAAAGAAGGGTCGCAGAAGCATCCCATTGACCGCGAATGACACGCCAGGAGCACGCCTACGGCCGTGTCGAAGTTTCTTGTGTTACCTCGTGCTTCGTGGATGACCTCGGCGACGATGGTGAAAGATGAACTGACTTTCGAGACTTATTGGTGTGGTGTGAAGAAGCTATGGAAAAGAAAGCTGTTCGACACCGCTCAGGTCGTGACCCGGCACTTGCTCCCCGCACACCTCGGGGATTGCCAAAGTCGAAAAGACCGTCTGGAGGTGGTTGCTAGAATGCGGGGAGGGAATGCCGACTGGCCGACTGACCGGACCACCTCGACATTTGGAGCCCATGTGGTGGTCGGTGAACGGTGGCGGTCTTTGGAGGCAGACACACGAGAAGCTCTGATGTCGGTTTGTTGTTGTCCACCGAGGCATGGCAGGGATAGCAGCTTTACGTCACTTATGGTGTTTGGATACTATATCAGACATTGAGGATCGTCCCCTCCTTGAACTAGCTGTCGCACCTGGTACTGCCGTGGGCCAGTCAAGAGCTGATAGAGTGAAAGGTTGATAAGGGCCGAGGTGAATGCCACATCGAGCTTGGAAGGCTTGGAGCTTGGATCCGGTCGCCATGATAGCGTCTCCGGGTATGCGAGCCCGCGGGACGGCCGCAGGCACCAAGGACATCAGGATTGGGCCCAACGGATGCCCAGCGTCAAGACCAGGCCGATCGGGTGGCCAAGCGGTAGCTCAGGGACCTGGGGATCGTCAGGGAAGCAGGAGAATCAACGTGTGAATCTTGGAATGCCTCTGGAAATCTCGTGTCTCGGTGGGGGCTCGCCAGTTGGCCGAAGAGGCGCGTTGCATTCTGTCTGTGGCAGTGCGAGCTGCATCAGTTCCCGAGAAGCAGCTCATCCCTTCCATTTGGGGACGAGTCGAGTGGTCAAGTGAGCACCTGGAAGATTTCCGGTAGGGCGGACAGCCGTGTCATCGACGACGGTTACGCATGTTGCAAATGATGCGCGTCGTTGGTGTCGGCGCGGGGAGTTAGCTCAAGTTGATGAAGACGAAGAGCAAACTGTCGGTTCGCCGGGACGCGATTATGACCAAGAAATGAGTGATGTTAATGTGTTTGCGCGTTGTTATTGCTTTGACAGAATGCCTGACAAGCAACGATAGACCAATGGCGAAGACGACAGCGAGACGATGATGACAAAAAGTTGAAATGGCCGTTGGAAGGCGACAGGGACGTGCAATGCAGCGCAGGAGCCATCGAGTCTTGAGCCGGAAGGAATCCCTAGCACGCTTCAGCCACAGCCAATGGACGGCCCCCAAGTCTCAGACTAACAAACCAGGGTCCTCCACTGTCTTCACCATTCCAATCCATAGGTTTGCTGCAATGGAGATGCCCCGTTGTTCGCGTGTCATCCAGCCCACGCAAAACCTGGGTCGAGTTGGAGTCATTGGGGTCTGATGGCACGATACAGCAAGGCAAAGCTTGGGGTTGAGAGGAGCAACAGTTACGTTACTCAATTGGCAAGACCAAGCAGGGCAAAGTCAGAAAACAAAAGCAATCGTGAGCTGGCAAACGGTGAATCCGAAGCGAAGACAGGGAGACTAGCAATAACACGGACGGTAAACATTCATGCAGCCAGTAGTTCACGGCGAAAAGACGGAGTGCCTCATGCTCAGGAGCTGCTGGACCTTGACCTGGACCCTTTTTCTCTCTTGTTCAGGGCATCCTATGCTTTGCCGTGTCCATGGGAACCAGATGAAACCGAATTTTCTCAGAACCATCTATAGTTAGCAATCAAAATTCACTCCAATCCTGAACCCCATTCCCATTGTCGTTCATCTTTCGATGACTCGTTTTTCTGCAGAAAGTCTTGCTCGCCGTTTGTCCAGCTCAGCTTAAGGTAGGTAGCCAGCCTCAACTTGGATTCTTCCTCGATAGAGCGGTACTTCTTCGGAAAAGGTACGTACCGAACGCCCCTGGAAGAGCTGCCCTACGACTGTACCTACCTACGAATAGTACTGGCACTCGCGTCCAGTTGGACCCGGCCTGACTTCACTGTCTCCGTCCCTCCCCCTCCTCCCCAAAAAGAAAGGGGCCCCGCTAAAAACCACTAAGACGTTACCATCCCACTGCACCTCCAACTCCCGTCACATACACACACCTGCATCCCACCTCGTCCACAGCAACCGTCCCTCCTCCGGTCTTCTTTTCCGCGGCACCGCTCCTTTTATTTGCCTCGAGAAGTCGTAGAATCCTCCTTATCGAGCATCAAATACTCCTCCAGCAACCCAAACACAACGTCAAAATGAACCCGCTTCAGAAGAACAAGATTGACGTTTCGGTACGTTAGCCACGCCCTCCTTCCTACCCAATGCCCCACCTCGACGACGAAGCCCGCGATTGCATCACAGCACACGCAATCAACCATTCTGCTGCCCGCCCTTTCGAACCAACTCTTGCTGACTGCTTCTGATACAGTCCCTTTCCCCCGAGGAACAGCGTCTCTTCCGCCTCTACGGCAAGCTCCCCTCCCGATCCGACCACTTCGCCAAGCACTTGAAGGAACGCAAGTACTTCGACTCGGGCGACTATGCCATGTCCAAGGCCGGCAAGGGCGACAGCGTCGACACTGGCGCCGTCGGCAGCCAGCACCCCGTCCCCGAGAATATCCCCCACCTCTCGAGCCCGGTGAACAACTCCTCCTCCTCCCTCAACGGCGGCGCCAAGCACCACCCCACCGTCCCCAGCGGCGCCCAAGCCGGCAGCCCTGTGAAGGAGTCCAGCTTCCTCAACCGAGAGACCAGCGCCGAGGAGGTCGAGCAGAACAAGGACAAGGAGAACAACTCGCCAGTCGATAGCGCCGCTAAGACCGAAAGCATTCCCATCCGGAGATGAGAAGCTCCCCTCGTGAGCCTTTTCGTCCGGCGTCCTTTCTCTGCGTTGTTATCCCAGGTTTCGTGACGGGTGTTTATCGGAAACTCCCCGGAGGCAAATTGGGTGTTTGTCTGGGGGGCTGAATTTCTACCATGATGTTATGATGAAGTGTTGAACCTTTTCATGAGACTCCTTGGCGTTGGATTGGGTGGGAAACCAAGCACAATCGGTTGTTGAGTGGAAAGAGACTTGAGTTGTCGGCTGCTTTGCTGGGATGAGCGGCTTGGACGACACGCCAAGCCTTTGAACGCTCTCCTGGCTCTGCGCGGGACTTCTAGGAAGACTGATTTTCCGTACATGTTTTATGGGCTGGGGCGGAGGGAGTGAACGATAAATGAAAGCAGCCAAATCAAGACTATTCTGTCTTACCAAACGCGGGTTTCAATGTGATAGCACCGGCTCTTTCATCAGTGTAGGACGATGTCGAGACGTCTTACAGACTGTGTTCACCCTCGAATACTCAGCGGGTTTCAAGTGGGAGCTTCCACTCACTGCAAAACCATTAATGCCTTGCGGAGTATTGGCTTGTAGTCAGGAGTTGTTTGTCATGAAGAAGAAATTCAAGTCTTGGACAAGTTGTGGGATCCCGATGTATTGATAAGCAAAAGACAACTTTTTTCTGATGCCATACGCCATCCCATGTTCCTGTGCCCTTCCTCCCAGTCCCAAATCCCTAGGGAGGCCCTTTTTACAGATCCAACGCCTTGATGGCCATATCCTTGGCGCCATCGAAAGTCTTGTTTCCACCAATGAAGCCGGCAGCGTGGACGAAAACGCATCCGGGAATGCCAGAGATGCCGTCCAACTCCTCATCTCTGAATCCCCTCCACGCCTCAGGCAGAGGCTTGCGGCTCTCGAAAGAGTCCTTGGTGACGGGGACGGCCTGCACGCGCCACTTGGCATCGGGAGTGGGCTTCTCGGGGTACAGCACGTACTGAACGGAAGGGTTGCCGCCCTCGAGAGAGTAGAGGTGGTCCTTCCAGGGAGCGCTCTGGCCTTCGAGAACGAGAACGCGACCCTGGGGGTCGTACTGGGTTCGCTTCTCAAAAGCGGCCTGCACGACGGCGCGGGCGGGCAGCCAGGCCTTGGTGTAGTAGTCAAGGTCGGCGTCGAACTCCTCTCCGATACGGCGGCTCGCCTTGGAGAAGCGCTCATCCTCCAGACGCTGGGCCTCGACCGGGTCCGAGGGGACGGGGTCGTTCCAGTTGGGGTTCAGGCGGCCCACGATGGCACCGAGGGTGAAGGCGCCCTCGCTGAAACGCTTCTCGAGGCCGGCAGCCGCGACGGCCTTGGGGTCGTAGACAGAGATTCCGTTGTCGTGGGCGTCAAGGGCCTCGATGAAGCTCTCGTACAACTTCTTGTATAGCATCTCGACCTCAGCGCTGTCCTCGGCAACAGGGGCCTCCGCGCCCTCGCTGAGCTTCTGGGCGATGATGGCCTTGCCGAAGTGCATGAAGACGAGGCCGGCGCTGGAGAGCTTGGTGGCTCTGCCGGGGAAGGTGGTGGTGAAGCCGCGCTGGTGGTGGTCGTAGCGCTTCTTGCCATCGTCATACTCACCGCCGACGTCGACGACGGTGTGGCAGGTCTCGAGGAGCTTGGTGTCGCGGGTTCGCACCAGCTGGGAGTCTTTGTAGGTCGGCAGCAGGCGGAGCATGTGCACGGCCAGGGCCTCGTCGGCGTGGAAGTGGCCGTTGTGGGTGCCGATGGTGACGGGCGACATCTTGACTCTCTTTGCAGCGTTTTCAGCCATTCGTAAAGGGTTTGTTCTGAAGAAGCTGCGGAACATGCAGCTGAGGGGGAATAAGTGGGTGAAAAGTTGGCTGGCTTGTTGCGAGAGTACCAGCTCAGCGAAATCGACAACCAGGAGGGTGAGAATTCGAAGTGTTGGTGTCCGTTGAAATTGTGGGAAACAATAGACCCCGCAATAGAAAGACTGGATGAATCGTCAAGAGCAGACGGTGGTAGTGGTGATGGACTGCAGAAGGCAAAAAGTGAAGTTTTGAGATGTGATAGCCACACCCCACAGTATCTGACTCGATCCACACCACACTGTGCACTGTCCGCGATGGGGGCTCGCTTATCTCAACACCCACTGTATGCCTATCAGTGACGCTTTTCCCAAGCTTCTAACTGGCGAGAAGTTACCAGGAACGTGCATCGTAGCCTCGTCCGTCGCCCTGCATCCGCGCGCCCGTGGAAACCCCCAACTCAGCTCTGGTCGTTGCCAATCCTAGGGCCTTCCTTTAATGCCATCCATCAACAGCAGCAACTTTCAACAAACCTTAATGACCACAACAACCTTCCATCTATCATAGCCTGCTCAATTCCTTTCTCCCCCATCAATCGACATCATTTCTCCGTCGCGATTGATTGCCCCGAACGAGCATCGAAAACTCCATCCTCTCCGAACCTGCCCACCATGCCTGCCGCGATGGACGACGCGAACGGCAGCGTCGCCCGCGACGTGAAAGATGAACACAACGACTCCGATGATGGAAGGACGGGCGATGGCAAGGCGACGTATAAGTCGTGGAAGAAGAAGTACCGCAAGATGCGCATCACGTTCGACCAGAAGATGCACGACTGCGAGGACCTGCATCGTCAAGAGTCAAAAGCTCTTGCTACTGCGAAGCGCATCGCCATCGAAAATGAGTGAGTCCCTTTGTGTCCCATCACCACCGGCAATCGTACAACAGCCTGCTGACTTTTGCCGTCATCAGTCGCATTCTCGACCTGCTCCTAGACATGAACACATCAGCCCAGCTCCCACTAGACAAACGCATCGACATCTCCGAGGAGCCTCCCGCGGATCTCCCCTACGAACCCCTCGATGTCGACACATCCGCCGAGAAGAATGACCTAGAGGGGCCGACGAAATCACTCCGAAGTCTCCTCAAGGACGTCCCGCACTCCACATATACCCAAGCAAAGGAGCACTCCCCTTCTGTCGTTGCCGACATGGAACCTTTCTCAGGCGAGACGCATCCTCCTCCCTTCCTCACCGCCGACGACATTGACGACTACCTCTACGACATCGACAGGCGCGTCAACCCGGACAACCTCCTACCCACCCTGGCGCCCTCCGCCCGTACCAACGTTCCCTTGCCCGAGACAAACCCCCATGCCCTGTCCCAAACCATAGCCATGAAGAACCCTACGAGTGTTTACAACTGGCTGCGAAAGCATGCACCCAAGACCTTCCTGCAGGACGCCGAAAACGCCGTCTCCAGTGCAATGGACGAGGAGAACACCGTCGAGACGCCTCAGACCGACGGGCGCAGACGACGCGGCGGCGCCAGGGGCGAAGGCAGCCGTGGTGGACGCGGTTCCCGTGGAGGCAAGCGCGCGTCTTTGGCCCTTTCCCGCGCCGAGCGAGCCGCCGAGAAGGCTGCTGAAAAGGCCGCCATCGCCGCCGAGAAGGCCGCCGCTATGCGCGAGGCTGCCGAGGCCTGGGAGGCCATGGATGAGGACGACGACGAACACGCGGTCGCCACCCCGGCCACGGGACGCGGAAAGCGGAAGCGGGCCGCACCCAGGGACGACGACGACGGTGGCTACAGACCTAGAGGCTCCACCGGCAGACCGGCCAAGAAGAAGCGTAAGAGCGAGAGCGTCGATGTCGGCACGCCGACAGTGTCCAAGAGGGGACGCAAGAGCGAGGCCGCGCGCGACAGGGACGACTAGACGGAGCGTCCTGCCTCGGCGGCCGGCGATGCTCCGCAAATGGAGACGCGGGCTCAATCGCGGGCTCGGTCGCTGGCTGAATCGCAGCGAGAAACTCCGGACACCGACACATCGTTGCGTGTGGATCCGATGAATCGTGAAGAAACGCAGTAATCACGGGTGCAGTGATCGCTTCACAACTACGGGTTGTCGTCGATGGGGAGAAATGGATCCATGATGGTATCAGGCAGCTTCCATGGCGCTCAGTTTGACGGGGGAATTCCACGGGACTCTTTTCTTTTTGTTTTGTTTCCAGTCCTGGCAGTCCCTTTTTTTCCATTGCCGATTTCTTCTAGACTTGTACTGTACATTACGCGTTAAATTCAATTGGGAGAAAATAGCCTTCTCGAGACAGAGCCGGGTTGGAGCATCTGCGCGTGTATGGAGGACTCGAAGATGGGGCAGGCAGGCAGGCGTCACGGAAATTCAGCGCGGGAATACTGCTCGCAGCGGGTGTGTGTGTGTGTGTGTGGATTCAAATGGTAGGCAGGGCAGCAAAGTAAATGACACACTTCTTCTTTCCTTTTTCATGTTTGTTGATGCATAAAAGTGTTTCGTTATGTACCTGCTGGACGCTTCTCTATATAAAAGATAGCCACCCAAGGTCCTTTCTTTCTTCCTCTCTTCCCCCACCTCGCTCTCTCTCCGTTCTGTCTTCTAGCATGTGTAAATGCTTGCTGACGGGTTGTGATATCAAAAATAATAAGAACGGAAAATACAACAGATATATGGCCATGGCATGACGTTGCTGTTTGCTTTCAAATGCCCACAACAGGGGAAAAAAGATGTGACGCGATGCCCATAGATACAGAGGCGGCCACCTCTCTCCATCTTTCTACAGTTCCGGGGAGAGTGATCCGATCGGATCCGACCCCTTCATCATGTCGTTCACCTCGTTCTTCTTCTCTACGCCGCTAGGATCGGTGTTCATGAAGAGTTTGAACACCTTTTACAGCTTCTGCTTGAGGGTGTTCTTCATGCGGCGCTCGACGGCGTCGAGGTACTCGTTGGTGGTGACGTAGTCCTCGCGGGCGGTCTTGCCGCAGGCGAGGGCGAGGTCCTTGGTCATGATGCCGTCGATGTCGACGGTGTCGACGCAGGCCTTCTCGAGGGACTCGGCGAAGGCGACGAGCTCGGGGGTCTCGTCGAGCTTGCCGCGCTGGATGAGGCCGCGGGTCCAGGCGAAGATGGAGGCGATGGGGTTGGTGGAGGTCTCCTTGCCCTTCTGGTGCTCGCGGAAGTGGCGGGTGACGGTGCCGTGGGCGGCCTCGGACTCGAAGGTCTTGCCGTCGGGGGTGATGAGGACCGAGGTCATGAGGCCGAGGGAGCCGAAGCCCTGAGCGACGATGTCGGACTGGACGTCACCGTCGTAGTCTGCGTGGCGGGACGTGTTAGCTTGCGGGAACCCGCTGGGGAGAGGATGTGGTGATGGGGGGAGACGTACTCTTCAGAGCCATGATGTATCCACCGGAGCTCTTGATCATCTGGGCGACCATGTCGTCGATGAGGCGGTGCTCGTACCAGATGCCCTTGGCCTCGAACTCGGCCTTGTACTGGGTCTCGTAGAGCTCCTGGAAGATGTCCTTGAAGCGGCCGTCGTACTTCTTAAGGATGGTGTTCTTGGTGGACATGTACAGGGGAAGGCCCTTCTGGATGGCGAGCTTGAACGAGGCGTGGGCGAAGCCGGTGATGGACTCGTCGGTGTTGTACTGGGTCTGGGCGATGCCGCCGCCGTTCTTGAACTTGAAGACCTCAATCTCCTGGGCCTCGCCGCCCTCGGGCGTGAAGACCATCTTGAGGGTTCCCGGGCCGGGGAGGACGGCGTCCTTGGCGCGGTACTGGTCACCAAAGGCATGACGGCCGATGACGATGGGCTTCTTCCAGCCGGGCACCAGACGAGGGACGCGGGGGATGACGATGGGCTCGCGGAAGACGGTACCGCCGAGGTGGTTGCGGATGGTGCCGTTGGGGGAGAGCCACACTGCGGGAGGGGTCGGTATGTTAGTCTATGAGGAACTACTGCACATGATGTTCGCTGCTACTGGGGGGGTTACAACTCTAAGGATTGGAGAGGAACGGGAGGGGCTCGGGCTGGGGCTGATCGCGCGGGAGCTGTGCATCGGGAAACTCAATGCAGGAGCCGGCGCCGCGTCCGGAATGCGGGGGAAAATCAAGCTGCGGAAGCGAGACAAGTCTCCCCGCGGTGCGCATGCCACCCGATGCCGCCATCCACGGGACTACTTTGCCGGCGCATGCGCCGAAAGGGTATTTGCGAAAAGAGGCAACTGGGCAACAACTCACTCTGCTTCAGCTTGAACTCCTCAACGCGGGCCTCATCGGGGGTGATGGTGGCGCACTTGACACCGACGGAGTACTTCTTGATGGCCTCGGCGGCGTCGAGGGTGACCTTGTCGTTGGTCTCGTCGCGGTAGGGCAGGCCGAGGTCGTAGTACTTGAGGTCGATGTCGAGGTAGGGGTGGATGAACTTGTCCTTGATGGTCTGCCAGATGATGCGGGTCATCTCGTCGCCGTCGAGCTCGACGACGGGGTTCTTGACCTTGATCTTGGCGGCGGTAGCCATTGTGCGGGCGATGTTGAAGGCGGAGGCGGACTTGGGGACGACGAAGGAGGGCCGGAGGGCAAAGGTTGCGGGACGGCGGAGGAAGCATGCTGCGTTCATGGTGACGGTTGTGCGTGGTGTTTCCGCGGGGTCACTTTTCTGTTTTGTCTGTCTCGGAGAGGGGTCCCTGATTTTTTTCTTCGGCTCTTCGGTCGATCGGGCAGAGGGTTCAAGAAGCCGCGGTTACTGTCAGAACTAGGTACCGGGCTGTAGTATGATTCGGGTGGCGGCGGAAGGAGGGGGAAACGATGCAACAAGGTGACTGGCTTCCGGAGCTGTTGGCTTGCTGCAGGATGCTGCTGCTGCTGCTGGTGACGGCGCGAGGAGCTTGGAGGGGAGACGGCTTGACAGCTGGGCTAAAGCTAACGATGACGATCGCGAAGCCACCACAAGACACTAAAAACTAAAGGACGTCGTGGTTTTTTGGAGTTGGAGGAGGGGAAGTTTGCGACAGGCAAAAGGCAATTGACAGCAACCTAGGACACTTTGGAGGATGAGGAGAAGGAGGCGGGAGTGCGGGAGAGCGGGAGGGAAAATTAATGCCGGTTGCAATTGAAACCTGTCAAAGCAAGAGTCAAGCACCGCGAAAAAATACCCTGAGCAAGGTATCGAGAGGACAGAGGGCGAGCCACGAGCGAGAGCGGGAGGGTAGCCGAGCCGAGATCGTCACAGGAGAGTGTTCCGGGGACCGAAGTAGAGGTACCACGAGAGCCTGTTTTGCTGCGTTTTTGCGGTTATTTCTCTCAGATCGTTACAACATTTGCGGCCTTTTGTCAGTACCGCGACTAATCGATTATCGATATCAATGGATAGCATCGGCCCCCCGACCTAGCAGCGAGGGAACTGGGGGGCTCTTTCCTCACCTCGGACCTCTTTTCGGCCACTGCTCTCTGCGATGGAGTCATTTTTGATCCTATATCGGCTTTGAAGCTTGAGCTAAAGCTGACTCTTCTTTTTTCTCAAGCGGCTCTATTGTTTTGGTCTCAAGTCTTGAGGATTGATGTCGCCTGAAGAAAAAGACGCAGTCACGCTACCTTTGCTGCATGAAGAAGGTCAATCTTCTTCAGCAGAGTTTTCTGCAGCACACGAGCCGACGGCAAGCAGAGCAAGCAAGACTGAGGGCATGTGGCAATGGCAGGGTCTTAGCTGAGGTAAGGTGACCTTGTCTCGGGCGCTTGTTAAGCTGCTCTCGTTTCCCCTCCTCCCTCCTGGTTGCGGCCAGATCAACATCGTCATTGGAGGGAATGGGATGGGAAAACTGCACGGAACGAGTGTGATTGGAAGGGCTAAAGCCAGAGGCTAGACGCACCCATGTCACCTCTGGGGGATTGTCCTGATTCTGATGTCTCTGCTCTTTTCCCCACATGTTGTTAGAGCTTCGTGCGGGGAAAGCTCCTTTAAGCCATTGATCAGGGCATTGCTGTTTTGCCGCATTGCCATGTCTTTCGTTGATGTTTATGCTGAACGGAGGCTTCAATTGACCGCTCCGAGGTCATAGAATCGGGAAGCCAAGCCGCATAAGATGCGTTTCTCCTATCATCCGCCAGCTCCTCCGTCCCGTTCATCCAGTCCTTCAACCCCTCATCGAGGATACCCAAGGTCAAACACCAGGCTCAATTGAGGGAAACCCACAGTTTCAGAGCACATCCACCGTCTCTGGAGCTTTCCCAAGACTTTGACGATAGCTCCCTGGGCACTTACACAATAATTGACAATAAAATCATGTCGAGTAAAGCCTCGAGCTCGGTGAAACCACAATTGAGGACCCCACTATGACTGCTTCGCCTCCGATCTCGGTGCTGCTTAGACCCGCGCGCCCGATTCCCGCGAGGAGCGAACCTCACCTTGAGAGATTAATCCACCGAAACCACCGAAACCACCGAGATCACCGAGGGTCGTTTACATAATCAAATTCCTGGGAGCTGAGCTCAGCTTCACTTACCTAAGCAATTAGACCTTTCGCTTACCTAACCTTAAACTAACGAGGTGCGTAGGCACCTACCTAGCTCAACCTCAACAGCATCACGGCATTCTCGCACTCCGCGGGACATCGTGCATACGACAACCTCCTCGCCATCAACCAGCTGCACGCACCACACGCCTACTTTGTCCGTCGCCAGTGATCCCGCGGACGCCAGCGCAGCAGCAAAAGACGACGTAAAACGCAGGTCAACGTCAGTGACTCCTTCCGTCGGAGCCCATCCATGTCCTGTAATACCAGCCTGCCATCCCAGGTGCGCTGCCTTACGATGCGATGCAACACCATGTAGCCAGCCTTAGTGCCCGTTCCCGTAAATAGAAATAGATTTTCCTTTCGATTCTGTCTACAGACATCATGTCCCGGACGAGAGGGGAAACGAGTGCGGACGAACGAGGTAAATGGGAACCCGAGGTCAGAACCATTCGCGTCACGACACGGGGGCGGAAGGGATAGTAAGGTAAGGTAGTAGCGCCACGAGACACGGCCCGCAGCCTACCTGTGCCATTCACAGCCCAGATATTCCAATGTTCACCAGCAGACAAGACACACACACAAGTTCCGATCATCACTTGTCTCACATGATCCTCCCAGTTCGCATGCTTCAGCCCTATCCATCCCATTCCTGATTCCAGGCAATTAGGCACTCCGCCTTGCTCGGCGGTCGGTCGGCCGGGAGTGTTCGGCCACGGTCGGTCGCCTCGGTCCCGTGTGCATCCCTGGGCGGGACGATCTTGGCCGCGTTGGTAGACATCAAGTCCCCCCGCTATTCCATCCTGCGAAACATCGGAGAAATACCAATCTCAGCAGGTACGGCAAAATGATATGACAACGATACCGACGACGGCAATGACTCAGTGCGGTCCAAAGAGCAACAAAAACTGCACAGCAATCCTCGATCCGCTCGCGGCTGCGCTAGTCGCCAAAAGGCCCCCAGGATATGACACCCCCAAGGCACAAGGACTACAGCAGGGGTGTGTGTGTGATGGAAGCCTCAAGCTCGTTCGTTACCTTACCATAGTACTACGTACGTCGTCAGGTATTCATCCCGTATCAACCACACACTAGTTCCCTCTCAGCCTAGCCAACAAATGTCTATTTCGAAATCTGCCCCTACTGCTGCGTCAGTTTAAACTTGGCCCTCAAGTCAACGGCCCCAGATTGGACGGACGGCGCGCGCGCCCATCCATCACCACCGCTTTATGACGATAATTAGGTCCCCTTCCCACGCCTCTAATACGCATAAACGACCTCCTCCCTGCCGCGACGGTCCTTATGAAGCGCCGTCCTTCACGCCGTACGAACTAACAACACCATTTCCAACGAGAAAAGTGAGGCTAAAAAAAGGGCATCGTACGGAACCCATCTCGGCAGCATGAATTCCCACACCCCAAAAAGAGACGTCTGACCAGAACAAGACTCGACGACTCGACGATGGGAAGGATTCCCATCATTCCTTCCCATCGCCCGCTCCCGCGTCTCCTCGTAAGACCTAAAAATTTCCAAAATCCCGCTTTGCAGTAGTCTACCGCGAAACAGCAAAGATCCCTCCATTTTTCCCTCAAATCAAACGATTCCTCCAAAAAAGCCGTTTTCCCACCCCCAGGTATTCCGACAAGACGCTAGCGGCGCGAGATCATCATCTGAGCTGAACTGACAGCGGGGCGTTCAGATCGTAGGATAACACAGAAAACTGCACCTTGTTAACTTGCTACCGTGGAAATCTGGCACACACCCCTCACGAATGAGCCACCGCCTCTTTACTTCTTCTTCCTCCTCTTGTTGGTCCCGCCGTGTATCAACGTGCGCGCTGCGCCTGGCTCTTGGAGAAACATTTCCCAACGCGGTATAACGTATCTTGCTCCACGGAGAACCATTCTTAAGAACACGACCCCCGGCTTCCGTTTCGTTTCAAAACGAAATGGCTCGAGGATTCAACGGGTGGGGAGGATGGATGTTGTGGCAGAGGAGTAAGGTAAGGTAGTTGAGGTACGTACTCGCATCACCCCAATTTCCAGGTTTCTCGCCGAGGAAAAAAAGACAAAAGTGACTTCCAATCTACATTACAAGAATGCCCTGCCAATTCCTACAAGGCTGCTTCTGTGTAACCCGAGAGCCAAGACCCGTCATCTCCAAAAAGACCATCGATCCATAGGATAGGAAACCTCAATACTCTCTCCGTGACCGTACACCACTATAGTACAGCACACTGAAAACAAGACACGCCCTACGGAAGTTCAACCGCGCCGCCTTGACTTGACCTAGGCAGACTTCTCATCCATACGATTGGCCCTACTAACCGATTCTCAGTAGGCGGGTGTGGCTGAGTATCGAGTATCGAAAGATATGTTTCATGCGACCACGGTAGAAATTAAGCTGTCACGGCACCAACCCCAACTAAGAAAGAATACCATCCTTTTCTTCCGCGACCGAAGCGAGGCCGTTTCCAAGGGTAGTTAGGTAGGGGTGTGTTGATGACGACGAGCCCAATCTGAGAGACAGCCAGAGGAAAGGTCTTGCTCAGCCTCTACCGCTCCCACCATCCCTGCATCCCCATTGAGGTATCTTCGACGCGAAAAGTGTGTGTCCAGGTATGAAATAAGGTGAGGTCGCTAGGTAAAAATGCCATGCGGACGCGAGATGCGCATATGCCTGATGTGATGTGATGCGATGCGGTGTGTATGTGTGTGAGTGTGAGTGTGTGTGATGTGTGAGGTGTCATGTGTACTCTATTTCCCAAACGGGGTATCTCTCTAAATATTGTCACCTAAAAATAAAGTAGAAAATGAGATATCGTCTTTCCTCCTCTTACTCGGACCCATGTAGTGCCGTTAAAAATCGTTGAAATCGTAAGATGACTAGCTCGTCGCAATAGCCGTTCGTCGTAAAAAAAGATGCAGCAACAGTGTGCTGCGAAGCGAGAGGTAAGCCGCCATACCGGCGTCCCGTATCCGTGATGATGACAGGCCGACCCTCCGATAGGAGCCCGTCGAAATGATGCGAGGGACAAGAAAAAAAGGTCCCTTCGCTGCCCCACATTACAACAGCGTAAGAAAAACAACCTCGTCCTCTCAACATCGAGAATATGCCTTGCGCCACAACATGCAAGTGACCCAATCGTCGTATCAGATCACATCCCACCCCAATTTCCAAGTGAGAAGTGAAGAACAAGAAGAGGGAAAGGAAAAAGGAAGAAAAGGCGGGAGAGCAAAGGGGAAGAAAAAAAAAAAGACACAGCCCCCGCCGCCATGCAGAAACCACAAGTAAGAAAAGAAAACGAAACCCAACCACCTGCCACCCACATGCTACTATTGCTTGCGCGCTCCAGTTGTCGACACTCTGCATGCCCACATCGTCAGATATGGAGACGTCAAAGCCACACTGCCCGCATGGAACCCTTCTCGAAGCCTTCCTGTTCAGGTAAGGCTCAATCATGTCGACAAACCACCAACAACACTCCCCCCTCGCAAACTCTCTCCATCGTCACACACCCCTCCCCTCCAACTCCTCTCCCGCTCCACATGACTGCCTGAGCAAACCCATGCAGACAGCGGACACACATCGCCCAATCGCTTCTAGACTCAAAAGGTAAAAAAGATTGCCAGCCATTCAGAACTCGACGGCAGGCAAGAAAGCAAGGCACCTTTGGGTTCCCAGCTAGCATAGCAGGCTGGCAAAGGGACGTTTGCAATGGCCTTGGACCTCCGATGCCGCGGTCTGTCTGTTCGTTTGTTTGTTCGTTCGTTTGCTGATGATGACGGTGCTGCTGTGCTGGCCGCCAATTCCGAATGAGAAATGGAGCTGCTACACCCGACCCAGGATGCGAAGTCGTGATTGGGCAATTCTCTTTCCCGGCTCTATGGACAAACGTCATGAGCGTGTGCGTCTCTTCGAGCCAAGGTGTGCGTAGCGTTCCGTCGTCTTCTGGCCATCGGCGGCCTCAGCCGCACTCTTGTAAACGTAAAAGAGTCCGAACTCCAATAGAAAAATCCCCCATCCGAACAAGTCGGCGGCGGTCAGAGTCGTGTCGGGCAACGGGACCCTGGGGCTTTCCATGGGGTGGCAGAGACAAGACCAAAGTCAGTCGGTCAGACTGGTCGACAATCCGTACACACGCCCCTCGGAAACCTGGTTTCGTCTTCTCGTTTCTCTCGTCCTTCGTTGGCTCGTCGCGAACATCAACTCCAATGTGGGGTCATTCTCTCTCTCCCTCTGGTCCCTTTTTTTTTTCTTCCTTCTTCCCTTCGCAGTTCTAGGCATCAGTCTGTTGCCCACCCAATGAGGAGTCCACCTCGCGCATGGGAATAGAGGGGTGAGGGGCGCAGTCGAAGCGCCATTACGGCGTTTCGTTCGTTCGCGCAGAAAGTCGGCGCAAAACTCGCAGCACTCTCGATGTTCCCCTCAATCCTCTCAATGCCAACCTCGAGCCCGCTTGCGCTTGTCCTCGCACGGGTTCTTGCATTTCGGACAAACGTGGTCGGGGTACGAGTTGACGTCGACCCTGATCAGGCACTTTGAGCACCGCCACCACCGCGACGAGAGGTTGCGGCCCTGGAGCCAGCTGTCGTCCACGTGCGTCCCCCGCTTGAAGATGTCCTCGTTGTGATAGTCTCGCAGGTGGTCCCGGAAGTGGTCTCGCCGTCCGAACGGTTCGTTCTTCCTCGAGCACTTGGGGTAGTCGCACTTGTGAGCTTCCTTCTTGGACGGGTCTTGATGGACTTGTCTGTAGTGTCTCTCCAGGTCCGCCTTGCGCTTGAACGGGTTCGCGCTGCAGCCCGCCTCGAGGCAGGGGAACTTGTAGTCTACCGCCTCTTGCTGCTCCTGGCCCCTGGTTCACAGCATTGTTAGCTTCGAGATCTGCGCGTCGATATCCAAGAGGCCTCCGTTTTCAGATGGCTACTCACCCCGAGTGAGGTATCACCGGTGGATACTGTCCTGCAGGAACGAATCGTGGTTTCATCTGCCAATAACCTCCGTCTTCGGTGGGGACGTAGTCATATTTTGACCAGTCGACGTCGCCGTAGTAGGCTTCGCCGGCTTGCTGCGCCGACGAGGACGTCGCGGTGCTGGCGTATTCGTCGCCGTAGTACGCGGCGTCCTCGCCGTAGTATGCCGCATAGCTGTCGTCCGCCGGAGAGTGACTCATGGTGTGGTAGGCGTACGACATGCCCGGAGATCCAGGCGAGCCGTAGGAGGACGGGGTGAGAGGCTCTCTCGAGCTGGCGTCGGACAGTTGTCGGACGAGTGCCGGTGCCTCTAAGAACGTGGGAGACTCGAGGTAGTCTCCTCCCGCCGACACTGGAGACGTTGCGTTAACATAATAGTTTGCTCCGCGGTAGTAGTGGCTGTCCATTGTTTCTTCTGTGGGAGGGACACTGGCGTGCTGTCTAAACCGTTTTGTATCCCGGTCTCTGGATAGCAGTTCAGTAAGGGAGGGTCGCCCTTGTGTGAGATAGTGTGTGGAATTTGTTGACGAGAAGAATGGGCCATGGTTAAAAAAAAGAGGCTGCCGGGGGGTTGTTATCCAAGTAAAAATCTGATGACTTACACAAATCAGATGCCGCTACGGTGGCCGTGGGGGTCTGACTTCAGATGAACGCAGGCGTGGCGTGCAAGCAACTTCCCATCCAGAAAGCTTAAAAAATGGTTGGTGGAGGAGTGGTTATGATTGCTCCTGGAATATATGTGTGCGTACGTTCAACAAGGAAGGAGCGTGGGAGTCTTCTTTCTGGAACGGAGCTAGGTAGTCTGAGCCTTTGGCTTGGAGTATTGAAGTTTTTGACTCTGTAAGGATTGGATAGTTGGAATGTTGGAAGTGATTACAAACAATGGATACACGAATCGAGGTGGGAAACGGGTGGTTCAAGTATTACTTGAGACACAACTTCACCGCCATGCTCGATGGAGGAATACGTCAAGCGGCACGGAGACACGAGCTGGTAAGAAGCAACGGGATGGGGTCATGGCCGCCCACCCAGAACACATGGCTTCATCTCCGTAGACGGCCATTGGGCACTTCTTGGCGTATGGGGAGCCTCAAAAGACGCATATCAAACAACCCAGGGCCACCCTTCAGCCCCCGGGTCTTTGCCGTGTAGGGTGAAGGATAGCTTAGAGTATATGTGCCCAGGCGGCGGGAAGCGAGGAGACAACTGCAAGTGCTGGGGTCGCTCCACAGAGATGAAGCTATCAGAAGCGGTTCCTCGGTGAGTGACATACTTCTGGAAAGAGGCTTAGAAGCCGCCAGCCACCCAGTTGATGGATCCACGCGCGAAGACATGCATATACTAGCGAGCGACTGGCACGTCGACACATTTGCAACATGTTCGACAAGGTCAGCCCAGACCCGCCGCGCTCACACCCCCGTACCCATGACGATGTGCCGCCCGCGGACCTATCACTAGGCAGGGCTGGCGGGGATTAAGGTGTCTGTATCCGTACTCTGTACGTGCAGGAAGGGGGCCTCAACGGCCGTCGACCTCGACTCCTCGGAAGGGGGTCGTCTTGGGGAGACGTCCGGCTGGGCAGTCAGCTCTGAGGAACGCTGGTTCGATGTTCATTGGCATAGACACCAACAGACCAAGACATGTCTGGTAGACCCAAAAGATAAAACGGGGCAGGGTAAGGGCTATTGCGGAAATGTTTATGACGGTCGGTTTGGACGGCACGAGAAGTCAAAGCAGGGTCAGGGACAAGGTCAGTCAACCCGGTGTTGGGGACAGCATGTACCGTATTCAGTCCAGTCTGCTTTGAGCTTGTCGTTGGAAGTTGGTGTGGTGGTGTATGTAGTCATATATGGGGCCGTACGGCGCCAGGTACCTCTCTTAGCTAAGGCACAGCAACGGCAGGGTTGGGGTACCGTACCTCTAGACTCAGCTGAGGCGACTGCACCGTACTCATTCAGTAGGGCAAGGTAATCAGAAGAAGGTAAGGTAGTAGTTTTGGGAGTCTTCATGGTGTGCTGTGGTCCGCAGGCAAGGGATTGACTGTCTCTCTAGCCTCTGGGTCAGAGACCAGTCAGAGTGAAAGCGACGTAAAAAACAGGGGCTCAATATGTCATGGCAATGCTAGTTTTATCGCTCATTGGAAACGAGTGACAAGGTAGGGCTCGGGGCGGACTTGGCAGGAATGCGATGCGGCTGTCGAACTCGAGATAGAGGTGAAGATCGGAATCGCGGAGAGGCTTGACTCGAAGGATATTATGTGGTTGCCTGCTCGCTGGCCCCGCACTGCCACACTAGTGGCCCCGTGAACGCTCCAAACCTTGCCGTCAAGGGTCCAACAGCATGCTGAAAGTGGAATCAGCCAAGAAACAATGGTACCGCAAATCACGAACTGCTCACTGGCCCATTCGTAATAGGGCAGGTGAGACCACGAACCGTGGCAGCAGCTCGCAGCAGCATGAGCGAGATACCACAAGCACGAGCATGAAGCATGGGTAGTAAGCCTCGTCGCGCATCTGGAGTACCCCAGGTACCTCGGTTGAAGCTCTCGTCTCCTCGAAACTCTTGATGGTGAGTGGTCGGCCGAATGGCTGACAGACTGGGCTGCGCACCTTAGTTGCAGTGCAACAACTCAATGCTCGTCTTGTGTCCTCCCCGGGGCCATTTTGCTGGATCCGCCGCCGTAAAGCTGCATGCCGCCGCCCACCGAAATAGCCGGAGAGACCCAGACGTCCAGAGACAACGAACGAGTTAGAACCAACGACGACTCCTCTAGGTTCCTCTTCCGCTCTGATTTTCTCAGACTGCCCACTCTTGATTATCCGAGGCGGTCCGTTCTCTTTGAACAGGAGGTTCCGCGAGCGGTGACGGTGACTCTGACGGGGGGTTGCGGGTGCTCGTCCCGTCCATATCTCGGAACTTCTCTCAGTTGCCAATATGACAATGACACTTCTAGGGTCACCTGCCTCCGAGGAAATGGACAGGCGCCTTACTGTTTTGCGACGAATTCGCAATAGACAGCCCCGGTAGACCAAATGGGGTAATAGATAAGTCGAACCCTGCCCTGCAGCTTAGGCTTGCTCAACGGTCGGGCTGACAGGCGGCGATGCGATGCGATGTGATGCGATGCCGTGCGATGCGAGCAATGGACTCGGTGAAGCGAAGAGCGCGCGCTCAGTGCTCACCCTCTTTCTGCTCTCAATGGGTGTCTGCCGGTTGGTTCGTCAAAACCGCGCAACGGAGGCGATAGGTACGAGAGAGATCCATTCCCGATGGAGACATGGCTCGGACGAGCCATTTTCTGGAAGCATGCAGAGAAGGTTCACTGCTTCGTTAGGGCGGCTGTCGTCGAAGAGAAGTCGAGGCGGTGGGTTCCAACAACAGTCGTGATGATCATGTGTGGCCAAAATGGAGTTTCCATGCAAGGTGATGATCAGAGCACGAACAGCCTGGCAGGATGCTGCTGGGTTGGCGCAGGGGACGTGAGAGGCAGGTGGCAGGCACACCTCACTCGGGGATGACATGGGTGGAGCCCGGGGACCTTCTAGAAAACTTCTATCGCTTAACGCAGACACTGACCACCTGGTGCCTTAACCTGAAGGTACCTAGCAAATGACCTGGGTGGCCTGCGTATCCTCCCGGGGCCCCACTACCTTGTCTTCCCCTGCCACCACCAACACACAAACACGTCCGACTGCAGTCAACAAGTCCACCTCAACTCACGACACCCTCGGATAGCTGGCCTGTCTTGACGTCCCCTACCCTACCCAGCACCCACTTGTGCCAGGCACCTTATCTGGGAACCCAACTCTGGGTGACGATTGTCTTACGTTGCTCTTCCCTGCACTGCAGCTAAAGGTACATACATACCTCGGTCCTCGAACAACCACTGGCTGCCCGAGTCCGTCCAGTCATCTCCGTCCCTGCCAACTTCCCACCTGGATGCTCTGCTGCGTACTTACGCCCGGCTTATGATATGAGATGGTGGCGGAGCGGTTCTATTGCAGACGGCAATTGCTTCACTCGCCATAGTCGCCGTCGTCGTGCTTCATTGCAACCACATCCGTTCGTCATCTGCACCCTGGAACCCATGAAGACTGGATCGTCTGGGGAATGCACCCGACCCAAACGGCGACATATTAGTGAGGCTTAGCCGCCGCGTATCGGATGACTTGTTATTCGGCTGCCTTGCAGAGAAGGCGACTATGCAGTGTTCGATGTGTTGCACAAACCTGAGAAGCTACAGCGGGTTTAACCGCTTGCGTGATTGCGGTCTGATCCTGGTCTCAATCGAAGTCATCAATATGTGTAACCGCAGCCTTCGTCTTTGGGTTCTAGATTGTGAGAGGACAATCGCAAGCCACAGATCGCCCGAGGCCATGGCGCAGGTATCACGATGGGGCTTTGAAGCTTGGCCGTTGCAAACGCGGTCATCTATGGTCACGCGACGGCGGCAGGGCATTCTTCATGTGCAGAGGGAGTAATATGCTGGCGCTTATTGTCCGCTTCCCCTTTCATAGCCAGTCAATAGTTAGTGTACTTCAACAATTGTGAGCCGGATCAATACCGGCCGCGTGTTCCACAAAACGAGGCAAACGCCATTCCACCTCGATACCAGAGGTTCGAGACCCCAACCCAATCCGCGGCTACGCCTGGTGAAACAGAGTGAACCACTCCGCCTATTCATACATCGTCCTCAAGGAATTTGTAGGCAAACTTGAAGTCAGCCTTTCTACGGTTCATCCTACGTCGCCTGTTAGCACAAGTCCAAACCCAATCATCTCCATATCGGCTTACCAGGTGCTCTCGTAGTCGAAGAAACGGTAGGTGCCTTGCTCGTACTCCTCCGTGATGCTCTTCGGCTCCTCATGACGCTGGAACCAGGTCTGGTACTGCTTATGAAACCTCCAACTCTGATCCTTCAGCGCCTTGGCTGCCAGGTACTGTTGAGGTGTACCTTGCTTGTAGTAGAATACGTAGAAGAGAGTATCCGGGTCGATGCGCTGGTACAGCCGCGGGTCATCGAACAACGGGAGAGGCTCCGACGGGAAGCCCAATCCTGTTGATGAGTAGCGCAGCTCCGGACGGTAAGTTCGAGGCACGTCTGTGTCCATGATGTCGGGACACATGGCTTGACTTGCCTGAAGCATCCGCTGCGTGGTAGCCGAATTGTAAGAGGCTGGGCGCTTGCGAGATGTCTCAAAGGACTCGACAAGATCTTGCAAAGATGCAGGGAGGTGGTATATCGATTCTTCTTCCTCTTCTGCGACGGCCTTGACACCGTTCGAGGTGCCGTTTGTTTGCGCAGCTAGTAATAATCAGCATGTCACATCGATAACGAATCCACGACAACTCACCCTTGGACGCTTCGGCCGCCTCCGCCGCGGCCTGGTTCTTGGCCGCCCGCTTCTCTGCCTTGGTTGTCGGGGCTGGAGTTGGCTTCGCGATGATCGTTGGAGTTTCGCTTGCGCTTCCTGAAGGAACCGCGAGTTGTTTGGGCTCCACCTCCTTTGCCGCCACAGGATGTACGGATGTTGTTGCCGGCGAGCTCGTCGCGCTTGTCTTTGCCTGCACCGGAGGAGCAACCGGCACGGGTTGTGCGCCTGGCGGGGGCGGTAAGGGGGAAATACCAATCTTGTCTGACGCTGCTGCTGCCGCGGCGGCGGATGCGTACTTGAGGCCTTCGGCGGGCCTTGCAGGCACAGATGCGGGCTTCATGGCCGGCCCGCTCACGGTGCCGTTGCCGATTGTCGCTAATGGCGTGTGCAATGTTGCCAACGCCGGTAACGGGGACTTGGACTGTGCGCTCGACTTCCGTCCCGAAGCAGCAACCTCTACCACCGCCTTCACCTTTGCGCTTGGGGGCTTGATCTCCGGCTCTGGTGTTGGTTCTTCTGCTGTCGATTGGGCATCTTGCGACGAGCCCTTGTCGCCGTCCTGAGGCACAGCGTACTGGCCCTCCTCGTCATCCAGGTTGAGGTCGTCGTACATTTCGTCGTCTTCAATAAAGTCGTCGTTCATGCCGTCCGAAACGTAATAACGAATCGTCTCCTCGAGGTCGGTGACTTGGTCGGTATCCACGCCGCCGTTCTCCAAAGATCTGCGAATCAGCTCGAGCTTGCTTTGGTGCCACTTGTGCCGCTCGATTATGCGCTCGATCTCGGCAATGCGCTCCGCCTTGGCCGTTTGGCTCTTGCCCTTCTTCATGGTGGCTTGTATCGATTCGCTCTCGGCTTCAAGGGTCTCGATTTGTTGTTCCAGCTCGTCGACCATGCTGCTCAGGAAATCGCTTGCCTCTGCCTTGGCTTGTTCTTGTGGGTCGAGTTTCGCTGAAGAGGCCAACCCTTCCTTGGAGTATGCCTTAGTCTTCATGGCCTTCTCGACCGCCTTGAATTTCTCCATTTGCTGCGAGGGAGTTAGCAGTGCGGTGGGTGGCTGCCGCGGGGTCATGGACGGACCGTCTCGATCAAGCGGCGATGCTCCAGTAAAGGAGCCTTGTCCTTGATGTCGTTGCTCGCCGCCCATGTCTTGATCTGGTCGCGAAGCCGCTGGAGCTTCTTGATTTCGCGCTTAAGATTGTCCTCCAGCTTCTCCTTTTGTGAGATGTTATTCGATTGCTCGATCTTCTCGTAGATGGCCTCGAACTCGGCAACCCCTTCGGCCACCTTTTTGAAGCACTTGTCGACTTCTTGTTGCAGTTTTCGTGCCGCCATCGTGCCTGACTGTGTATCGACGAGATGGAGACTCTAGACTCTGTTTCGTATCTCGATATCGAGGGATCGGGGGGTGAGAGGGGTGTCAATCAGGGCTGTATGGTTTGATGCTGATGATGATGATGGTTTTCGGATCGGAGCCGATCGGGGGATAGTGGGAAAGTGGTCGCGAGGCGGATGAGTAGGGATTTTTGTGTGTGTCCCTCGCTTGGCGACTATTACGCCGTGGGATAGCGGCGATCGGTAATTGCGCGATTCAAATTTGCTGGCTACAAACAGATGCGGCTGTTTGGTGATTTGAGGCTGTGGAAGAAAGGCCAGCCAGCTTGAGGCGTGTGAGAAAGCCGTGCGTCTAGGTGGGACGTCCCGGATACCTGATGTGTGGTAGGGGAAGAGGGTGAGGCAGGAGGTAAACAGCCACCAAAGGGTCAGTAAAAGTGGAGAAATATTGCTTCCTGAGTGCTGCAAATACGTCAGAGATTGAGACAAGCCCGAAATGCAGCCATTTGGTCACAAGAAAATCAATTCCAAACCCTTATTTTCCAGGTGTAAATTATTCCTGCTCTATCTGAGGGAAGTTGCGACTGACTTCGGTCTGTACTGTGTAGGGCAGATGATGACACGGCCTATTTCAGCCCAGGTGCCTTGCCTGCCACAGTCGCGTTCAGGGATGTGAAGCCCGGCCACCAAGCTGCACGCACCTGGGCTACCTTACCATTAAACTCCCTGCTCAAGGTGTCTTCTGAGGTAGCAAGCCCCGATGGCATCGGCAGCCATCCGGTCCAGTGTCTCATTTTTCCCGCTGAATCAATCAACCTGCTATTATTTGGCCACTATTGCCTTCTCATTCAGACCTCAACCTGAAGCAAACAGACCAAATCTGCAACTTTCCATTCCTCTTCCCTTCTTCCCCTAAATGCCGGCTCAAGCCAAGACACCAAGCTAAAGTAGCCTGCCTCTCTCACGTCGCTTGCTAGTCGTTTGCTGTTTGCTCTCTGCACGCTCGGTTGGTGGCTTTTCAACCTTCAGACGGCATTGGCTGGCGGCATACTATTGCCTTGAACCCCGGGTTCGTTGCGTTTGACATTTTAACCTCATCCGGTCACCGGCTAAGCGTTCCGGTCGATCAACCTGTGTCTGAAGAGACGGATCCTCGCATCTGAAGCCTCTGTCGTTCTCGGCTCTGAAACCATTTCCCTGTCATTCCCAAAATTGCCTTTACACAACACATACGCTAGTAATCTAGGTATCCTGCAAGATGAAAGGCAAGGGACCTTCCGCTGTTGTCGCAAGTCTCATTTGTTGACCTCCTTGGGTACAGCCATCATCCAGCGTGTTCTGTCCGCCTCGGTCACCGTGGACAAGGAGGTCATCTCCTCTATCGGCAAAGGCATTCTCGTCCTTGCCGCTGTTGCCCCTGGTGATACCGAGAAAGAAGCTGAGGCTCTGGCGACCAAGGTGCTGAAGCTCAAGATGTGGGATGACGAGGCTGGTGGCAGGTGGAAGAAAAACGTCCAGGATATTTCCGGGGAAGTTCTATGTGGTATGTTTTTTTTCTTGTGATAATGGCATCGTGTTTTTTCTGACCAGGCAGTTTCCCAATTCACCTTATTTGCCAAGATCAATAAGAACAAGCCTGACTTTCGTCTCTCGGCACCAGCTGAAGATGCCAAGAGGCTTTACCACCACTTCCTGCAGAAAGTCCAGGACGGTTATGCAGCAGACAAGGTGAAGGACGGAAGATTTCAAGCCATGATGGAGGTCGCTCTCGTCAATGATGGACCTGTTACTCTCGAGCTCAACACAGACCCTACGCCAAAGCAATGAAGAGTTTCTTCAGCGCTGCACGGGAGTGATGCCGTACTCCCTCTGTAAGTATACTGAGTATAATCGTGGTGCTCATAGACTTAGACGAACAAAACTCATAGATCACTAGAAGGAGGCATATTTCAACCTCAATACCAACCAATCGCCACGTACAAACGCTTTCTAGATGGTTTTAAACGGAAGGAGCTGATTGGCAGATACCAACTTTCTCTTTTTCAACCTACCTGCCTTGCGTGCAAACAACAGGAGCAAATACGAAGAGAACGGTTTCTCGGGTGACAACACGAGTGCCCCCCACCACCACAGCAATTGCCCCGCGTCGGGCCTGCCTTCCTTCGTTGGAGCTAGAAACTTCTATCGTAACCCCACCTCAGCTAAGAGCTCAGTGCTCAGAGGTATTCTTAAAGTTGCGAAACTGCACCACCAGCAAACTTTCATCACGCCCCAAGCTGACAACTGATCAACTCTTTTCTGTGTTCCTGCGCAATTGCGAATTGTATGTACTCGCCAAAAGCTTTCCCAAGCTCAGACCAATTAACAGCCCAATAGATACCCAGAGACTCACTCTATCAGATCTCTACCCCGCACCTACCCGACCAGAGCGCAACGTCTCAGCCTGATCTACAACCAGGACAGCATCAACCTTCCCTCCTTCAAACCACAAACCACACACACGAACCGCCAGAATGTCTTCCGAAGAGACCAAGCCGACGCGCCCCCGCGTCTTCTTCGACGTCACCATTGGCGGCAAGGCCGCCGGCCGCATCACCATGGAGCTCTACAACGATCTCGTACCCAAGACCGCCGAGAACTTCCGCGCCCTCTGCACCGGTGAGAAGGGCCTGGGCAAGTCCGGGAAGCCCCTCCACTACAAGGGCTCCGGATTCCACCGCGTCATCAAGCAATTCATGATCCAGGGTGGTGACTTCACCGCGGGTAACGGCACCGGCGGCGAGTCCATCTACGGCGAGAAGTTCGAGGACGAGGCTTTCCCCATGAAGCACGAGCGTCCCTTCCTCCTGTCCATGGCCAACGCTGGACCTAGTAAGTAACTAAGCCTCCCATTGCCCTTTCCCAAAAGAGATCGTCGGCTCACAACTTCTGCAACAGACACCAACGGCTCCCAGTTCTTCATCACCACCGTCCCCACCCCCCACCTCGACAACAAGCACGTAGTCTTCGGCCACGTCCTGAACGGCAAGTCTGTTGTCCGCCAGATCGAGAACCTTACGACCGCCAGTAGTGATGCGCCGGTCAAGGACGCGATCATCGCGGACTGCGGTGAGCTCACCGGCGACGCTGCCCTCGCCGCCGACGTCAAGGCCCCCGACGCCATGGGCGATCAGTACGAGGACTACCCGGAAGACTGCGCCACCCCTCCCGACGCCAAGGAGACACTCAAGATTGCGACCGCCTGCAAGGACTTTGGCAACAAGGCCTTCAAGGCGGGCGACTTCCAGACTGGCCTCGACAAGTACCAGAAGGGTCTGCGCTACCTCAATGAGGAGCCCGAACTCGACAACGAGCCCGCCGAGGTCAAGACGGAGCTCCAGGCCCTCCGTTTCTCCCTCAACAACAACTCTGCTCTGCTGAACATCAAGCTCGAGAACTGGGAGGATGCCGCCAGATGCGCGGGTTACGCGCTCGACGTCGCCGGCACTAAGGACGCCGATCGCGCCAAGGCCCTCTACCGCCGCGGCTTTGCCAGTGTCCGTCTTAAGGATGAAGAGAGCGCCCTCAAGGACCTCGAGGAGGCCCACAAGCTCGTCCCCGAGGACAAGGTTGTCCTCAACGAGCTCAATGCTGTTAAGCAGAAGGCGACCGCCCGTGCGGCCAAGGAGAAGGCCGCGTACAAGAAGTTCTTCCAATAGAAGATTTCCTTAGGAAGCAAGGAGAGGCGCCCTCCGTTTCGGTCGGCGAGGTGATTGTCGAGACGGCAGAGGTTGGCTGGCAAGAATGCCGGCGGCGTCTGGAGCCAGGATGGCGTAGAGCAGAGAAAGGAGAGAGACGAAGCAGCGTTTTGGTTTCTGGGCAATTAAAACAGGGTTATTTCATTGGAGCATTGAGGCGTACAGAGACGATGAATACGGCGAGACGAAAAAAAATTAGGATTCGGGTAGATACCTCGACAAAGTTCAATATCATTACATCTTTACACACAAAATCTTACACACTTTTTCTGCAGTGGCTTCCGGGAATCTGAACGTGACAAGTGATTTCTAGTCATGATATTTCTGGGTATATTCGTCGTGTCCCATGATGCGAAGGCTACCTTACACCAAGGAAGCTCGAGTAAGAGGGAAACAAAAAAAATAGCAATGAACATGAAGAAAGCAGGGCCGAGCTTCCGACCACTGTATGAGAAGCCCGTTTTGTCCGCCCGTCTTTCCGAGCAAGCAAAACCCCTTCTGGTCATGTCGGGAAACGAAACGCCTGAGGAAGTTTTGACCACAAAAACCAGCTTGCCTCCCGTTCCGAGTGGTAATGCAGCCATGACCGCCATCCTTTACGCTTCCAAATACGCGTATCCAGATATCCTCCTCGTCGTAAGAATGCAAAAAAAAAAGAGGTGATGAAAAAGACTTTGATCGTCCTTGACCCTTGGGCTTTTGAGTGTGTTTGTTCGTATTCGTATGTGGAGAAAGTAGGTAACAAAGAAAATAAACAGGCCAGAGCGATGTTGCTGTCGATTATCCGAATAGAGACGGGTCAGATAAACCCTTCATCAATAACCGGTATTCCAATTTCGCTCAAAGTTCTTGGTTCGGGATGCCGATGGTGAAGAGTCAGGAGACTCGCCGCGAGCAAAAGGCTTCATGATGCCGGATAGAATGTGGCGTGTCGCCCTACCATTGCGCTTGAGCGTTGCCAAGTGTCCCGAGGAGTGGTCCGAATGGCCCGACCCTTGCCTGATGGAGCTTCTGTCACGGCCGCGACGGTGCTCACGGCTTCGTGACGAGGAGTCTACTACTGCGTCGCTGCCAGCTGATCCGGGTGGCACAAGATTGTCCTGTTCCATCCAAACTGTTGATGCCGTGGTAGAGTTTGTGGTAGAGTTGTTGTTGTGATAAGTCGAGAAGCTCATGGACTCCATCATGGCCTGGCTGTGTTCCAACGCATCAGCGAACTCGGACGCAGGAAGCGACGCCGTGTCATGGAGAGGACTGTCCATCTTGGAATAACAGAGATCTGCGCGCTCTTGCAGACCAATGCACATTTCATTGAAAATGAGGATGTCGTCTTCGCCGCCATTGGGTTTCAGGATTTCGCCGTTGGCGATGGGGTTCGCCTCGGTCCACATCTTGACTAGTCCAGCGAAGTTTCGAGCGTGATCGATCAAATGAGGCAGCGCAGGGAAGCCCTCTCGTGCTGTCGGCGACAAACGCCCTAGAATGGTGATGGGCGTTGAGTAGGAAGGTCCCAGAGCGACCTTGTTGCGCTCAACAGGAATCGAGCAGATGGTGTCGATGTAGTCCTTGACCGACTGGCGGTTGGACCCTAGGAACTTGTTCATTGGCTCCATCCACTCCTCCTTCTTTCCAAAGGTTGAAAGATTCCCGAGCGCCTGAAGAGCTTTGGCGACAAGCGTCAGTGTTCGCTGAGCCCGCGGGCGCGGGTGGTCCCTCAGCAAACCGAAGAGCTTGGGGCTCAGAATGGCGGGGCAGATGAAGCGGAGGAAAAGGAATCCGGAGACGCTGGTGTAGGTCACCGTTCGCAGCCAATCACCGTAGCGATCCTCGGCGACCGCTCTGATGTACTTCAGTATGGACCGCAGCTCTGGAGGACACTTAGTCGGCTCCTTGCAGATGCATTGCCAAACATCCGTTGTGATCTGGATGAGTCGGTTCCAGTGCTCTGTCACGTTCTCACCGGGCTTCAGCTTGCTCGGGTCGACCTCGCAATTTGGGTTCATCTCGTTAATCTCAACGATCTTGAGCATGAGCATATGTTCAAGGTACTCCTTGCCTGAACGTCTCATGTGAAATTCGAGAGCTTGCGTAAGCAGGGTGTTGCCTCGAAAGAGTAAGTTGGCCTCTCCAGCCAGTGATTTGCCCATGTCGCGCAGGATCTGCTCCCTGCCATTGTGATAATCCAGATTTTCGCCGGATTTCAATCGACTGCTGAATCGGTACTTTTTCAACTGGTTCTGGGTGCCGCCGATACCATCGATCTCGTCTTCAACTAGCGTTTGAAGCCACTCGTTGGCGTGGCCTGACACTTGAAAGATGTTAAGGAAGATTTCGGACAGGCGCCTAAGATTGCCGGGAAGCGCGTCTGCAATTTGTGCCGTCAGACCGGATGGAAAGCTGTGGAGAAGTGTCGAGAGCGCTTGGTATTCTTTTGAGTGGAGGACCACCAACTCTTCGTGATGAAGCTTAACGAGCATTGTGCCCATGACTTGCTGCCGGTCGTCGAATATGTCGAGCCATCTTTCAAGATCTTTGCCAGGTTCGATGTGGTCGAGAGGAATGTCAACTGAGCCGCACAGAGCCTCTGTGAGATTGCCTGTCTTCGGTAGGCCTAAAGAGGCCTGCAACTGGTTGCTCCAGCTCTCCAGATTGCCATCAACTCTCTTCAGAACGATGGAGAGGAACGGCATGGCCAGAGGAAGGTCTAAGAACTGATAGTCTTCTCTCCAGAAAGGATTCTTCGTTGCGGTCTTGATTGTCGATCGTGCTCGAACCTCGCCGTCCAGAATCACCTCAGTCAGGTAATTACCAACGAGAGGATCCACATCTCTAGGCTGCCGGTCGACGAAACCGACGTCCGGTGAAGACATCTTTGGTTTCAGCTTCGCCTCGGTCACCCTCAGGCTGATTGTCTTTTCGATCCTGAAGACTTCTCCCGTAAGGTCAGAATCTAAATCTGTGACTTCCAATGCACATTCTGCAGAAGGCGATTCCAGCAGGAAGATGTCTGGAAGGGCAAACGCGCGCAGAAGAACGAACCAGACTTCGAAGAGAAGTCGGTTTTCCAGCGCGATATACACGGGCCGGAAAATTGACAATTGCGTAGATATCGTTGAGTAATGCGGGAAAATACCGATGCAGTACTCCTCGTCCAAGACAGATCTGTCGAGCTGTTGGATGGCGCAACGGGAAAGCTGAGAAAGTTCGACAACCGCGATGACAGCATCGCCGTCATTCGTAGTAAGCCTGAGCTCACCATTTTCCTGGAGGAGGCAAGATACGATGCGCCAGGAAGTATTTGGCGACCTCAAATCCCGGGTTGAAGGCCTTTTGACAATGGCCCTGGGTGAGCTTGCCAGACCTTTGTCCCACAACCTAACCTGCCCGACTTTGATGAGTGCGTTGGTGGTTTTGGGCGTCCCATTTTCAGAGCCGCGTCTTCTCACTGCTGGACGTAATGATGTTGGCAGCGTGTTCCGGTTTGCGTTCGAGAGCTTCACCTTCGGAGGGCGTAATTGTTGCCAGCACAACAAAGCTGCCAGCCAGAGGTCACGCTCCTCTATAAGAAGTGGATGGATGAGGAGGTCCACAGGAGGCTGAGTGCAAGAAGAAATTTCCAGGCACCGCTTTCCTTCCGGGGAATCCATTGGAGATATACGACATCCACGCAAATCGGACACGAGAGGAACGTGGAAAGGCCCATCATTGCCAGAATCGAACATCAAGGAGCCTTTCTCCTCATCGACATATGCTATGCCGAAAAGCCAATGTCCCGATGTCTCTGTCCGATATTCGATCTCGCCTCTCATGCGGCCACAGAGATTCTTCATCAAAAGCAGGATATTATTCGCATTTTCCGTGGGAACGGGGATTGGGAGTGAGTCCACCGAAGGTGTTGTGGCTGGAGGAGTAGTCGGTCGTGAAGATTGCCGCTTAATCAGTCTTTTACTCGATGACTTCTTTTCTCTTAAGCTGTGTGTGGCGCCAGCAGGTATTTCGGAATGACGAGCGGGGATTACGGAGGGAAACCCAAGTGACTCAACGGGCGGAGGCGGCGAACGGGCATCGTCAAAGAGCGGCTGTGACCCGGAGGAAGAGAAGGATCCTAAGCGCGGACGACCCTCTCTTGCGGTCGCATTGAGGAATTGCTGTCTCAGTGCGCCGTCCATGGTGTGTGTTCTCGGGCGAAAATTGCTGGACTGTCTCAACGGTGGGCTTGTTGAGTTGTTATTCTCGTATGAGCTGCCACCGTATGTATCGTTGAACACCATTCCCTGTCGTCTCTGAAAGTCCCCAGGTATAGATCTCGGAGAAGTTTGGGGAGAGGTCGCATCAAAGCCGCGGGCCGTATGCGCGCTGGCAGCCGGATCGAAGACGGAGCTGGCGGACACTGCCGGCGACACTTCGGGGTGGTGGTACTCCGGTGTTACGGCGCGGATCGTGGGGTTCGACGGGGCGTTGGGACGGAAGGATGTGCGCAGGTTGGTAATCGAAGCGCGTTCCATGCCGCGGGAGGACGAGTCGGCGGACAAGGTCTGACTTTGGCTCTGAGGCCACTCGAGGCGCGGCGTAACGTTGTGACCACCGTTGTGGTAGGTTCGTCCATCCATGCCTGGTGGTGCCATGCTCATTCCATGATTTGTCCTCATTGGGGAACTGCCCGCATCTGAGGTTCTGTGATCGTGTGTGCGTCCCGGTGTTTTCTTGTCTCTCTCGAGGCTGCACCTTGACGTCCCACCACGTCTGGTTTCCCCAAATCCTATCTTGTACGCTTCTTGGGCCCTCTGGCGACTAGTTGCTGGCCGATTCGATTTTGCTTTCGAGACTGATGCGTATGGCGCCACACGGCAGTAAGCATGCTAGTCACAGGCTGTTCGCCCTGGAGCTCGTGAATGAATCTCACAGCGAGGCGAGTCGTCGCAAAGCCAGCGGATCGGAGGTGGCGCTGGTTGTCGTTGGGG